TGCAGCACTTACATTTATAGGGCCTCTAAAATGAGTGGAAAACTCAACTACTGCAGAAGGTAGATTGCTTGTGTTTTTACTGCACTGGGAAATAGTTCCAATGATGAGGCATTACAGAAATTGGACATATTTTGGATTGTGACATTACATTAAATAAAAAACAATAAAAATTAAATCTGTTTAACTTTTTATATTTTATACCTATGTTGAAATTAAAATTTAAAAACACTCAACTGCTATATGTTAACAGTCAGAGCATGTTTTGCAATAGGCATGCAACGATGCATACATTCGTTGATTAAAATCGATTTTAATTCAAACTCATTGTGTTTGTGAGAATAAATAATTTGCAATGCATGAAAATCTTACGCAAATTATATGCTCTTATATTTAGGCTAATGGAGCGAACACCATTGAACAAACGAGATATAAATTGCATTTAAATAACAGTAGATATTAGACAAAAAAATATATTAATAGAGCAGTCATCCTGAATTGTGACAATTCGTGCAATTTTTGGCAGGAGTAATCGTTACATAGCTAATTTAATAGCCAGAGCAAATGAAAGGATGTCTGCAGCTCATTTGATGGCCAGCATTGTTTGGAAACAAGCGTGCACACAAAGATAAAATTATCCCCCGTTTGTAGCTTTTAAAGGACTGTTGGGGCAAATTAATTATTGAGCGGTGGCCTGCACCACAAAGACAAAGTTTCCCCTTATAACCTCAAGCCACTGTTGGGGCAAGTACTGTTAGCGAACAGGCCGGGACAAAATACGAGGGAATGGGGTCGCCAGGACCATGCCCGGCCGCCTTTGTCTCCCTCGTGGCGATGTTTACACACCGCACGGTAATATATACACAGTTGGCTGGGGGGCCCTCATCCTGCAAAAGAAAAGAAAATAATCTAGATTTGAAGTTTTCGTGACTGTAGGGATCCATACTCGTTGGTTCTTTCGGTAAAGTCACGTTGGTATAAAATAAATTAAATCACGACGTTTTGATTGCAACACAAGCAATCATCATCAGGTGGGAAAACCACGGCAAGAAAAAAAAAATTCTCTCCCACTTCAGCAAAAAATGTTCTTGCTGTGGTTTTCCCACCTGATGATGATTGTGTTGCAATCGAAACGTCGTGATTTAATTTATTTTCTTTGATACCTACGTGACTTTACCGAAAGAACCAAAGAATATGAAAAGAAATTAGTAATTTTCGGGGGTCCACCATGCCGTTTTGGTCCTAATAGGAGTTGTACTCCCTCACCAAGCATGCACACACACATCGTGTACACACAACACACATCATGTACACGCACAGACATCATGTACACACACATCATCTACACATACACCAAAGACAAACACACACATTTAGGTCCTCTATATATTGTACTCCCTAACTCCTAGGGACTCCTCTTTATCCACCGATAAGCCTATGAGCGCTAACTTTTGGCACAGCTGACTAAAAAGAACAAAGAGTTTAACAATTTGTAATGAGGCATGAACAATAGCATTTTAATTTAATGACTGGGAATAATAGAAGTGGGCCAAACTCGGTAAAATGTAATTATGTGTACAGATAAACTCTCATATGACCCCAATGGAAAGCTTTGTACGGCAATATTATCAGCGAGGACATTGCAATGCTTTTTGTATTTTTTTGACAATTCATTGCTATAAAACGTGTACACGTTTACTATAAAGCATTAGACAACGGGATGTAAACTACTGTGTAGAATTCGATGCATACATGTGTAGTGACATCGCGGATGTCACTGTGTAATGCCGGCCCTACAGAGAGAGGCACGGCGTGCCATGTATTGACATCGCGGGCACCACGTGGATGTGGGTACATTATCGGCCCAAGAGGGGCACGGGCAGTACTGACTGACAGTGATTGATGGCACCACGCTCGGCGTGCAGTGCCAGCCCCTCCAGGATAGGGGGCCGAGAGCAGAGGTCGCAACCGGGTACCCGATACCCGTACCCTACACGATACCCGACTACCCGTACCCGGCCGGGTACCCGTACCCGGCCGGGTACGGGTACCCGTTTGCGACCCTGGTGCGGCCGGGTACGGGTACGGGTAGGCCGTGAGTCACTGGTGAGTCACCGTTTGTCACTCATTTCCCAACGTCTTGTCTCTTCTCACAATTCAAGTTCCTAGAATCAACCCACCCGCGCCTGCAACATGGCTTCATCCCAGAATGTCGCAATCGGGTACCCGTACCCTACCCGATACCCAGCCGGTACGGGTGGCCGGGTATCGGGTAGGGTACGGGTACCCGTTTGCGACCCTGGTGCGGCCGGGTACGGGTAAGAAATCAAAACCCGTTTGCGACCTCTGTGTGAGAGTGCCGGCCTCGGAACAGGGTTGCAAGGGGCCATGGCACTCTGGTTGACCCCGGAGGACACGTGACCGGAGATGTCTAAGGGGGGAGGGGGGACCACGTGTGGAGGGGAGAACCTCCTCGAGGGTTCGAGAAGGGGGTCGAGAGGATAAAAGCCGGCTCCCCAGTGGGACGGGGGTTGTGATCCTGAAGATTTTCGAGTTACGTTCGGCATCGTCCCAAAGAAGTCACCAACACGTGCAGTTACCCCAGTGCGTCTGCAACTCAGTTGAACTCACTACACATGGCATCACACGTCGGTCGATGATGCACACACGTTTATTCAACAATCAACAAAAGCCAAATGTAAAATGTGAAGAAAGCACCTTTGTAACTGAACTTGATTTCATAAGAGGATTTGTTTTGGGTTAGATCGCGTAAATATATAAATGTGTCGTTAAAACCACACTTCAGCACTCTTGCGCAAAGTGAGGGGGGGGGGGTATTAATGAGTCAATAATGAGGATTCATGAATTCATGTTTACTCATAAACCCCCCCCCCCCCCCCCACTTTGTGCAAGAGCGCTGAAGTGTGGTTTTAATGACACATTTATATATTTATGCGATCTAACCCAAAAAAAACTTATGGCTATTGGTCGCGAAAGCCTACGTGTTAAACTGAACTTGATTTGTTCAAATGCAAATGTACTTTCGTAACAGTATATTTGAAAGAAAAACAATTGTACATCCTGTATGCAATTATCTATCTTAAACAATATTGCCCATGCCTCAGCGTTTATGTGAGTGAACAAATTAGCACTCAATGCTGTCATAGAAATGAGTTTGGACCTAGTTTTCACTTAGTCTTGCAATTTATTCTTAATTATAAATACATATTATTCCATCATCAGCCATGAACTTCTCGCTCAAAGCCAGTCAGGCCACTTCTGAAAAAGAGCTCATAGCTCAGTGGGCTTTACCTTAATTAAAACAATGTTATGTACTCCATGTTTAAGTCTACATCCCACACGGATATTTTTATGAGTACTGCAATTCACAAATCGTTCCTGTAATTTCTGACAGTGACTGACAATGGTGCAATGGGTTTCTTTTTGTGGAAGAATCACACCACATTGCTAAACTGGCATCTCCACAAGTCGCTGTTATGTGGTTCTTATCACCAGTAGCCAGGTTTTTTTTTAATGCTTATTTAAATTCTATTTTCGTAAGTTTTGCTTGAGGTAATTTGAAATGCACATTTGTCCGTGTCGTGTAGGTTTATGTTTTATATAATTTATATTATGCATCGTAAGGGCACATTGTACACTATGTACGTATCATTGTGTTCTCTAAAACGTGCTATTGGGACTTGGGTACTGAAATTGTACTATTGTTTACTCACATTGATACTGAAATGTATCCGAATACTGTAGCCTCATCACAATGCACAATTGACTCATTTTGACCAACCATTTATCTATTCTCTGTTCCTTCTCAATTAAGTTTCATCGTTAAATTTGATAACGCTTTTAAAATGTATTTAGATGCCCATTTTGATGTTTTTTTTCTTTCATCCACTTTCACATTTGACCCCAACGCATTACACGCATTACTATCTCCAATAACACATATCCAGTTTCTTGTTTTATCCAGCTTCCATTCCAATAGTCTTTATCTAGTTTCTCATTCGATCAAATACCTTTTTCGATTTTGATGTTACTTTAAAATCCGGTATTATAACCTCGGCCAGTATTACCAATTCTTGGTTCAGTACCTTATCCAGGTAATGTTTTTGATACCCTTCCAACGTATTTTTTGATTCTATACAATTTGGTATCCTACCCAGCTCTAGTATTATACGGACTCAAATCAAGCTCAATTCTAAGTAAAATATGTTTTAAGTAAACTGTTGTCTTCAAAAAAAGTGTTTAAAATGTCTTACCTATGATCTGTGTCAATGAGGAAATGTCAATGTGTTTGATCCAATTTCCTATTTGCTTTAGCTCCTAAAATCCAATCCCACTTCATTCTATTTGTTTGAATCTGCTCCAGCTATACAGGGTAAACCAATCCACCTACTGTAAATCCATTTTGCTATCCAATATAGCTCTATAAATTACAATTTCTAATCAATGTTATTTTAACCGTGAGTTTTCCGATTGAAGTAGAGTAGCTACCACCATGGATTTAGGTTTTGCCCTCAGTAAATGCCATCAAGTCATGATAAATCCACTGCTGGATAAAAGCCACCCCCCGAAGGCACATGCTACTGTAAAGTTTTATTCCACCTCCTCGGTCGGCATTCATCAAAGTTAAATGGGGCATAAAATCAGGGGTCCTTGCCTGAAACGTCAACCTTTTGTTAATGTTTGTCAGTTTTTTTTTGTTTTATGACCATCATTAAAACCCTAATCTTTTTGCATATACAGCGTACAACTTTGGTTTTGTCGTTTAACAAGGCAGTGCTAATTAACAAATGTAACGAGGTGTTTGTTTTAATGCCTGGAAGAAAGGGAAGTTTAGGTAGCCGGTCCACGTTGTGTATTGAAGCACCGCACATGCCATTGCTGTACCCACAATGCCTGCTCGCACATTAACCCACAACACAGCAGCAGCCACTGAGCAAAACAAAACACACCAAACCAGTTTACTCGTGGAGCAGGTTCAGTAGAAGACACACAGGGGGGTGAGGAGGAGTGGGGGGGGAGGGTGTTTTACATCATTAAACCTTAACAACTTTATTCAAAGATAACGCCGACCCAGGCTGAAAACAAAACGAAAAACACAAAAACGCCGCAGCTGCAATCGCCACCACTGCCGCACGCACAAGGAAGCGGCGAACCTCGGACTGCCATGATCGGGAACGGACAATGCTTGGAGGTTTCCGTGTGGTGCTACGATCGAGAAGACGACGGCCACCAAGTCGACGGTGATGAAGGAGACAATCGAGAGAAGGAGAACGACAAGGAAGTGGAGGAGAGAGGCCCGGACCAGGCCAGAGTTCGCTTCGTTGCCCCCCTTGCCCGTGCCACCTCGCACGGCACACCACGGGGCTCGCCGCCTCCGCCACCTTTCATCGCCGTCCTCGCATCTTCTTCGTCTTCATCATCATCATCGTCGTCTTCGTCGTCGTCTTGCGGTCGGCATCTTCGTCTCGTCGTCAGCCCCCATCGCAGCTCAAGGACACGAATCTTCACCGTGTCCACGGCGGTCACCGAGTAAGTGTCGTGGCGACGTCGCGGCATTTTAAAGAGGCACCCCCGATGCTGTTACGGAAACTCCAATCGCATCGCTAGACGACCCCCCCCCTATCTACCTACCTACCTACCTTAGCCACTTGCTGAGCGTTTAAAACTAAATATTAAAAACGATTAACAACGCCGTGTGTTGTGTTGTTGTTGTTTAATAACGTGGCGTTTTAAACGATTGTGTGTGGGGGGTTTGTAGTTGTGTGTAACGCGTTTTAAAGGGATCATTGGTACGGACAACCCTGGCCGTTACTACAACTTCGTATTAACACAGTGGCGTGTACAGAAACTAACAAAGTATAAACTTTAAAACCAAAGTCTATTTTGCGTGCCTATAGCCCCTCGTTAACAATGAAGCGGGCAAGACTCTCGCACGCCTTGCTTGCTGTATACATTGCCAGCCTATTCAGTGAATGGGATGTAAACACAACCTTAACATAACTCCCTTCGTACCAACACTGCCGGCTTCCTTTTACATTTCACTTGGTAATGACGAGAAGGCGAACACGACGACAAGATTTGCCACTTTAATATTTTTACAAATGCGCTGTTTTTTGGTACATTAAAGAGTATAAACGTCTCGGATCAAAGCTTTAAATAAAACTACAGTACTGTATTTCACTACAGTATCTCATCCCCTTTGTGGCTTTTAAAAACACGCTACGTTGTTACTGGTAATTAACAGTTATTGTAATAACTTTTGTACATTTCTCTGTTCATACGGACAGAGCAGAAATTACGAAAGTTGCGCCTTGACTTGTGAGGCCTACTAGACTGCGGCCTACAACAGGCTTGGTCCGTTATTAAGTATTTTTTTTTAACGTTTTACGTGGTCATGTGTTGTTTTTGTGTTATAATAAGTACGTATCAATCGCAATATTCAAACAAGTGAATTGGCCGTGCACGATGTTTTTTGTTACGTTATTGATTATATTGGGCTGTTATCGGTTCCTCCCCCCTCCCAACTCGTGACTGATGTTTTGGTTTCGTCGTAATGTTGCATAGCTCGAGTATAGAGGATATAAGAGTTTTAAAACGTCTTAAATGAAGTATGCTGTGCCTGGTGGTTTCAACAACCTAATTAAAGCCGCAATGATTTGTGCCCAATAATCGCGGGATAATGGTTTGCGAGAAAATAGGATAAACTTTAGTCCCCGACTTAATACAGTTAGTCCCCGACTTACGACGGTCAGACTTACGATATTTCGATCTTACGATAGGGATATCGATACAAAATTGTTAAATATTTTACATTTCGCACGGCAGGCAAATGCAGCAGCGTACGAGGTACGATGCTGTACGTTGGGACGCTGCCGGGATGTACTGCACGCATATAGTTTATACAGTACGGTACTGTAAATTGCTCTGTTTTGCTAAATTATCACCATTCTTTAAGACTCCTGGGGAGATGCTCTTAGGTTTTTTCGGTAAAGTCACGTAGGTAAAAATAAATAATAATAAAAGCCGTAATAATAGAAATAAAATAATAAATGACGATGTTTCGGAGGCAACACAAGTCTCCGTCATCAGGTGGGACCGTCACAGCTAAACTTAGTGTATCAAGTGAGGAAAAATCCAAGAGACAAGCTCTTAAATATAAGTTAAGGGGGAGGGGGGGAGGGGCTTATCTGAATGTGGTAGCCAATTAATGGAACGGTGGGGGGGGGGTTAAAAGAGAACAATTGGTGCAATTCAACTCGGGGTTGCGGCTGGTGTTGGCTGACAATCCAAATACAAAAAAGGCAGTACTGTTAAACGCTAGGGATGTCAACACTCGGTAAAGTAGAATATTACCTGTCAAATAAGATGGTACATATGTGTAGTTAATTTTTTTTTACATGGTTAATAACATCTTTCCAATGATTAATCAGTTTGTACCCATCATCACGGTTGAAGTTATGTCTGTGTTTGTATATCTGGATGGCTTCGTGTACAAACCTTTGATGGGAGCCAGAAGGTTTGCAGAGCACCTTGGTCTCGGAAAAGACAATATCATGAGAGCCCACAGCGTTGTAGCAATGATCGGCAACGGCGGAAGTCTCAATTTTGCCGTGTTTCAGATCTGACTTGTGCTCGTGGACACGATCGGAGACATGACGTTTCGTTTCCCCAATGTAACAATCACCACAGATGCAACGTCGTTTATAGACATAAGGCTATTGCAAGTCAGGAATGACATCTTCTACAGATGGGATTAGATCACGGATTTTATGTACTGTACTGAATCGGACTTGGATCTTATGTTTGTTTAGAATTTTGGAGATCTTTTTGGTCACGCCTGCTATGTATGGCAATGTGATAGTTTTGATCGGAGTTTCAAGTGGTTGTTTCTGTATGGTGGGAGAAACAGCTTGGCGAATAGTGCGGTCAGAGTATCCGTTCATCTTGAGGGCCTGATGTACATGTTTTAATTCACTGGTCAGGTGGTGTTGGTCAGAGGTGCCATGAGCTCTGTCGTATAGTTTTTTGATGAGAGAATTATTTTGAGCCAGGTGGTGGTGGGAATCAGGTTTCAAGTAGGAACCTGTGTGGGTGGCTTTCCTGTAGACAGAATGTCCCAAGGATCTATCAGGTCTCCTCTCAAACAGAACATCTAAGAATGGTGGTTTGCCATCTTTCTCCACTTCCATGGTGAATATGATGGATGGGTGTCTGACATTGATGTGATCCAGGAAATGGTTCAATGCTGGGAGGCCATGTGGTCAAATGACGAAAGTGTCATCCACATACCTCTTCCACAGGGAAGGACGCAGGATGGACGTCTGGATGGTGTCTGATTCAAGCTTTTCCATGAACACATTGGCTATCACTGGTGACAAGGGGGGGCCCATAGGGGTACCCTCATTGTGTTTGTAGAAGGTGCCATTCCAGGTAAAATAAGTGTTGGTGAGGCAATGCCTAACCAGTGCGCAGGTACATCCGAATTCAATCCATGTTGGACCAAGTCTTCAATTATTGTTAGGGTGTCAGGCACTGGGACTTTTGTAAACAGAGATACCACATCAAAACTGACGAGGATATCGTCACGAGATAGTACCATGTCCTTGACCATAGAGACAAATTGGGTTGAGTTAAGTACTGCTGAAGAGGTCTTGCCAGTGAAGGGAAGCAGAGTATCTGATAGAAAACGGGCTAATTTGTAAGTAGGAGAGTTGATCGTGGACACGATGGGCCGTAGTGGGGTGCCTTCTTTATGGATCTTGGGAAGACCATAGAATCTGGGAGGTCTTGCAGCCGAGGGTTTTAGGGAGGGACGTTTTGTTGGTTCGATTAGGGAAGTCGAACTCGTGATGATCTTGTTGGTTTTTGTCGTTAGGCTGTTAGTAAGATCGCTTTTAATTTTGGAGTAACTTCTATCATTGAGTAGGTCCAGGATTTTGTTGTTGTATGAGCCTTTATCGATGATGATTGTAGCATTGCCCTTGTCGGCCGAGAGGATGACTATCATCTCTCTTTTTTAGGTTCGCGAGTTTAGAGCGTTCGTTTTTGCTAATGTTGCTAGTGTGTTTCTTAGAATTCTTAAGAATAGTGGCTATTTCAGCTCTTGCTACACTCCTGAGTAGGCTAGGCCATTTTCGACTTACGATATTTTCGACTTACGATGGGGTCGTCGTAACGCATCTCCATCGTAAGTCAGGAACTACCTGTATTTTAAAATTACCGTTTATTAAAAACAGAAAGGAATATTAAAAGTAAAAACATGTTCGCGGAAAATTAATTGGGGGGGTATCACAAGACATCTAGACCACGCTCTGCAATGCATTCCATTCGTACCTTAACGGTAATAAGTAAAAAATTTAGTACGTATTCATTCTCTTTGTTTTTTTCAGTAAAGTCGTAGCACGTTGTCCCCACCTGAAGAAGGACGCTTGTGTTGTGCCCGAAACGTCGTGATTTAATTTAGTTGTTTTCATTTATTTTATTAGATTTTTTACCTACGTGACTTTACTGAAAAAAACAAAGAGTATAATTTAGTACGTGTGCATAATCTGCAACACAAATGTAACTTTCATGAGGACATTCCAAGGCAAAGCATTGCTAATTGTATAATTGCAAGACAACAGTACCCTCTGCCAGGACACTCTGCATATCAACACCGCAGCACGCTCCTGCGTCTCGCATTGTATCTTATTGAAACGACTCGAACGACGAACCACACACTACAGGGAGTCTCTTTTATTAGCACACAGGGCTTTGTGGTGTTAGTCCTGAAGCTCGTTCCTTCCCTCGAACGTCCCCCCTCCCTGGTGTTCTGCCCTTTTATATAATTTAAGAGCCACCCCCCTCTTCCCCAATGTTCCGCCACTGTTTTTCAGCTCGCCAAATTCCTGTCCTGTTTCCTGCCTGTTCTTGTTCCCTTTAACACGTAGGCTTTCGTGACACATTTCATCCATAATACATGGTTCTCAGATTGTAAATGTTGTGGCTTTGCTCTCCAACACACCGGTGGTGCTGCACTAGTAACGAATTGGTAGGTTCTGTTTACGTGACAAACCTTACTAATTGGCTGTGTCGGGTGGTGGCGGATTGAACGACACATGTAGGGGCCGTCCATAAATGACGTCACGCACCTGGGGGGGGATCAGACATTTGTGATGAGGAGGGGGGTTTAGGAAATGTAACGTCACATCAAAATGCACACCTTTTAAATAAATATCGACAACACGTTCTCCTTATATTCTTGGTTCATTCGGTAAAGTCACGTAGAAGGTAAATAACACAAGCAATCATCATCAGGTGTGAGAATTTTTTGTATTATTATTATTTTATTATTTCCCTTCTACGTGACTTTACCGAAAGAACCAAGAATATGAATCCCTGCAGTCACGAAACGTTCTACTTAATTAAATAGAGTTTTTAATAAATGTTTTCTCCTACAACATCAGAGTGCAGCGCAGCGCCGCATTAAATACGCACTACAATGACAATAGTTTAAAGTGGTTTGAAGAATGTTTTATTTTTAAAATGGAAATATGGTTGGGGGGGCAGAGCTTTGTGACGTCGTATTTGAGGGGGGGGTCTGACTTTTTGTGACGCCGTGTGACGAGGGGGGGGGGGGTCAAAAATCGTCCAAACTCGCGTGACGTCATTTATGGACGGCCCCTTATGCGATCATAACCCAAAACACCTGTGTTATGGATATTCTTGTTCCTCCAATCACTTCAAAGCCTGCCTCCCGACCAATCGTTTTGGAGGCCTCTTTCCACCAATCAGAGACCTTGGTCTATTTTTTTAATAACCGTTATGCTACACATTGGCTCTGGGGTGAGTTTGTTAATTTCGGTCATTACAGTATAAACAATATTACGCGCCAAAGTACTTCAACTTTCCAACTACACAGTAAGGGCTTAGCTTTAGCTGAGTCTGTTCGACAATATGTAAAACACTGTTGACCACGCCACACATCTTGTCGCTATGCCTGCTGGGCTATTTCGTCTGTACAGCAAGTCGGCGGAAATTCAGTGAGAAATTAATGTCTTGTCAACGCTCAATTCCATCCACCAACAACCTAGACTCCACTACTCATTACCATTTCCATTTGTACTTTGAAATAAAAATGGGCATGTGCACTTTGTAGCTGTTTTTCATTAATGTATCATAGTGACACATTCATCTGTCAAATTGAAGAATGAATCTGTCAGTCTCCTAGGACCTAGGCCAGCTATTCACGTGAAATTGTACATTTCCTTGGTGAGGATTTTGCCCGCGATATTCAAGGGTCTCCAGTATTCATTTTCTCTTTCCCCGGACCCCCTGCAAGTAGCATCGTGGACCACAGGTTGGGAACAGCTGACCTCGCCTATAGCGTACATATTGCAAGTGTTGCGAAACGTTGTTTTCATCACTACTTGGTCACATAAAAGGCATTTAAAAGGAGAATGCGCATTTAATACTGTGTTCCATTCATTGACCATATAGTTTCGTCATGAAAATAAATGTTTTAAATGTACAGCATTTCACTATCACACTGCTCTCAAGACCGCTATCCAATGTGTTTCTACAAATCCTGATCTCATTGGCATTGTCAGATCTGGATGAAGAGAAATTAACTTTTGCTACAAACATTAGGAATAGAGACTACTATTTTTTTTTTTATAAATAAATGTGCTCGCTGCAGAATGGTAAAGTATGTACTGTAAGGAAAAGCACAACTACTCCTTTGGATTTGTACGTAACAATAATTTCCCCCTTTTGACAGACTAATGCCCATTGGTTGGCTGGGTGCTTACTCACCTTGTGCCACTTGGACAGCTGCCACTGGGGGTACTCTATCTAATGTTTGAGTTGTGCTCTGAGAGGCCCTGGCATATAAGGTGCTATATCAAAAAATAAATAATCATTATATTCTAATCTCATAAGTGATGTTCATAACAATATTTTAAACATGAGGGGTTTTGTCAATGGAGGCTTTGTTTGGTGTGTAAGCTTTTTTGTGGGCTCTACAATTCACAAAGATGCTAATGCATATTTCAGTAAGGTATTAAAGAATGTAATACGTCAACCTTGCTGTCACACCTGATGTAAAATCGGTTAAATTAATAATTGCAAATACAATATCAGGTCACATTTAGGTTTGGTATGTAGTTCATGGTCCTTTAATCTTCAAACCACTTAAAGAAGGATTTGTGCAATCTATTTCCCCATCTCCTCCAATCCCCTTCCATAAGAACAAGGGAAGGCTGAGATCTGCAGAAAAGGGTAGAAATGGGATTCTGTGGTCTCTAGCGGCTCCAATATTGCATCTAACCACAAACCTGTACTCAGGTGTGTATAGGCCACAGGAGAAAATGGCAATAAAGGTGCACAGTGTCATCCACAAATGCTTGGCCATGAACTGTGGAGGCGGCATTGGCAATGCCTTTTGTAACATGAAGGTTCTTTTTTGTGTTATGATTTATGTGTGTCACAGTAACATATACATAAAGTATTATAATTTGGTAAAGAATGGTAGGGTAAAGCGTTACCGTTTCGTGGCATGCATGCGATTTAAATCACTCCATTGCAGAAAAAAATAGATGTATGTTTAACTTATTTCGCACCGTAAGTAGCCAACCGTGCTAATTGGAGGTACGGGAGGACAACAAACTAAACACAATGCAGAGATTCACATTAAGTGGTAGAAAAATCTTTTTTTTATGGATAGCAGCCAACACAATGTCTGGATCAAAACAATTTCAACTTGGATTCATTGTGAATGTCCACTTCTATCAGCTGAACAAGTTTTTGGAAGCACATTGCTTGATGGACTCCTGAGACTTAAAGCTTTCGGGACTGCAGGAATTAATATTCTTTGGGTCTTTCGGTTAAGTCACGTAGATAGGTTCAAAGAAAATAACAAAAAGCAGCGACATTTCGATCGCAACACAAGCAGTCGTCATCAGGTGTAGTTTTTTGTTATTTTGTTATTTTCTTTGAACCTATCTACGTGACTTAACCGAAAGACCCAAAGAATAGGACTCCTGAGATATAAGCAAATGTCAAAATATTATCATTAAAGACGAGCTCATAAAATGTAATTTTAAAAAATGCAATTTCAGGACTGTCCAGTTTTATACTATTCTCCAGTTTACCAGCAATGTAATTATACAATCTCATTGTTAATAAAAATGCAGCACGCATCGGGTAGAGTCAATTGACATTCGGTGAGTCAGAGGATAGATGCAGGCAATTGCAAACATTACATTTCCTTTGGAATTTCTGCTGTGCTTAACCCTGAAGAATATTTTCCCTTGCTTCTGTCTAGCAAAAGCACTTTTCTCAAGCTTGAAGTATTAATGAATTGCATACTTGACCAGCTTGAAAACAACTTTTTTAATACAACAAAATTTTTATCACATTTCACTGGCACAGTTTTCTTTTATAATATACTATCAATTCATATTCTATCTTAAAATACACCCTGTTAAGATGATCAGCGACTATTGTTTCTTCCGTGCTTCGTGCACTCGTAATTTGTTATATTTTTCCCCGTGGTGCAGTGGTAATTCCTTTCTTCTGTCCCTGTCTTGGTTCCATCATCCCCAGCTTTCTGTGGGAGTGTGAAGCCGGGGAAGCCGGGGAAGCTGGTGAAGGTGGTGGTAGCAACGAGGGTGGAGGTGTGCGTCTGGTCAGCACCGATGAAGACGGCGCCGTCACGCTGCACGAGCTCCAGCGAGATGACGACGGTGGCGACTGGGTCATGGCAAGGCCCCGCACGTGCCAGGCCTCCCAGCTGATGGAATACCTTGGACTGCACAACAGAGAAGGTTTTGTGACAGCCATGACTTATTATATCATTTCAGTCTGTCTGTCCAAGCATTTGAGGCTAAAATGTACCCTTTAGAGTCAATTGCTTGTTTTAAGTATATTTGGCTTGATGAAGCTTTCATTCTCTTGTCGGCAATGGACATTCTCATGCATTCGTGGGGTAATCCAAGAGAGGAGGAAATATAAAATTCGTCAACTGCTATGCATTATGACAGTTGGCATGCATTGGACGTGAGCGGATGACCGTGTCCTCCAAGGTTAATTTCAATCCTATAGCTTGGCTTGACTGTCAAAAGTGACATTGCGTCAATGTATGGAAACTTGATTTGCATAACTACTCATCACATTTTTTTTAGCCTCGTTTTTCATTGTATGGTTTTGTATTTTGGAACCCGTTCATTCCCACAGTGCTGACACATCACTGTATCTGTGTCTTGGGAGGGCCGTGCGGTATTCTCACCTCAAGAGCAGAGAGTGGCCCTGACAACTCTTATATTTGGTATATTTTGATGTTTTTAAAGGTTGGGATGAGTTTGGATGAAGTTTCGTTGCACAAAGGGATTTTAAGATTCTTATGATTATTATTTTTTATTTCATTTCATATTGAAGATCAATGATTGTATTTTAATAACTTACTGTTTATGCAGTAAATTTTCAATTTTTTGTAATTTTAAACATAGATCATTGCGTTCAAATTTTAATATAAAGTTCCATCGGTGTAACACTAATTCTAATGTTATTGTTCATAAATTAAGAAAGTGACATTTACGTCGTAAAAATTATGCTACATAATGGCACTTGTGGTGAGAAAGTGATGAAGTGATGTCATGGAAGTAACGACACTTTGTATGATGTAATATTTTAGGATACATATTAAAATGATCTTCCGAAATTTTATTTTGGATGAATGTACAAAATCCAGAATACATCCTTTCATATTATTTGGGTCTTTCGGTAAAGTCACGTCGATAGGTTCAAAGAAAATAGCAAAAAAACAGTAGTTTTAGTTATTTGTTATTTTCTTTGAACCTATGTACATGAATAAAAAAAAAAAATATTTGATCCTATCTACGTGACTTTACCAAAAGACCCAAAGAATATGTTTTCCTGCAGTCACGAAAGCTTTAAGTCTAGATTTAATACATTCTTTGTTCATAATACAGGTTTTTTCTGGTTAGATCGTGTAAATATATAAATGTGTTGTTAATCCCGCCACCACCCAGCACAGCCAAATTAGTAAGGTTTGTCACGTAAACAGAACATGCCAAATCATTACTAGTACAGCACACTGTCGTCGTCTTCCTCCTTATACGCTACTCATGTGTAACGGTGTTGGCAGATAGCGTTCCAGTTTTTAACAATGAATACTGCATTGCACCCTTCGTGTTAACTGGCGGTAGTGCCAAAGTAGAGATCCTTTACAATAAATGTTAGCATGAGATAGCATTTGTTTAAAACCAGGCTAGAGAGCCCATTGAGATGGGTTTTTTTTTCAGTACAGACAAAGCAGCAACAACAAAAAAAATCTAGAATCTTTTAAAATCACCATTTCACATTTCAACACAAATTTAATAATAGTCTACTAATACGAAGACTGGGAAATGTTAAGGAAAACCTCAAGTGTGTGCGTTCAAGGTAATGTTTTATCACTGTTATGTCGGCTGGGTGACGGTGGTAACACTGACGCTTAACAGCAAGATGGGCATAAGTTCGATTCTTTACTCGGGTGCCTATCTGTGTGGAATTTGTATGTTTTCTCCCTGTTCTGTATGGGATTTCTCTGCATTTTCCGGTTACCTCCTGAAGCTATAACAAAAGCATACAATGCCACTGGGATTTGCTAAACAGCTCAATGCTGAAGTAATCTGAAAATTACTGAATTATGATTACACATGCCACTTCCTGTGAAAATTGGCAGGACCCTTGAAAATGTTTGCGGCTGAGTGAGGCTTTCCTTGGTAAACAAGCATAATACTAGTAATGTCACGATCCTAATAATAAATATTTTACTCTCATCCCAAGCAGTGCATCACATGATATAAGAGAAGCGCTTTTATTTATATAAATAAGTGCACAATTTTATCTATCTGTGATGAATGCTGCACTTTCCGTCGTTTTCATGCAGGGGGCGCTGCAAACCTACGCGCCCCCTGCATGAACGACGGAGGCGCAGGGACAAACGTTCGATTACGTTGGAATCGATCTGCAGACGAAGGTTTTCTTGCACGGCCAGCTCTATGTCGCCTTATCTCGATCCCGCAATCCCAAACAGGTGAAAGTCCGCATCAAACCGAACCCCCAGCAAGGCCATCTACTTAACGACGAGAGAAAATTCACACGAAATGTCGTTTTCAATTAAGTCTTCCAGATGTAAAATGATATAAGCTTTTAATGAAGAAATACAAATTCAAAACTTAATACAATTCAAAGATGTTTCATTTTAAAACTTTAAAACGGAGCATCGGGTGCTTGCATCGGGTGCCATAAATGGTATTTTAGTATTTTATTATTGAGCTACTCGCAACGTTTTTACAATGGCCTCTTAATCACGCTCGGTGATTAAACTACTCGCATGCTAGATTTTAAATATTTTCATCACTTTGCGATCAAAGAAAATACTTGAGTTTTTAATCACGGTTGCTGAGGCCCAAAATGCCAAGGGGCCTGCAACAAACAGTATTGATGGTGTAATAGATAATAATGAATACATTTCCTAGTTATGCTGAAAACAATTTCAGAAAAGGAACATCTGAAGGGAATTAAAACGAGCATTATCCTCACCATCATAAACTTACATTTATAAACATCACGTTTAAAAGAACACTGCGATATAAAGTTTTTAATTGGGGTTGTTATCCAGATGCTGGTGAACACCTCTGCTTGAGGCTGCTGAGCTTCGTGGATGGCGTGGCGACTGTTCTGCTGCGTGGTCGTCTCCTCGTTCGATTGCTCTGGCTGGCCGACGGTTGCCATGCCGACGGTTGCTGGGCAGATGTGCAGCTTCAGTGCACGCTGCTTCCTACCACCACGGCCCGGGACGAGCCAGCGGACGTTCGGCTCTGCCTGCAGAAACTGCTCGCGCTGCACGCCGACGGACAAATCTGTATCCTGCTGCTGCCGGCGTCGCAGTGCCTGTGTTTTTATTCTGTTTGAAATGCAGAGCTGTGAATTTAAAACGTTTCTTTGTGGTCGTCATGAGTCGGAGCGCGGCGCTTTTGCAACGAATCGACAGAGCTTCACGGGAAACCAAAAAAAACCTTTCGACGTGTGAATTTCAGCTCGTAATTTCTGTTTGAGGAAGCAAAATATGCCAAATTTTACGAGAAACATTCCCCAGGTGATGTTTAACGGTGCCGTGAGTGCATGAAATGTGCGCGCGAGTTAAAGAAAGCGCTTTCAAAGCCACGTGTAAATTGGATCTCCTGCCTCTGGCGTAAGAAAACCCCATGGTGCTCCCTGAAAATGAGAGCTACCAAGTCAGTCTTGCCGGAACCCAACATGTGGTGCATCAGTAAGGGACAGGTGCTTTAAATGCCCAGATTTCCCTTCGGGGAGGGCCTTTGCCGACTGTGGCTAGGTGCGTAAACGAGTTGGTGTTTATTTAACCTGCAGTGTGTTGAGCTGAATTCCCATTAGACTGGATAACAAGGAAGGTTTATTCAAGTTTCCCACCATGTTTCATTTTTCTTTTCACAAGATACAAGGTGTTTAACACAGCATTTTTTTTCTTAAGGAAAGTATCGTGTGGAAATTTTTGGTCTTATCCGTTTTTTTTCACAACTGCAATTATGTTAAAACACAGTTATATTTGCATAAGTTATGAAGATGTAATTGATGCTTAACTCGTAGGTTTTCGTGACCAATATCCATAAGAGGTTTTTTTGGGTTAGATTGTGTAAATATATAAATGTGTCGTTAAAATCTGCCACCACTCTACACAGCCAAATAGTAAGGGTTGTCACGTACTAGTGACGAATTGGCATGTTCTGTTTACGTGACGACCCTTACTAGTTGGCTGTGTCAGGTGTGGCGGGTTTATGACGACACATATTTACGCGATCTAACCAAAAGAAACCTCTTACGGGTAATTGTTGCTGTCGCATGTGTATATACAGCATTTGCAAAAATACTTTAAACCATAGTTATGTTAATGCACTTCACTTTTCAGAATAATTTGAGCTGACGTCAAAATAAATATAATTGAAGAAATGCATCTAGGAAATTATTATAGTCAATTCATGTAAGCTTTGTTAATTTGAGGACATTAAAATATAATCTGCAATTTAATTTAGTATACATTATATCTATGTTTATCTGCTTTATATTGCATTTTTTTAATGTATCTACCCTTAAATTAAATTTTATCTTTTAAATATAATTAAAATATTGAATACAAAGTACATTGCCAAATATTTACCGGAAACGTAAAAAATGTGCATGTAAATTTGTAAATAACAAAAAGTAACTTGTTTAAAAACCACCAATATAAACTCCATACAAATGAATACCTTTGACTCGTTAAATGTGCAAATCTGTAAATGGTACAGTGTTCTCTTCTCCAAAAATGTAGAGCAAACACTTGCAAACGACGTTTTTCGCTACAACACAAAGGACAGTAAATTGACTTCAAAGGAAATAATGTAGTTTTTTACGCTGCCATTCTCTAACCACCTGCACCTTTTGAATACCCCATTCTATCATTTGAAGAACATCGTTTTTCCCTAATAGTGCGAACCCAGATATCTATAGCACAATCACTGGCGTGTGTGTGGGGGCAATTGATCTTTCACTGATCCTGCCATCACCTCCGTCGGGCCTTGACGGTGGCACACCGTTTGGATTTTTGAGGCCATCGGATGACCTTGGGGTGATTGTGGCGGTGGACGCCTCTCTACGTGCCGTATGCGTCTCCCCTGTCGACTATTTCAGGTGTGTCTTTCTGTTATGTCTGTGTAAAACTAATTTAAATAAAGCGACTCAATTATAACATCCAGTGGAAGGTGCGTTTACGTTAATATTAGGTAATTGTTCACACTCAGCGGTGCAATGAATTGTCACGGGGTTTCGATTTGGTTCAAGAATCCATACTTTTTTCGTATTTTCTTTTAGCAGTTCTTATTATTTGTAATGTTTATCTCAGAGTTGTCCAGTTTTGTCCATTCCATGAGTCTAAATGCAACAGCATAATTTTCTTATAATGTTCATAAATCAGAAACAATTCATAACCACATTCACAATTTGATGGCACTTATAGCGAACGTACGATTCTATTTTAATCAGTTGGTTCAAAGACAAATTCCTGCTTTTTTCGTATTGGTATACAAAGCATAATCAAGCTACCTAGTACACAGTTTTTAAGGATACATTTAACATGTTGAATGGGAGAAGCGGCGTTTAGGTTGCATTGACATGGCACTCATTTACCTTGGACAAATGCACAAACTCAGCTACTGACATTACAATTTTAAGCATTTAATTACAGAAGAAAGCTCTGATTGCTGTAGGTTATCTTTTTTTTAGGAGTAATATATATAAACTGGATATTATACACAGTATGCTTCTCATTTTACATATCTTGTATATATTCTGTATACTTTTGTCATGCATCAAATTTTAAATTACCCTCAAATGAAAAATGGTATTAACACCAATGATAGTCTTGTAAAAAGCTTTGCTGTGAACCCATTATGGATCCATTAAGGGACCTGCAGTTATGCATACAGCAGCAGCGAGACAAATTTGCATACGCGTGATAAGGTGACATGAGCTTTATATTCATTGCATAACGTTGAGTGTCACGCGCCAAATGTCAGCACGAAGTAAGGCATCAAAATGTTAATGGATGCTTGGCTGTGCCATGACCCTTTTTTGACAGGAGGTTTCCAGATCACATGTTTCAGGGAAGTTGGCTGGAGGATCCACACACTTCCAGCCAAGAAGAAATTGACGAATTGGATGAGGATTTGGATGAGGATGATGTGGAGAGGGCCTTTCGTGCCCAGCTGCCGTTCAACCCGGACAGGTTTGTGATCAGCTTCTCCAATCATCAGATTGCATGCCTTGCGTTCTGTAAACACGACATGAGTGCTCATTTGTTTGCTTATGGTAATGAAAGTGGGTTGTGTTTATATATCCAAGCAAGCCTCGTTGTGTCTTTTGCTAGTGGGATGGAACTGGAGAGCCTGAAGAAAATTAATGAATTTGTGAAAATACTATTCATCGATAACGCTGCCTTAAAAGAAATTGATATAATGGGTGATGTTTCAGGGAAATCTTCCTCTTAGCACACCAAAAATTTATATATTAAAAAAGCAACACCCTTTTATATTAATGAAGATAAAATTAACTTATATGTTTTTTCTTTTAAGGCAGTGTTATTGATGTTATTTATTGTTCTTGTGCATCACTGCCAATTCAGCATTGCCAAATAATTTGTTTAATACCATTTTTTATGTATTGTACTGATAATCTCATAGGCCAGCCAATTCGGGAATTTCATGTACACGATATGGATTGGTGTAATTCATGAACCATGTGTCGAAAGCATTTGATTACAGGCATGTGTCATTGTGATTGGTGTTTAATAGTTACGTGATTTCTATTGATAATTGAAGTTGATAGGAAAACACAGGTAAGGTGGAAACATTTATAATTTGTTTAGGATATTGGAGGTCATGTCAACTTGAAATAAGGTAGCCTGTGAGATCAGGTTTCAGGGGAAAACAATAGTTATTAGTTATTTAAGAATTATGTAATTAAGCGCTAAGTATGTCGAAATATATGCGAGTTTGTATTTTATTAAAAAAATGTAACACCCCTGCATCCATGAAATTTGAATGCATACAGTGATTTTAATAAGGGTCTTCTTTCATCTTGTGGTTTTGAAAGAAGAGATAATGGAGAGTTATTTTTTTGAGTTGTAGGTTTAAGGTCTCATAATTACTTGTGTTGCGGTCGAATGCGTTTTACAAACAACCTCAAAATTGCGATTTAAAGCTTTCGTGACTGCAGGGATTCATCTTCTTGGTTCTTTCGGTAAAGTCACGTAGAGGGGAAGTAATAAAATAATAAAAATAAAACATAATAAAATAAAATAATTTTATTTTATTATGTTTATTATATAAAATAAAATAATTTTATTTTATTATGTTTTAATTTTATTGTTTTATTACTTCCCCTCTACGTGACTTTACCGAAAGAACCAAGAAGATGAACCTCAAAATTGCTGTTGGATTTTGTGAGATGGTTCTGTTCTCAAGATTATCTTGTGCCCCCTTTTAAGATCACTGTTTCATTGGTTTCATGGCTTTATTTTGGTGATTTCGAAAAGTGTATTGGTTTAGCCATGTTTGTTTGTTGTAGTACAGAGTTAGACTGATGGCCTTAATCTAAGTTGTCTTGTGGTTGTTGTTGGTTCTTTGACTTGCATCCGACTGGGATTTTTGCACACAGCGTTGGTGTATGGTATTTTTTTCTGCAATATTTTGCTGTCTTTTCTTGGATTTTCTGTTTGCACTCAGTCACATATTCACTTTAAGATGTTTTTTTGTTCATATTTTTTGTTTGTTGTGGTTGCACCCGATTCAAGAGCCGAATTGCTCACAGGGCTATACCTAATAAATGAACTTGAACTTGAAGAGGGTGAGCTGAACCTGTGATGTATTGGCAGACAAGTGTGTGTTCGTGCTATTTTTCACAAAAAGGTCACATGCAAAGCAGGTAGGATGTATGACCTCGCCGCTGTGGTAAAGCTAATGGGCTGAGATGCTTTCAATGATATCATTAACCTCTAATCCCTCTTCTTTACGAAGCCTTATAATCAAGTAGTCTGAGCCAGCCTAATGAAGAAACATACATGTGTTTGGAATAGATAGATAATTAATTTTAAAAACCTCGTGGGAGAATGAGTGTTTGTTTCGCATCAAAATGCAGTACAGTACTTGAAGATGCTTCCTTGTTACTCGATTCTCGTAATAGATGTTCACACAGATCTGATTAACTTTCTGCACTTTTGTAAAGCATCTTATCTGTAACACGGATTACATTTTCTAGGCGTAGATGTATTTCAGTAAGGACGGAAGCGTGTAATTGCCTTTTGCAAAAAAAGAAGTCTGACTTTGGGTGTTATGGACATTGGCTTTGTCCACAATATATTTTTGAAAAATAATTCTCATTTTAAAAAGTGGTCTTCTTTGGTGTGAACACTTTAACGGACTTCCACCATTCAGTCTAGATAAACATGTGCTTCTGAGACGTCTGCAAGTTTCGGGGTGTGTCTCGTTCACTGCTCAATCTCAACGCACAAGCAATAAGCGTTAATTTTATTCAGAGAGGCATAGCGCCGTTGTTTTTAAAGACATTGTACTCACCGCACAGAACTATAGTGACATGACCGCACTCTTTGAGATAGCTGGCGCCAAACTGTTCCACACACCCTCCAGCATGGCCTTGTGGGAGACTCGTACAGATACATCATCTGGATGTAATCTTAAGAAAAACTTATGAATGACGTACACGTACGTACATGTATGTTATTGGAGTGGTAATGGGTTAATATGCCAGCGTGTAACACAGAATGTGTGCTTTTTCCCCGCAGGTCGTGGGAAGCGCAGCTGGAAAGACTCCACGCGAGCATCGATAAGGCTTATGGTTGCCCTCGGCATCCTGGCGCTGACGACGGCGTCAAAGATCCCGCACGAGAAAAAACGACAGAGTTCAGCTCTGCAGAGGCTTCATCGTGCGACGGAGGCAACTTTGAGCAGAATCCTGGCCTGTGTTTTGCCCGTCTTGTCGAGCCTGTCGAGCAAGTTGAGAGCGTCACAATTTTTTCCATCTGCAACACCTCAGTCCTGTTTGCCATTGGCCATCCAAATGACGAGACGAATGGGGTAACTGTGGTCCTGTGGCAGTTTTCGAGTGGGATCCTGATGACCCACAAGATGGAAGGACCTTGCATACCTGTAGAAATGGAACAAGTTGAGCATCCGTGTTTGCTCGTGAAAGGTAATTTTTGAAAATGATTCGATTAACTTTGACACTTTGTGCAAGTTTCCTGATTTACTGTGCGATTTTTCACGGTTCTGCCATGTAGCTTTTTAATGCGTGTTCTGGTTGTACTAGCGCGTTGTCCGGCATTGCCTTGACCTTTCATCCTGAAGAGGTTCCCAGCACGTGGAGGGAAACGTCGTAAATAATGCCAAACAATACGTGGTAAAACCTGACTATAATTGGGGGAGAGCTCAAAATGAATAGTTGGCAATTTTGATGTCTCTCCGTGTTTAGAGTATCAAAATTGGTTGCTTAAAACATGGCTTAAATGTCGTATTGTTTTTTTTGCGCGTACACATATATATATACATCCCCATTTAGTGCATGCATGCGTGCGCTTGTTCTTTTCTCCAGGAACTGGCTTGAGCATGGTTCTTTTTGGAATTGGTCAGGATGAACTGTTGAAGCGCCTCATGATTCATTCCGGCGTTGGTGTGGTGGATGCCGTCTGCGACCGCAATAACTGGACCCGCTGCTCCATTCCCATCCATGCCCTGGAGGTAGGACTCGCCCCCGTGACGGCACATACCAAGCACCGGTTGGGACTGCTGTCTCTGATCATTATCGTGGTTATGAATGGCTAGAACCTGCAAGTATATCCATTGACCATCATAGAAGGTTTGGTGATACCTATTATTGTATGCAGATTGCGATTCCAGCGTGGCATCCTGTGTTTGCTATTGATTATCATTCATAACAGCGATACCGATACTTTGTTATTTCCTGTTGATTCTGGGACCACGAATCCTTGCAATTTCCCATATCACAATACTATTAAGCTACTTATACAGGTGAACTAAATATTTTCTTAGCCTTACAACTTGACCATATACTGGCTGTGTTTTAGTTTCTGCTTTATTATCTTATCATTATCAATTGGTAATGAGATATCCACTGCTGGATGAAGGCCTCTCTAAGCCATCGCCAGCCCTTGTGTTCCTGTGATGCTAGCTACAATCTTCTGCTGCTGCTCCGTTTCCGTGAGGGGGGACACAGATTCAGAGGGAGGCAGAGATCAAGACGCACAGAGAAACATCTATGTATGTTGAACTGATTTGACATCGCACGTAGCCAACCGTGCTATACGGTTGGCTGAACAGAGCGTTGGAGAGGGGCGGATATGCAGAGGTCGAGGGAGAAACACGAAGATACAGAGAGGGAGATGCAGAAACAGGGAGAGACAGACAAATAGAAATAGAGATCGAGACAAGGATACAGTGGCAGAGACATGTGCCTGTTTATTGAACGACATTTACAAAAAATATTATTCGGCTTCAAATTTAGATTTGCGGAGACCTCCATAAGGTTTTTGGTATTCAGCCAAATAGTATTAAGTGCTCATCGTTGCACGTCCAGTTGTTTATTATCTAGCAATATTCATGCAGGATTATTCAACATCTTTTTCCAGTTCAAGGGGAGAGATAGGCATTATCTGCAATACGTGTATTTCTCGAGCAATACTCAGTATCAGGATGACACTGGCAATACCCCCCTAGGTATTACAGAGATGTATTGCGATTGCCTGTATCACCCTGCACTATTGGAGAGCCCTAATCTGTAAAAGCTGCTTGGGTCGTCGATGACACTCGCAAGCGCAGGGGAGGATTACCATTTTATTTGCTGTCCTCGATTCGTCCGTCGCTTGACGGCGGAATATGCTGGTAACATAACAACAGTAATCAGTCATTCATATGCAGTGCTCATGTGAGGAGATCAAACACGAGTCTACCAAACATTGTGGTTCATTAATTATAAAGCTATATATGCAAATAGTAGATGTATTTGTTTTTTATTCCTTATTGTGCATTAAGAAAACAATACAATCTGGTGATTATATAGCTAGACAACTCCAATGTAATGCATCTCAGTGGATGAATATAAAGAAGTTTGAATGAAAAGCCGATGGAATTATGGGATTAAACTAGTACCAAAATTTGCATCTTTGGGTTTCTGTCATCCATCGGACAAAAAAAAGAATTGTTCCTTTGTCAAGCGCTTATAAAAGTAATAGAGCTTTATAATGGCCAAGCTGCAGAATTATGGAAATGGGTGAAGACAAACATTTCTGTGAATAAAATGGAAGCATTTTTTAATGCATTATTTTGAAATTGCATGCCAGCATGAAAGTACACGTTTTAAAAATGCCTTGCTATTGTAATGTTATCAATATCGACTTTATGATTCATGATAAACGGGCATTTAATAGGAAAGAGAACATCCATTATATCAGCACAGCCTGAAATAAGTGATTTAGTTTGAGTGTCTGGCATTTTTTTTTATAAGTGAAAAATCTTTCAAATTATTAATTCTGGAAAAGTTTTGCTGCTTGCAAATTAATTAATGATCTTTAGAAGTATATTTAAACAAAACAAGTTAGCAAAATCAGTAATAAAAGAAAAACTAAAATATGTTTAAAATCTTACATTTAAAAAATCGACTGCCTAATAGTATGGTACTAAAAGGCCCAATAGGTTTTTTTGTGTGCAGGATATTAACGCTGTGATTTATGCCGTCGCAAATAAAATTGCCATGCAGTTGAAGTTTAAACTACATTTTGGCTGTGCAAATATAAAGTTTTTTTGCAAGGTCACTGGTAAAATGTCCATAAATGATTACTGATAATGCATACTGTCGGGTGGAGTGGTGACCCATTGGTTAGCATGCTGCGCTATGAACCTGATGAGCAGAGTTCGATTGTTAGCGATGGCTGATATGAATGATATCTGAATTGGTCCCTTAGCCATCCTGATAACAACCCCCACTGGCCTTCTTGGTGAAGTATTGAAATTCGACAATAATTTAAAGTACGCCTTTTTTGTACGCCTTTTGGCGTCCTCTGGTCTGACACCGTTTGAGATGAGGCTCAAAAGAAAGCTGTCTCTGGTGTGGACCAATCAGTTTCAAGGACAATGCATATATTATCAGTGTTTTTTGTTTGCATTTTGACCACAAGTATTGTGGTTAATGCAGACATGATTCCTTGTAATAGGTTTCAGTTTTGTGTTTTAACAACTTAACACCTGTTTGTTGCCAGATAAAAGGGGAAAAACTTATTCTCAATAATTTAAAGTATTTTTTAAATCTCCAGTCTTACGAGGGTTGTCTGCATAAAATATTGGATTTACATCTCATCTTTTGAGCTATACAATGCTTAATATATTAACATTATTTGTGATCGTATGTCATTATTGGCAGACTAGTGGGCACAATGATTAGCATGCAGCTGTTAACCCAGTGATCTGAGTTTGATTCCAGGCAACAACTAATATGAGTGGGGAGTAATATTTGAACCCACCCTCCTTCACCAACCCATCATGACCAGCATTGTGAAGTCAGAATCCGAATCAGAATATGTATTTATGCTGCAGGAATCCGATGAGCTTTAAAACTCTATGACCTACACGGAATGTAAATGCCTTTTTTCAGCAGTGGTTAGACAAAGGGCTGTACGTAACTTTTTATTTCATTGTGAGAATATGCTACTCAGATATTTATTTTCAATTTACCAGCGAACATTGTACGATTTATTAAAATGTGCCCTTTTTATACTTCTAACTTATATATGCTCAAGTTTGAATAACAAGAACCAAGGTATTACACAATAAGCCTCATTATTTGCTGAGAATTAAATATATATTTTAAACGGAAGACACTTCGATCGCGTTTATTATGATGTGACGGTAGCAACCTTGTCTCTGTAAAATGCAAGAGGCTGTTGTATAACTTATTTTTTGCTCAGAAAACTCGAAACTACATTGTCATCACTATGGGGACCTCATTTGCCAGTAAAAATATGATAATTGGTTCTTTACCCTTCTATCTGGCAACAAAACTGACAGTTTTGTTGCCAGATAGAAGGGTAAAGAACCAATTATTATATTGTCATCAGTTTGTCCTTGACATTTGGAAAAATACAGATGTTTTCATGCTGCTCTTTAAGTCTGGCAAACACACCTCATACAAGATTATAAAAAAAAAGTTTGGCTGACTGGCACGTGGGTGGTGAAGCGTGCAGTGAATCTTTTAGAATCAGCTTTTTTCACGGATGTCCAGTGGTGTTGTTACTGCGCACATCTGCCTTATGATGTCACTTGCATCACACTTGCATCTCGCAGTGTGCGTCATATTGTGACCCCCTAACCCCCCTAACCCCCCTCCCCCCACCCTCCAACCCGGCTGTTTATCTCACGCAAATGTCTGGGCAGTGCTATGTCTGGGAAAAAAATCTTGGACAGACGTTGAAAATGTAACAATAGCTTTGTGTAATGTGTGTAAAACTTTATGCAAATTAGATTTGGGGTGATGAAATTTTTAATTGGTTATTAAAAGATGAGAGTAAGATTTACACAAGTCATGATACAAGAAATAGCCCTAAAGGAAGAAAAATTAAATATGGGCAACATTGAAATATACAAAAAGATGAACTCACAATAGTCATTGATAACATGAAAAAAATACGAATGTATAATTTTTCATTATGTAAAACATTTTGTATATTTGCATTATCATACAATGCCGTGACAATTTCCATCGGCACACTTGCATCTTTTTAATTTCCTCAAATTGTGTGCTTGCGTGTTAGGCTGCTCTAAAGAACAGGCAGCTTGACACAGTGGATTTTTTTCTCAAGAGCCAAGAAAATTTGTTTGATGTGAGGGAGGGTGAAACAACATTGACGCAACTGAAAGGTATGATCTGGCGTATTCAATAATGCAGTCAAGAGACGGTTATTTAGCACATAAACATTTAAAGCGTGGTTTTCCACATAAAATGTCACATTCAGCAAATTGTGCTTGGCGTGATGATTTATGGATATCTTGTGTTAAGAGTTACTCCAAGACGTTTTGATTTATGTGTAATCTCCAGCCCACACTAATGTAATTGGCCATGCATTTAATTTGGAGAAGCAATAGAAAACGTCAAAATAAATTTTCTCCTTCAACCCAGTGAAATACAATTATTCAACTTCAACAATAAGGTATAATTGGTACCTCGCAAACACGCTGGGCCTAAAATTATACGCTTGCCATTTGCGCCATTATTATATGGCTGCGTATTTTTCTTTTTGGATAGTTCAATCTGCATATACGCACGGATTAGATATGGGACGAATTAAACAGCCGCTAAACCGTGTGAATGGCAACGTTGATTGCGTGCATGCCAATTCCAGGCCTCCAGGATCTGGTCCCTGCACTTGAGGTGCTGCGTCACGCCGTTGCAGGGAGCAGCGCGGATGCGTCCTCCCAGCCATTTGCCGAGCAGCTCCTGCACCGCGCGCTCGGTTTCCTTCACACCCAACTGCGCCGGCTGTACGACCCCACTCCCAGTACGTTACCACTTTGACACACACTTTGTGAAAGACCCAACGCGGAAGATCCGTGGGTTTGATCTTACACGAAGCTCACGGTCCACCCTAAACTGCATCTGCACAAACCATGGCAGCAGATGCCATGGATACCTGGCATTACCATGGTGTGCCGATCTCGTCAAGGAACACAAACCATCACGCAAACTGCGGTCATTCTCACAGTGGGTTTTGGCTAGCCATCGAACAAAAGTCAGTCAGTGCATCGCGCAATTTCGGATGCGCTTTTGGAGCCGTCCGGAATGTTCTTCCTATATTAGGAAGCCACTGGAGCTATCCACTTTTAAATCTAGATGGAAAATGAATTTCTTTAAAACTACTTTTTGTGTTTAGTTTTTTGTCCTCCCCCCGCATCTCCGATGAGCACGGGTGGCTACATACGGTGCGAAAGAAGTTCAACATACATGCATAATTGGAAAATTAAAAACTCTCCAGTGTGCAACTGTGGTCATCCAGAACTGCCCGTACAATATATCACGACACAATGCCCGATCCACAAATACAAAGGAGACATCACAGTGGTCATCTGACTTGAATGTGACATTTTGGTTGTGTCCTCTGCATCTCCATCAGCTATATGAATGAAGAAGACCACTTAATGCAAAGAAATTGAACGAAGAAGTTTTTTTTTAATCTCTAGCCACAGTGGTCATTTGTGACACTTTCTACAGTGAATTTGTGTAAACTGAGCTGAGCCGATTCATGTGTGTGTGTGTGGTGGGTTGTACTTGTATATTTTCAATACATCGCTCTGGAAGCAAGGGCTGTGGGTTGGTGGATTGCATAGGTTTGTGTGAAATGCCCAAACGCCCTAAATGGCTATCGAACAACAAGTGGGTTTGTGAACGTCCTGTGTTGATATTCAAACATGTTTTCTTGAAAATTGGTTTCAAAGTGAAAAGAAATGGTTTCATTTGGTTTATGATCGCGTACACACTTTTTATACGTTTTACTAAAAAATAAACAAGTAAATAGTAAGCCTGTACGTTCGTCTCCCTTGCGAATTGATGAATTGGCACTGTTTGAGTGTTGTGATTCGATTCAAGAACAGGTTTCTTCTCTTGGAGTGAATGTATCGGCCTCTAGCAGCTGCAGAGGGTCACGTGACCCCATCATAAACATGGTGGACGCATATAAAACAAACATTTCCTACACGCTTTATGGGGCGCACGTATTGTCAACGTAGTAATCTCCCCAAAATTGACACCACGGCTCCTTTTGTTTCTCGAGGCCTCGACCAGCACCAGCAGAAGTGTGCACAGCTCCTGATGGGATTCCTTATTGAGCTGCGGCAGTACATGCGGCGCTACCCGTGGCGGCAGGACGAGGAGGAGGAACACGGAGGTGGTGGTGGTGGCGGCCACGCGGGTAGCGGAGAGTCGGACGAGGAAATCTTGGACCTGCCCGGCACTGAACACTGGGATGAGCTCCCCACTGATGTAAGTATCGCTGCCTTGCTGCTTTGTGCCCTTGTGCCGTGCCGCTTGACCGTTGTTCTCTTGCGAGTTTAATTTCTTTAAGTAGACCAGGGGGTGAGGAAACTTTTTCTTACGTCGGGCTTTTAAAAAAATACCTTTTTGTAGGCCATACATGAACACACACACACACACGTTCCTAGGTCATTATTGTCTTCGCAAGAGGCTCCTGCAGTGAGAGACGTGACAGAATACTAAAATGAAAAAAAAATGTCGTCTTATTGCCCTCTAATATACGATCATTATAGCTCAGATGCTTGCCATGATGGATAGATATCATTAGTGGCCAATTTAATTCTTAAGTTAAGTCATGGGTCATATTTGGCCTACAGGCTAAAGGTTCCCCACGCTTATAGACATTTTGGCAATTATAGCGTATTAGATGTCGCATTGCTTGTTGCAGCAGAGTCATGTGGTGCATAATGGTCAGAAAGTAAAGTAAACAGCATTAAAAAGAGACTCATGATCTTAATGAGATCTTCATCATCATCATTGTCGTCAACAGCCATAACCTATCCATTGCTGGGTGATGAACTCTCCTAACTGCCGCCATGAGCTCTTGCCTCGTTGCAAATAACATAACGGGTCGTGTAAAGGGAAACTGGGAATGCATTCTGTCACTGATGGGAAAACAAAGATCTTGACGGTTCGCTGACTCGGCTTCAAAAGAAGATTATGATTGATAGGGGTGATTTGTTTGGAAAGGGTCAGTGGGGTTTTGTTGACTATTGGTACAAGACTGTGTTTTGATAGAGTTGGAAGAGGGATGGCTCCTTATATTAATAGAGGAGACCTCTGAAACTTGACGATATTCGTTCACTGTTAGTGACATACATTTTTTTTAATCCTTTTCGGTTAATTAACCTGCAATTAATGATGTAAGATATTGCATCTTCCGGGGGATTATGTTATAGGACTTATTAGTCTGAAAACACTTGGATACTTTAAAAACAGCTTTTGCTTCAGGTTGTTAACTGCTTGTGATCAAGCCATTTAGATGGTGCAAGTTTTTTTTTCCCCTGAACCTTTTAATGTTGATTAAAATTGCATCTTTCATGTCCAGTCTGCAATCGTGAAAGCACATGTTCACAGTGTACAGTACCTTGCCACTTCTGTGCCTGTGGATACGTGTTGGTTATTCCAACGGCAAATACAATGTAGCATTGCAAAACGACAAATGAGAAGATATTGCCATGGGTTGCTGGAGGGTAGGGGTACTTTGTCTGCGATTTGTGAGGTAGTCTGCTTCACCCGCAGTCCATCACAGGGGAGCACAAACCTGTCTCGTATATCGGAAACCCTTATTTAAGTGACTAGTCGGTGTCATGCAGTGTACAGCGGAACTGATCACGCATTCATAATTGTAACTGTAACTATTTCTGCTGCAGCATCTTGCCACCACGAGTGCCTGTAAAAAAAGATGACATGACGATATGGCTGCTGGGAAGACAGTGATGGAAAAATGTAATGATTGTGGCTGCTGCCTTCTGGCAGCTGCATTCAATTCCTGTTCCTTTGTCAGGGATCTCGGACGTGTGGGTTGCTCGAGTGTTCATGATGGGGCATAACACGGTGAAGCTAATGTGTAGACCTTAGAGGAGGAAATGTACTTCATCAACAAGGGGTGGTCAATAGGTTTCGGCATTGGCACGTTACAAGGATAGTTTGAGCAATTTATGGATTCTTATCTTATTTTATACTCAGAGTGCCTTAGCTCAAGGCACTTAACATAGTTTTAAAAGCAGTGACACAATTGAGTTACTCAGATGGCAGGGGAGTAAGTGACCGCAACAGAGGGCACATAGGGGTCACAAAAGAGCAGGGCAAGGGGTGGAAGGGCGAGGGGAGGAAAGAGGAGGAGAGTGGGTAATGGAGAAGAGGTGAGCTTTGAGAGAGGAACGAAAGGAGGTTAAGATGGGGACTGCGAATGTACAGGAGAAGTTTAGTCCAGTGGAGGGGTGCAATGAGAGAGAAAGATCGAAAACGAGATTTGGTATGGAGGAGGGACAGAGAGAAGATTGGAAATGCAGAGGACGAGAGGGGACAAAAGGAGATGAGAGAGGCAAGATTAGGTGGGGAAAGGCCATGGAGAGATTTAAAGATGAGTGTAAGGTATTTGAAAAGACAGCGAGTGTAGTCAACATGAAGCCAGCGAAGTTGAAGGAGGAGAGGTGAATCATGAGGATCAAATGGGAGATTGGAAATAATCCGCACGGAAGCATTTTCCATTTGTTGGAGGAGGGGTAAGAGCATTAGTTAAGGAGACCAAGAAGAGAATTGCAAAAGTTCTCCAGATGAGTTCAGACCAGAGCATGCACCAGAAGTTTGGTGGCAGAAAGTGAAATGAGAGTGCGGATTTTCCGGATATTGAACATATCACAGCGGTAGATGCGAGTAGTAGCGACGATATGTGGAGAGAAAAGTGAGTGAAGAATCAAAGGATTGAGGGCAGAGGGAAGCAGGAGAAAGGAGAGGAGCAGATGGTGGGAATGGGAGAGTGAGAGACCGGAAAGAAAATGAATGATGTTTTGGAAAGATTGAGAGAGAGAAAATGAAGCCTGTACGCATGTATGTTGAACTTCTTTCGCACCATCCATAGCCACCCGTGATAATATAATCAGAGGTGCGGGAAGCGTCATCCTGAATTCGATGGCAGCTAGGCTGGAGGAGATTTGAGAGGAAATGTGAGGGGTGAAAGATAGCAAGGAGATGAAGATGTGGGTCACGTTGGCAAAGGAATGGTGAGGAAAGTATATAAAGGAGATAACAGATTCAAGGGGTGAAAAATATAGAGTGAGAATAGTAAGGGACCCAGACCTGAATCCTACAGAACACCAACATTGAGAGGGGAGCGGGGGGCAGGGGAGAGGGTTGAGGAATGAAAGAGATTGACAATGTGCGAGAATAACGGTAAGGCTTGAGCCAAAAGAGAGGCGAGTGCCGGAGATGCCGAGATCGGAGAGAGTGGAAGCAAGAGTGGTTGGTGATCAACGGTGTCAAAGTTTAAGGAACAAGAAAAATGAGAATTGAAGAAAGACTGGCATTGAAGGAGTTTGCAAGATGGTTCTGGACATTGAGAAGGGCTGTTTTGGTGGAGAATATAGAGGGGTCTATAACAAGTATTGCTTTAAGGTATGGCTTAGGAATAAGCCGATACCTGTGTGACCGTTTTTAATATTGCATTCTAAATGTTTTGGCCATTGTAGAATAAATTTGTATTACGATGCTTGATTCACATGTAAATAGTTGCATAACCCATATTCATTCTCAGTGCATCTTGGCTCGTATGTTTTGGAATTGGATGGAAGCGCATAAGCACATAGATTTACAGCACTGTAAAAGGGATTTTTGTGAGATTAATGCAGTGTATGTAGATCACTCTTCAATTTCCGTCTCACAGATGTCAAACAAGATTTGACTTTCATCTTTTTTTTACTTCCATGATCCTAATAACTTCCCTGTCAAATTTCCTGCAATAGACTCTCAAAAAATACAGCCATTCAAAACGTAAGATTTGCACGGCCAGCACTTAAAATGCACACGCACGTAATCGTTGAAAAAATAAATGCCCCGTGCCCAAAATTCAAAACAGCAGCTAGAGTTCTCCACAACCCGTGGTCCATGCAGGCTGAAGCGTGCCCCTTTTCCCTCCGGCTTTGTCTCATTTTACCCCATCCACACTAACTAATTTTGAAGTCTGTCTGACAGGCAGTAGAGCTCTTTCTCTCACCACCTGCTTGTTCTGTTAGTTCCGGGTGTATTTTTCATAATTGTTCAAGTTTTCTATCGACATTGTGCGAGAGTGTGCGCACGGTTGAACAAGAGGAGAAAAAAAGCGAGCACATTTCATATTGTACAAGGATTGGCTGCTCGCACTATTGTTTTCCAGATGTGCGGGAAGGGATACAAATAAAATCCGGCAAGTTAATTGCTGCCATGGTTGTTCTCTCACGGTGATATTTTGGTAAGGGAGTTAGGCATCGGGAAATTAACTCCGAAATCGAGTGCCTCATTTGAAAATTTGATGTGTGTGATCCTGTTTCAATTAAACACAGCAATAATTTGTTCGGTCTTTGTCAGGAGTTTTATATATGCAAATAGTTGTGTTTGTACCACTTACAAATTATGACAGGCTAGCACGAATATATATAATTATTATTTCCATTATTGATGGGTCATGTCATGCTGTTTTTATGCACGAGTATGCTCCTCTGTGTTTCAAATTGGAGCTCTGCAATAAAATGCAGTGTCCTCTACAATACTCACTGCCTGTTGACATTTCATTGTATTATACGGATTCGTTTGATATTGGGAACTGTCGTAAAATTTCAAGATGTCGACACAAAAATAACCCTTATTTGTGTTCTTGAGGTCTCTGTGTACTGACTTAATGTGAATCGCTTCATATCATGCTTTTCTGCCCTTTGTTTTAATATTGCCTGCATATGTCAAAGGGGTTAGAAGTATCCCTTGTATTTGATGAAAAAAAATGGGTTGGATTTGGCTTATTACCCTTTTAAATTGATATCACTTTAATATGCCTGAAGTCCTGTTGGTCAGGTTGTTCCTTTCGCACTTAAGGCTGTATCGTATTGAACCTGCATGTTTGCGTTATCGCAAGTGGTAGTCCATAAATGCTCAATTATATCGCTTGTTCTCCTGTGTAAAATATATTTCTTAGAAAATCATGACGTTTAAAAGAGTTGTCCTGGAAAAGCTATAACTCATGTCAATATTTTTTTTGAAAAACTATGTTGCTTTCATTGAAATGCCGAATTTCTATTGTGCAGCTGCCCTCTCCCCCACCCCCCCATTGCCACTATAAAGCATCAACCATCGGTCTGGGCAGGCCATATCTGTTAGAAGGGACGATGACTGATGGTCCAGAATAAAAACGGAGTGGCAGCCAAGGAATGAAATGCGTCTTAAGGGGATGTTTGCCCAAGGATATGGAGTGACGAAATCGCTTCATATGCATTTGCTATTTGGATTACTACTTCGCATGGTAGCGCGAGGTGGTAGTGGCTTGGAGAGGCCTTCATTCAGCAATGGATTAAACATGGCTGATATCATGACGACTCACCTCACATACGGCTGCACAGTGAACTTTATAATTCACTCGCTCCAACCGAATCTGCCTGCCCTCAACAAAACTCAACTTTTGGATAATTAACTTTTTGTAGGTTATCACATTTTTCTAGAACTTTCTTGAAAATACAAACAGTATTTGTGCACTTTTTAGGACTTTTATTTATTGCAACGTATCACTTTTCTGTGGGAGCGTTTGTTTTTTGTTCTTGCTCTCCGGAATATATTTTCTTAGATTGTTTTAATACCTTTCCTGTTCATCTGCCTTAGCATTGCCTTCATATAAAAATAAAAAACCCTGCTTCTTCATTTACTGTTTTCAAATATATGACCTCTTCAGAGCTTTAAGACCGAGTGCAATTTAATTACTTTACAAATCCAAATTGATTATGTGGTCAGCCTATGCATTATTATTTTGTTCTGTATATAAGGCAGTGTCAATGGAAAAACATTGTGAGTTGTTTTGTGCTTGTTGGCAACCCTTCCAACGCAGCTCCTTAGCATGCTTGAGCGTGTGTTTGCTATGCACAAGTCTGTACAGTATTATAAATTATAAATTAGTTAATAAGACATTTCAAATCTTCAATGGTTCATAAATCCTCCCCCCCCCCCCCCGCTTGCATCTTTTACTCAGCAGGTTTGCATGTGATGGGCTAAAGTGCTGAGAACTCCCACGTTTTCTGAGATGTTCGATTAGCACGGTTGGCTACATACAGTGCGAAAGAAGTTCAAAGTGCGTACATACATACATGTCCTAGCGATCATTGAAACATCGTCCAAAAATACCCTCTGGAAGGGAGGTCCCCTTACACAAGCTGTGGAGTAAATTTGAGCAATTGCAAGGCTGCACCTTTACCTGTTGTAATCGCCTTTCCACTCCGACCATCCATTGCAGGAAGTCATCCGGGATGCCGTGCTCACAAACCAGATCCCTATGGCTCAGGCGTGGCTACGTGTGAAGGGCCACGGGGCCTGGAGGCTCGGCCCGTTCACGAACAGGGGGCTCCACCTGGCCCACTGCGCCCTGCAGGGTGGTGACCTCGACATGGCCACAAAGCTCATCTTCAACATGGTACCTGCGCGTGGTCGACGTTAAAGATCTCAGGACGGCAGTGTTCGAAAAAGAGTTGTCCCGTGTGTGCTGGCGTCATTGTCCAAATTTAATTAAGTACCTGCAGCTCACTCAATTAGGGAAGCCACATTGCAACATTGCCCCCTACTGGCAGGCCGATGTCCACTCTCTGGCTAGTGCGGTTTTCACCTTGTACCTAACAGGGGCAGCTGCCACTAGAGCTCCCCTGCTGCAGGTCGCCTTGAGGTGTTACTGCATGGGAGGCTTGGTATTGAGTGACGATTCTGATAGATTTTGCAATTGTAATTCAAATGTTTTTTTTTTATTTTTCCCCAATTTATATTCCAGTTGTGCTATTTACGCTCTCATGTCTCTCCTCCTCGCCTTCCCCAACTCGCATAGTCCAGCATAGTTAAGTATGGTCAAACAACCCCTACGACCTGCATGTCATGGGGCGGCCATCAACCAGCAGTGGATCGACACGAGGGCTGGTATATGTAACCATACCTTGCAGAGATGTGCATTGTACATGACTGTTGTTTTTATTTCATTTGCAGGGATTCGATACAACTGAGCAGTTGCGCAACATTTGTTGTTACACACTGGAGACAAACCTGCGGGACTTCCTGGTGAGTTTTGTTTGGCGTAAGATGCTCCAATCATCCCGTGCAATCGAGGGTACGGTGAATTCCACAGGGAGCCCTCGCAGCATGTGTCGCGTGACGAGCATGTCCTCCATTAGCTGCCGCCCGTTTATCAAGGTCGCCTGTCCTTCATTTGTGCACTTTGGTTTGTCAAACAGAGCGCTGCTAATCATTCTATAGACAGAGCAGTCGACACGCAACGGCCACAAATTGTCAACTGCTGCTCCAGGCCTCTCTGCATTTGTGCAGTTGTGTATTTAACAAAACTTGCGATCAGCATTTAATCGTTTCATCATTTCTGTTTTAGAATTCTAACCGTGTGTGTGTGTGTATGTCGTTTGGAAAGGTTGAAAAGTTGATCGAGGCAGGTTCTCTCAGAGTGAAATAACGACCACTGAATTTGAAACGTCGCTGAATTTGTCAGGGTAGTGTTAGTTGACGTGCCGCGCTACGAAGCTGGCGACCCGAGTTCGATTCCCGCTCGCGGCTAACACCAGTGGCGATTATCTGCACTGGTCATGGGCCTCGCCCAGGTCAACTCGGCCGCAAATGAGTACCTGGTGTGGTATGTAAATAGTCATCACTGGGGAGATATAGGTGGCCGGGCTTGGTGTTGATCACACACTCCCTCGTGTGTCATGCCGGCCCTCATAGGTGCTCTCGCTTAACAGCACTTGCCCCCAACCATATATTTCAACTATACGGGGGATCTTTGTCTTTGTCTTGTCGTTTGCAAAGGTTGAGAAGTTGATTGAGGCAGATTCGCTGACCCGGAGCGAAATAACGACCGCCGAATTTGTACGTCGTGTGGAGCCGCTCTACGCTCCCCGCACGGAGGATGATGACATTGGCAAGGGGTCGGCGAGGAGCTCAACGTGAGTCCCTGCACAAAAACCGAATTACTCTAAAAACATTCCTGGGATCTGTCGGCTAAGAAAACATCAATACGCTAGTTTAAAATGTGAGCCCCACCCCCCCCCATTCCCCCCCACACTGTTTCGCCAACACATCCACCCTGGCCTCTCGGCTGCATGCTCCGGCAAGAAAAGATTTGTAGAATTCAATACAGAGAAGACTTAAACAAATAACGGTGATGATTAACAAGAAAACTAGGTGAATAAATATTTTATTGTAAACAATGTTTCTTTTGGTAACGTCCTCACTTTTTATCTGAAGTCTTACCATAGCTGTAGTTTGCTATGAAAATGAGAAAATGCCACGTGTTGAATTCTTTAAATTTGTAAACGCACGTCAAAAAATAGGTCACGCAAAAAAAGACATCCCGTTGATGTGGTATCTGAAATGACAGCAAATGAAACCTAATTACATTCTGAGAAATTGAAGCATGTAACATTTTGAGAGCCAAGACCGAAGAGAGAAAAAAAAAGAAAGGATGAAGCAAGGGAGAGAGAGAGAGAGAGAAGGAAAAAAGTTAAAAGCATAATGGCCAGGGACCTCCGCAGAGAGAGTTCAAATAGAGTGGGTTGGGCTGTGAAGCCCACGGGGTCACAGCTCACAAATAAGCAGTGGGAACTTAATGTCACTGAATTACCCTTTCTCAGAGAGGGTAGTGTTCCTGTGATTCTGCTGGATTTCACCTACGTATTTTCAGGTGAATTTGAGCATAAAAAGGTTTTAAATATTTAACCGAGTTGACGTTTTATTTTCATTGTAAATGTAATATAATAAATTCCGATTATTTGTAAATGTCAGCTGAAAACAAAATTGGGTTACGTGGGATTTTTGTTGTTGTCAACATGTAACTTTTGGCATTGTTATTTGTGCTGTATTAAAACATATATTAGCAGCTTCAAAATACATTTGTTATTATAGATGTAATGAATAATGACATTCAATAGTAGATCTTGGCACAGTTTAACATTGCAAATTTTGTTTGCTAAATCATTCTTTCTTAAGAGATACTTGTATACATATTAATCTCCATACTTATCTTCTCCAAACACAAGCCCAACCCATACAATATTGGTGTCAAGTTAATTCTAAGGCTGTTCTCCAGAATCACATCACTTTAAACTGTCCATTGTTTGCACTTTGAGCAACAAAAAATATATTTTTTTTCATGTTCACGTTAAAGAGATAGGCAAGAGAGGCCTGGTTAAAATAGAAACAACGGTGACGGTTCAAGCGCAACAATTCAGACTCGGCATTGAGCGTCGTTTCCGCACATGTGACAACAGCAGGTGGTTCAAGAGTGCTTGCTACACATGAGACATTTCTAAAATCAACATCATGAATGGTAAAAAGTGCAAAGGTGTCTTTTTAGACCAAGGATCTGAAAATTATTGTGAAAGAAGTCTTAAGAACATTTGCATGTATATTATCCAAATAGTGGCTCAAAACACCACGTTATAAACTGACCACAACGTGGAAAGCGTGCGGTGGGTTGCACATGTGTGTGATTGTGTGTGGCTCTAAATTTAGATTCCCGCTCATGACCAGTATTCGTGACGAATATCCGAACCGTGCAGGGACTCTCCTAGGTCGATTCAGCCTTAAATCAGTATCTGGTGCGATATATGTGATAACCATTAGCACTGGGGAGACAGTTGGCCGGGCGTGGTGCTGGCCACCCACTCCCTCGTGGTGCCGTGCAGGCCTTCATAGGTGCTTGTGGAATAACACTTGTCCCAACAGTGTTAATGGCTATGCAGGAGATCTTTGTCTTTAGTGGCTATAAATACATGTGTATACGTGTAGTGAATTACATGCTGCCTGAACAAAAGATATAATGCTGTACACGCCAACTCGGCTTTTGTTAAGTGTTTATAAATGCTGATGGTTCATGATGAAACCCATGAATGGTGAATAATTAATGTTAATAAATAAAGTTTCAACGACAAAAGGAATAGTTGTGCGTAATGGGGGAAATATCAAACTTTTTCACCAAATAGGCCTTTGTCAGCATGTCATTGGAGTGTTTAGATGTGTATGCTTGTATTGTGTTTTAAAAAAGATCAATTGCAGAACACAGGCCCCAAGCGGTAAGCGGATAACAACAAAGTACACCTTTGAAGGTGTCGTAGATAACAGTTGATGTGTTTTATTTAAATTGAGGAAGGTTGTAAGAGCTCGTGAGAAGAGATGATGGGAGGGTATTTCAAAGTGGAGCGCACGGAGGAAAGGAGGAAGAAGTGGGAACAGACGTGTTTAACCCGGTTAGCAAACTCCAAACCCGGTGACTCGAGTTTGTATCCTGACCATAGCTAACACCAGTGGCGAGTGATAATCTGAAGCAGTCTCGAGGCAATCCGCCAAACCACTTTTACCAACCCGCAGTAACCTGCATGATGACGTGGTCAAACAACCCCCATTACTGACATGGCATGTGGAGGGAGCTTCTACCAGCAGTAGATTGGCATGGCAGAGGATTGTTGTTTTATAAATGTGCGCACGACTGTCGTCACTTTGTAACAAGCCCTAATCTTTATCTGCATCTATTACAAACCAAAAATATCTATGTAAAATTAGCTATTGAATGCACTTTAACATTTAGTTTATTTTCATTTGCCCTGTAGATCCTGTACATCTTATTCGTAATTCCTTCCCATCACAGTCATTCTTTCCGTTTAAACCAAGAGACAATGTTTTAAGGGCTACATGAATGTCCAGATTGCTTTAACAATTCATTATTTATACTTTCAATAAAGAGATTCGCTGGTCATGACTCTGCTGGTGAACACCTTGAGGCTAGAATACTTGTATATTAATTAATACTTCAGAACGCTTGGTGATTTTAAATCTTTTGTGAAACGCCGAGCTTGTGGGTGATCAGCTCAGGGCTATGTAATGTCTCCAGTGGAAATGTCACATACTCTACATGATCAGGATGATCAGGATGATGACATATTAATGAAGCATTTGCACTCGGTCTCGCTTTTAAATGTGGCTTTTTATATGAAGAGGCCCTGTTCTTCTGTGGGTGCAAGACCTCCAGTGGAAGTGTGATACTGCTGTGGCAGTGTTACAGAGACTCGGGTGGGATCAATTAATTTATATTAGACTTGTGACCATTCACACCCCCTCCCCACTCTATCCAGTGAGTTGCTTTAATTGTTACAATTCGGGGGGTCATGATTCGATTCGGTAATCGATGATTTTACGTCGCGTTTTACTTCCTCATTTCTGTTGTTCGTTGCGTTCGTTTCATTCGCCTGACCGCAATGAGATCCGAGGTGGCTCGCTCTGCAACAGAGGGGCATCCCACATCGCAGTCGGGTACTCTGTGAGAGGCGGGACAGAATGTGCTCCTTTCACCAAACCCGCACTGGGCAGAATGGCGAACGTATGACGTTACAACAACTCACCCTTAATAACCGACACACTTGAATTTAACATCGGAGTAAAATTTGCTTTGATTAACATGAATGCATTTTCGCACGTGCAATTCTTCTGGACGTGTATTTTGGAGTACATTAGTCTTTTCATTGATTTATCGATGCATCGTGAATTGTATAGTTTATTCTCATCCAAGGTTATGGACTTGACTGCATTCAGCATGTAACACAGAGTGTGAGTGGTGCTGTCTATGCTCCGTATCTACTCACGACAGCTTCAGTCTTTAGAATCTCTATATGGAGGAGGCTCCTTACTGTCATGTTTGACAGTTATTTTTAGAGTTGTTTCGTGCATGGGTGGAAACCAGATTGCCAAGAGAAAAACCCCACATTCGGGGGGGGGGGGGGGTACTCTGTTTCAAAAAACATAGTCCATCAGTACTGAACTTTTTCTGCTGCCCCTCTATAAACGAGCTTGTTCACTACACAGGCTCCATATCTGTGACCCAGATCTCATCCATCAAAGTTACCGGTTTGCAGATGTGCTCGACCACACTCAACAAATCTTATTCGTGTGGGATAGAATTTTTTTTAAAAACCTCAAGATGCATCGACTTGGACCCATACACTAACTGGCCAAAAGGCACTTATCCACAACACTCATAATGTCAAATTGAATGTGTTCCAGTGAATTCTCTTTTCATGTAGATCAGAATGATACTTTCAGCCATCTGCTGCACTTGCACACTGAACATGCTTTCATGATTGAACGGCAGCATTACGACATAAATTGATACCCTTGTGCGGGTCAATGTGGAATACCTTGGACTATGTTTTTGAGATGAGAGCCACTGCTGATTTATTGTATGAAACCTGGAATCTACTACTGCTTGTTAACTTCTAACTGCTATCCACAGATTTTATTGACAGGTAGCACTTAAGTTTTTAGAACTCAGCCCTTCCCTTTAGTTTAAATTGAAGAAGTGTGTATGCCACTTATTCTTTGGGTCTTTCAGTAAAGTCACGTAGATGGTTAAAATAAAATAACAAAAAAACTACGACGTTTCGATCACAACACAAACGATCGTCATCTTTGAACCGTCTACGTGACTTTTTTGTATTATTTAAAAGCTACAGAAAACGTATGACATTGTGATTGTCTTCATGGGCCCTCCTTCACCAACCATGGACAATGTGCCTGGTCTAATCAGAGGTTCGAAGTTAAGCAGGGCTTACCTTGGAGTGACCACCAAGCATAGACCGGTTGTCATAAGACTGCCAGGCTATGTGGTGCAGAGCCAAGAGCTGTGAATCAATATCCATTGTTGTACTATTCCTCTATGCTCCCACATCTGTGCTCCCCGCCATCAGCAACCCACATTGACCAGCATGGTGAAGTTTAGTCATGGTACCCCCACGATTCATATACCTTCAGGAGGCCCTCATCCAGCAGTTGATTGACAAAAATACCTAATTGTACATGAAACATTTTAACCTCATCTTCAAATCCTTGCCAAGATTTCAAGCATTGTATAAATGCTTGAGAGTAGCTTGTTTTCCTAATTTTCCAATTGTGCTGTGATTTTGATGTGAATAGAAATATCTGGGGTCTCGCAGTGGCTGAGGGCAGCAGAGATGCCCTGCTCGAGAGAGTCACAACCTCTGGTCAGGCGACTACTGGCGGGGTCGGCATTATGCTGGACTGGGCATATCGATGGGATGATGTCACTCGGCAAAGGATCCTTCTGGACCGGCATGCGGGGACGGATAAAGCTGTGGACAAAGGTAAGCTCGTTTTGTGCATCCGACTCAATTTAGTCCTGTGAAATAATTCACACCTCAGTGGCCGCACGTTTGTTGCCTCGCCATACACGACATCGCTGCAATTTATCGCGCCCGTCGCACCCCGTGGTGCACACAAGTGTTCATCGGTGCCCTCCACCTGTGTTACGGGACGTGTCCATCACTAAATTTTCCGTGTTTAAAGTGCCACACTCTGATTTTCCCGGAGGCACGAGCGCACAATCCAATTTGTGCGTGAAGTTTAGAAGATATTTGAGAATTTAAATGCTTTCATGCGCTTGAAGAGAACTAAAAAAAAAAAAATACAGTTTGTTAAAAAGTACTTTTGAGCAAAAAGATGTTGAACATTTCTGACTTATTTTTGTACAAACATTGCTTTGACCTTTGGCACCCATAACTGAGATTTTCATTAAAAAAAAGTACCTATTTGTTTGACACCTGCACAAATTCCTGAACACAGACTAATCTTATATGCCAGTCTATTAACAGAGTCTTTGTTTTGTTAGGGGGTTCATTTCTACTAAGAAATGCACGCTTAGAAATACGCAAACGCACATGTCAGTAACATGAATGCTCAGATTGTAACACGCACATCTTAATTGCACTGATTCATAACACAACATATTTAGTTTTTTAACACTTTTTCAAGTATTGTTACTAATCCTGCTCTGCTCTGCAGATCTACATATCGGTGTTGGTAAGCTGCGTGGTGAGTTTTGTAGCCATTGAATTTAAGGGTTTTGAGTAAGCATGTGACGCATCCTAGGACAGACAGACCGACGTGATATTTGCCAGGCAAATAGCAAAGTGGCTTCACAGCTCCATAAAAAAAATAACGACGCCGTTTTTCCCCTTTGACCAGACTCGACCGCCTACTCCCCCGAGGTGCTTTGGTCCTTCCTAACGTCGCGCAATGATGGTCCACGGCTGGGCCGCTGGGCCACGGCCTCGGCCGGAGGCGTGGTGCGGGAGGCCGCCTGGCCCGACCTCCCTGTCGACATGTCCTACGGCTGCTCATTGTGCAGCCTCCACCTCCGCGATGCTGTGCTGGATGAGATGGCGAGGTGAGCCGGACCTCTGTGTGTGTCTGCGCAAGTCCTCTCCAGCGAGGGCACGATATTTCGGCAACGGAAAAATTCTGTGTTAGAATTTTAAACGTTGGGATAAAAATGTTCTTGTTGTTGAAATATAAGTGTATTAAAAGTGCCTTAATTAAAGTAGTTATATTCTTTGAGTCTTTTGGTGAAGTCACGTAGATAGTTTAAAGAAAATAACAAAAAACTACAACCATCTACGTAACTTTACCGAAAGACCCAAAGAATATGAATTCCTGCGGTCACGAAAGCTTTAAGTCAAGATTTAAAAGTAGTTATCACTGTTGTTGCTGAAAATCTCTGCTTGTGTTGTCCCTCTTTTATTTATTAGTCAAGGGAGCTCTATAGTGTATTTGACCTAATATGCTAGGTTGGCCAGAAGCCACATGTGACCTACCGATCGACTAATTGTGATGTACACATTTGTACTGCTGGGTGGTTAGAGGCGGGGAAAGGGGGGGGGTGGATTTTACGGAACCAGAGGTCATGACCCTCGAGCAGTGCTTCCCTGCTGCCCTCAGCAACTGCGGGACCCCAGGTATTTCTATTCACAAATAGTAGTCCCCCGCACCTCCGATTAGCACGGTTGGTTACGTTCGGTGCAGAAGAAATTCAATATACATACATATACAACTGGTGACCTGGATTTCTAAACCAGTGTGCTGACCATTGCACCATGGTAGACTCCATGCATCCTTGATGAGAGTAAAATTGTGTTATTATGTCGTACAGTATTTAATGTGTCTGTAAATAAGCATGGTGAAGTTATGCTTCTAGAATATTCCTTTTATGTAATAGGCCTCTTTTTTTATTATGTAATTTGATAATAAGTGACCTTAAATAAAAAGACGCTGATGAATTCCATGAGATTGCCAAATGCCAGTGGGTGTATTCCGCTGTCTTGCAGAAGCCAACTGTGTCTTTTGATGGGACGTTCATTTTTATTATTTTGGAACCAGTTGTGATAACTCTTTGCGAAACGCGATTTCATTTCCAGCAGAGGATTAAGGATGAACATTATATTGCAACATTATGGGAATATTTCCCTCGTGCTTAGGAAATCAATAGAAGTCTCTTTTTAATCAGCCGAGTGCTCGTAGCGGAACAATGTGGCTTTTTACACAGACGACCAGGGAAACAAGGATAGAGATGGTGAACATAAAACATTTTGATTATTTATTTACCGAATGCTTTTACACGTGACTGCAGCTCGCTGGCCAAATCGTCATAATCCTGGCCAACACGTGACTACAGTCACACCAGTTACACCTCCAGCCCAGGCCTTAGGCTCCGGACTAAGGACCCAGGTCCAATATGGCAGGACTGTCTGCGGCTATTTGTGATGTTATTCGTGAATTTAAAATGTGGTATGCATTTCGGGGCGGTGGCACCGTGGCTTGCACACCGTGCCGTGGACCTGACGAGATGAGTTCCATTCCCGACCGCTCTTTCACGTCAAGTACCATGTATGTATGTATGTTGAACTTCTTTCGCACCATCCTACGGAGCTAACCATGCTAATCAGTTCCCACTTTGCCAACCCACCTTGGACCAGCATCCTGAAGTATAACCAAACAACCCGCACCTCCGATTAGCACGGTTGGCTACGTACGGTACGAAAGAAGTTCTACATACATACGACCAGAGGTCGCAACCGGGTACCCGATACCCGTACCCTACCCGATACGCGGCTACCCGTACCCGGCCGGGTACGGATAGCCGTTTGCGACCCTGGTACGGCCGGGTACGGGTAGGCCGTGAGTCACTGGTGAGTAACCATTTGTCACTCATTTCGGGTAGGATACGGGTACGGGCAGGGAACGGGTACCCGGCCGGGTACGGGTACGGGTACCCATTTGCGACCCTGGTGCGGCCGGGTACGGGTAAGGAATCAAAACCCGTTTGCGACCTCTGCATACGACCCCGACGACTGTCACGGAAAGGCGAGGCCCTTCATCCAGGAGTTGAATCGGAATCTTTATTAATCCTGGAGGAATCTAATTTGCAAAGGGGTTGTACATTAGAATTTTTATTTATCTAATACATTATTAATAACGTGTTTGAAATTGTGGGGTATTTGATCAATGGCCCATTTCAGGATCCCTGTTAGGAATAATTAAATGCCTTCTTGAGTCACACATTAACGAAAGGCTAATGGAGAAATTTGTCAGGTGTGCTTTCCGTGGCATAACTAACACGCTGTCCAAATTGCTACATCAGACCCAGTTCAGGCATCCAATATTACACTGATCTTTTCTGCAGAATTTCCAATCTTTGAAATTAATCATCATTAAGTTGTAATTAACGTTTAAATATTAATGTTAATGCCCAAGCATGCTTTGCAACCATTTCTTACATGTTTTTCCATAAGGTTTTAACATTTAGAGTAGTCAACGTTTAAATTGAAATAGGTGTACCTTACAATTGCAACATTTTTTTGTATTAGAGGACATTGTAAGTCTTATGCTTTGCATAATTTCAAAACAGGTTTGTTTTTTTGTGCTCAATGGACTTTGTACCACAAGGGAGCTTATTTTTCTCTCCTCTCCTCAGCAGCTGCATGTTGAATTAACAGGTTATTGAATCTCAAAGCATGCCAAATAATACCTTTTCAAATGCACAGCAACAAATATCTAGGTCCAGGTCGCTTTTAGTTGTAAGAACTGTAATCACCGATTCCTTCAGCCGTTTTAACTGCAGTCTGACAAATATTTTAGCAGCATGACTTCTGTCCAACTTTTGATTAAACTGAGGTAATTATGTTTCATGCGTAGGCTACTTTTTCCAATATTCATTCGTTGCTTGTCACGGCTGAGATTGTAGCTGTGTTTTGTACAGCTTCCGTGACTCAGACATAGTTCATGCCCTTCTTTTGATATCTCGGTGTTATTTGGGCCCATCCAATTTCCTTCCACGTCACCATTGAGCATCATTCGTTTCTAACATTGTCAAGCTTAAAAAAAAAGAATATAAAAGTTTTTCCCCCATTGAAATCTGCTTCTGTATAAAGGCTCAGCGAGGCTACCCCCCCCCCCCACTCCATTGTTCCTGTACAGCTTGCCCAAGTATCCAACATGTTCTAGATTTGAAGTTTTTTGTGACTGCAATGAACCATACTCTTTGGTTCTTTCGGTAAAGTCACGTAGGTGAAAATAATAAAATGAAAACAACTAAATTAAATCACGACGTTTCGGGCGCAACACAAGCATCCTTCATCAGGTGGGGACCACCACAGCGAAAACAAACGCTGACGTATGCCAAAGAGATGGCTGTAACAAGGGATTATATAGCCGAGGGGGCGGGGGGGGAGCCAACTCTATTTTCACCGACGTGACTTTACCGAAAGAACCAAAGAGTATCCAACATGTCCCAAGTTCTAATAAACTCCATCTCCTCTTTAATCATCCCAGCACACTTGTCAACTCTTTGGATGCCTTTGCACCCTTTCTGCGAGCAAGGGTGCACACATTTATTTAATGATTTTCTACTTTTGTCGCTGGTTAAAAAGTGACCATGATACACACGCGCTTTTTTGTGTAGTGCCACAATAAATTATTGCTTTTTCTGGTTATCGTACGGCTATTTTAAAGAGATTTGGCACACAAGTGTAACTCTGTAAATGATCTTCTTGTTTCTTTCGGTAAAGTCACGTAGAAGGGAAGTAATAAAATAATAAAAATAAAACATAATAAAACAATTCTCACGACGTTTCGGCTACAACGCAAGCAGCCGTCTTCAGGTGAAGAATGAGACACTACCAAACTAGGAGCTTATATATAAGCTGCATTGGGGGTTGAAGAGCGCCTTAACAAAAAGAATGTGCATGTGAAGAGGGATTTAGCATATTCATGGAAAATGCGTAGGCGTTGGGCGGGGGGGTGTCAAAGTCATATTATGCCCATGCATTATGCAGGATCAGCAGCAACCAAGGGGGGTGCAGGGATTAGCAGTAACAAAGGAAAGGAATGTTAATGATATGTAGCTGCAGTTACTCAACAACACGTAGAAAACTAAAGTATAAACTACATAAAAAACTAAAGTATAAACTGCATCGCACCATCAGTATACTTACTATACTCTATAATAAGCTGAGTTACTAACAGCAAGTAATACATTACAATTTTACCTCGTAAAAATTCTATAATATGCTTCCATCTAAACCTTATTCTCTTACATCACACGAGCATATACCGTACTATATACTGCCATAGATAAACCCAACATTAAATTATATACTGTATTGCTGTAAACCAACCTATATCTTATACATTTAATATCACACTATGTATTATTCTACACACCCTAATGTGTATCGAAATGGTTTATTACGTCCTTCCAATGATTGCTGAGCCAGAATCCATCTTCTCGGTTACACAGAGACAACTTTAACCGAGAAGATGGATTCTGGCTCAGCAATCATTGGAAGGACGTAATAAACCATTTCGATACACATTAGGGTGTGTAGAATAATACATAGTGTGATATTAAATGTATAAGATATAGGTTGGTTTACAGCAATACAGTATATAATTTAATGTTGGGTTTATCTATGGCAGTATATAGTACGGTATATGCTCGTGTGATGTAAGAGAATAAGGTTTAGATGGAAGCATATTATAGAATTTTTACGAGGTAAAATTGTAATGTATTACTTGCTGTTAGTAACTCAGCTTATTATAGAGTATAGTAAGTATACTGATGGTGCGATGCAGTTTATACTTTAGTTTTTTATGTAGTTTATACTTTAGTTTTCTACGTGTTGTTGAGTAACTGCAGCTACATATCATTAACATTCCTTTCCTTTGTTACTGCTAATCCCTGCACCCCCCTTGGTTGCTGCTGATCCTGCATAATGCATGGGCATAATATGACTTTGACACCCCCCCGCCCAACGCCTACGCATTTTCCATGAATATGCTAAATCCCTCTTCACATGCACATTCTTTTTGTTAAGGCGCTCTTCAACCCCCAATGCAGCTTATATATAAGCTCCTAGTTTGGTAGTGTCTCATTCTTCACCTGAAGACGGCTGCTTGCGTTGTAGCCGAAACGTCGTGAGAATTGTTTTATTATGTTTTATTTTTATTATTTTATTACTTCCCTTCTACGTGACTTTACCGAAAGAAACAAGAAGATGAATCCCTGCAGTCACGAAAGCTTTAAATCTGTAAATGATCCCATTTCGGTCCACCTTGTGGACCCACGGCACCAGACGCTTACCACCTTTTTATGGAATATCGTTGGGGCCTAGATTTGAAGCTTTCGTGACTGCAAGGATTCATATTCTTAGGTTTTTTCGGTAAAGTCACATAGGTAAAACATTAAAATTAATAAAAGTAAAATAAAATAAAAATCACGACGTTTCGGAAGCAACACAAGCTTCCGTCTTCAGGTGGAACCGTCACAGCCCGACAGCTGTCGGGCTGTGACGGTTTCACCTGAAGACGGAAGCTTGTGTTGCTTCCGAAACGTCGTGATTTTTATTTTATTTTACTTTTATTAATTTTAATGTTTTACCTACATGGTGACTTTACAGAAAAAACCTAAGAATATCGTTGGGGCCGTCGATGTGTGCCCATCGCCAACGGGGGGGCTCCCCTTTTGTTCCCACGGTAACTCCTTCCATTGGATGGCGTGTCTAGCAGAATGTTCAGGCTGCGAGATAATAAACGAATCTCTCTCCCAGGTGCTTTGAAGCACAGCATGGGGAAAATAAACGGCAACTAGTCTGATGCAAATTTGGTGTATGCGAGTTTTGGTGCATTGCTGGCTCCAGAGTTGCAAGTGTAGACACTGTTCGTACATAGCCCCGTGACCCAGAACTGTACGCCCGTGTGACTTTGGCTTATTCGGCGAACGCAAAACAAATCGGATAGCACACTTATGTCTATATGTAGCACCCGTTGCTAATTGACTGTACTCGTGTTTGCATGTGTGTGTGTGTGCTTTTGAAGGCGGGGATGCTTTGTCCCAGCAGAAGCGTCTGATCTGGAGCGGTTGGTCGTCCGGTTGAGTAGAACGGGTGGTCTTATGCAGCCTATTCATCCGCTTGCTCTCCGCAAGGCAATGGCTGACAGGTGCGTTTTATTTTTTTGACAGTACGTTTTAAATGTTCATGTTTTGTTGAATTCTTTGCCTATTTTTTGGTCTGTTGTTTGTGCTTTTGCACCACTGCCAACGGTGCAGCATCGCCAAACTTTGAAAGTTCGTCTTCGACACCTACCGATGAGTAACCGTGCTTTTTTTTTTATTGCCAGGGCGCTCGTGGAAGGCTCGCGGAACGGAGCGGACCCCCCCGCATACTCCGCGCCTCGAATTGGCGAACCATCGGACGTGGAGCTTTTCCACGATGGTTTCATCCGCTACTGTGTGGAGAGCGAGCTGCGGCACCTCCTCTATGCCTACCTGCACTACTACAAGTACGAGCACGTGTTCGCACTTGGACGGCGCTATTCTGTTTACCACATTTACTGTTAAGCGATGAGAAAATATGAACCACCTTTAGAATTTTTGCGATGTCAAATGTGAAAATGACCAGACGAACTCATTGTACCAAAATAATAGTGTGGGCCGGAAAAGCTGCGAGTCTTAAACGAGATGTGAAAATGTTTACAAAGCACACAGCTATTTGTGCATATGTAAAAACCCAACCATTTCCTGAATAAGTGTATTGTGATCCTCTTGTAGTAGATCACCATCAACGTAACTTTGAGCAAATGTGACCAACTGACAGCGGTAGTGATGTGCAGTGTAAGACAACTGTCGGCCAGTATCTAATTAGTACAAATCACAACTGGAAAACACAACTAAGTATTATATCTTGGACATTTTCTATGGGTCTTTTAGTAAAGCCACCGAAAGACCCATAGAATATATTCTTAGGTTATATGAATCCTTACAGTCATGAATCCTTGCAGTCACGAAAGCTTCAAATCTAGAACCCATAGAATATGTATTCCTGCAGTCACGAAAGCTGTAAGTCAAGATATCTTGGACACTAATTGAATTTGGAGCAGGATAAAAATGATGATATAGAGGTGAGCAAGAGCAGTTTGTAGTGCTTTTGGAAGATTGAACCTGTACATGTGTCTTGAAGAACATTATCAAGCAGTACATATCCTTAGCACTGGCATATGTTTCAGAAAACCATGCAGAAGATGTCGTTCGAAATTACTCTGAGACTGAGACGGAAAGAGGAACGCACTGTGTCGGAGAACACAAATCGTTGGACAGCATATCGACTGTTGGGAAAAAAGTAACTGAATATGATAATAGTTTTTTTACCCTTTTATTTGGCAACAAAACTGACACTTTTTTTCACAAGGACAGTGCATACATGATAAGAGTTGTGTTTTTGTTTGTATTCCGACCGCAGGTATTGTGGTCAATGCAAACATGACTCCTTGTGAAAAAAGGTGTCAGTTTTGTTGCCAGATAAAAGGGTAAAAAGAACCAATTATCATAAAAAGTAACTGAGCATCGCTAAAAGAGACGTATATGAATTCCTTTTGACCTAAAGTTAATGCTGGTTGCAGTGGTCTCATTGGGTGTTGCAGTGGAAGAATATCCGACTCAAAAAGGTTATTTCACGGTTGGAATAAACTTTTTTCCCTTGGCAGTGATTTAAAATGAGTACCAGATTGATGGAATTGAAGATTTTTCTATTTTTTGTTGTGGGTACATTGGACCGTATTGTAGAAATAGGTTTTTTTTGTTTTTCTGGAAGAAGGTGACATCTTCAATAAAGCCATCTGATTTGCTTGGTTTGGCCGACAACACTTGTGTTAGCTACTTACGATTGTTGACCAGTGAACACGTGGGCACTAGAATAACAGCGGTGTCCAGTGTTTGTGCAGTGGCTTTATACTTGGAACTGACAAGAGTGTGATACATTTAACAAGTAGCAGAAGCAGCTTTGAATCCGCTTATGTTCCATGTTAGGACAGACTAATGAATACCAGTCGTTCAGTGGAATGTGTATTTTGTCTCGCCCCTATATCCCCTCCCTGCATGTGACAGCCATTTGGAATCATTGTAACCTCTCACCTTTAATCTTTTGACATGAAAAGCAATCCCGGGCGAAATGGTGTGCTCTTTAACTGCCCCTGAATTTTTTTTGAGATTGTACAGACCATTCAAGAGAGATCATGGAACAGGACCGACAGGCTTGATTGCTGACTTGACACTGCTTTTGGAAGAGCCGCTGGGAAAATAATTAAATATGGCAGCACTTGTATAAAGCCCTCCTTGACAGCTAATTCTCCACATGTTCATGGTAGACTGTCAACGTCCTGCAGGCCTTTAAATAATGCTCATGTGATTCATATTTGTGCTGAGGGAACCAACCCTTCTTCTGGAGATTGTGGACATGCTTACATAATAGGGCCACCCTTTGGAGACTTAAGAGAGTGCAGAGAATCATAAGTGGGCTTGGGCAGGAGACATTACTGGAAGAGATCAAGACCAATGGTCAAGACTAATGATGGAGTAGCAGCCTGAAGAAAGGGATGCGTGGGATATACGACCACTGCGGAGATGGAGCGAAGAGATCACTTAATCTGCATGAGCAGGAGATAGTTGCATTCTTAGACTGCTCTAAGAAGCTTTCATCCAGCAGTGAATAGAACATGGCTGATCATGTTGATGATGATTAATGTCTTAAATGCACATTGCCTTCTTTTAAGTACATACACATTGACTTGAGATTTCTTTTGGCTTTTTAGCATCACAACTGCAATTTAGGTGCGTTTTTAGAAACATTGTAAATTAAAAAAATTGTATCACGCATTCTGTCAGTCCATTTTAAGTTTGGCTTTACGAAAGTCACGAACAACAGCTAGGGCACATCACTCTATGCCTGTTTTATTTCCCAAGTGACTATGCAAATCGAGCCAAAGTATTAACAATCCCATAATTATACAAAACAATAAGTACCACTTTACTTTGCAATCAAAGTTTGTCTAAACGACACGTCTAAATGCGTGATTCGGGGTGTCGTGAACTCTAAGGAAACCCTTGCATCCCAACCACCTATTGATGCAATTTTGCTACGGATTATTGCCGCACGCTTTCAGAAAGTGACTTCATATCCTTGGTGTGTCACCTTGTGGGTACCTCCCTGAGTGGCCACCTTTAGCACGGGGATCTTCTGAAACCAACAAGTGGTGCCTCCTTAATCTTATCCTAACTGGGGAAAAGCCGAAACGGAGGATCCTGCCCTCTTATCAGATTGCAAGAGATCAAGTGCCACTATCGCTGTTCGGTGCTGACGATCAATAACACCCTATTCGGACGTGGGCATTGGCCCTGCACTATTTTTTTCTAGTGTTAGAAGAGGATTTTTGCGAGGGTTCAAATGGAGACGTCTGCATTTCTGTCACCTTACCACCTTTGTTTTTTCAGTTTCCCAATCCCATACTTATTTCCCAATAAACTAATGTCTCTTGCTCGTCACCAGTTCAATAGGAAAAAATGTAACTCCTTAAAAGAGGAGTCGTTATATTTTATGAACAGCATTTATTGGAAAATTCAGTTTCCACGTAATAATACATCAGAGTATGAAAAGAATATCCACTTTATCTTTACAACTTAGTGTTTTATATTGAAAAATTGCATTCCGTCCTTTTTTCAATGACCATACTTCACAAAGACCTTCATGATATCGGTGTCATTGTAAAAAAAAAAAAAACTACGTTTTTAGTTCTGAAATTCCAAACGTATCCACACCCGCCGTGACAGCGTGAAGAGTATTGGCCGCACTGTGGAGGCCGCAGGCGTCCCACGTGTGTGCGAGATAAACCAGGGTGCGGCATATCTCGTAGTGTGTTTTCTGCATTGTAAAAACGTTGCCGGACGTTTCCATTTGAGCCATGAGAAGTCTACAAGTCACTGAAAATAGGGCCAGCATCTCATTTAGTGCCAACACGTTCCCTGGGGAGTTGAAGCTGTCGTAAAAGCAGCATTGTTCTTTCCAGCCTAGCCGCTGGTTTGGTAGATAAAACCGCACTGTGTAGTTACTGCCATTTAAAGTGGATTCAGGGGCTGTACATTATAATGTCACGAATGTCTTCCCATCACTTCTGATAACAGAGTGCCTGCAAGTAAATCACTGCCTCGATCTGCTTGGCTTTGCAGGAACCACTTTCCAATGGGATCTCTTTGCAACCGAGCATTATAATCGACAGGCAGGTTACGCGTATTCATAATTTGAAGCAGCAGCGGCAGGTCGATTTAATTCTACACTTTTCTTGATTAAGTTAACTTTTGTACAGCTGTGCGTGTGTTTAATTAGTTACCCACAACCTTCTTGGCCTTCTTCCGCATAGTCAGATGAATAATCGCAAATTGAAATTTTTTGAATAATTACTATCCGACGTAGCAACTGCAATAGCATTGTATTACTAATAACTATTTAATATATTTGTATTGCGAGAATATTTTACACGGACGAGAGGAAGCTTCACCAGTCACTCAGCAACGCCCCAAAATCCCCATCTCCCCACTCTCGAGTGCCCCTGCCCTCGGGCCTGGCAACCCCCAGGCCCCCCCACCCCACGCTCGCACACCCATTCCTTGATTACTACACCTTCCCCTGTACCCCTCACCACCCCCCCATGTGCAGCTGTACCCTTGTGCCGGGCATCCGGCGTGGCCCTACTCCTCTCACCCCCCACTGCCCCTGTAACTTCTTGTTCATGTCACTGTTGACGGAAGGGCAGCCACTCGAGGGAGCTCGAGCGAGCCCCTCCACGGGATACTTTGGCCTCCTCTTCCACGCTAACATATGTGTAATAGTGTCACAAAATAGAATACTGGTTAATGTATTGTAACGTTGTGCATGGAATAATAGTATAGTTTAATAGGATAGTTTTGTTATCCTACGGTGTTTTTTCATTTTGGCCATTTGGTATTGGCACACATGTTTGTAATAAGACACATTTCACAGCATGTGATCCCTGTTTCTTATGCTTTATTGCTGATTGCTTTCCTTTTTGTGAAAGTTTCGCTTGGATGATTACGAGTGGTGAGATGTCAGTTCGGTTTAAGATGTTGTCATTTGCACGTGATAAAATTGTATACTTTGCTGGGAAGTCTGCTACCCGAGTTATTTCAGGGTCAGTTTTGAGCATTTGAAACTTGTGGTAATTTGCCCATTTCCTGTCATCGGGATGGACGGTTCCCAAACGCTTCCAGTGAATGAATATTGTTAGTCTTTTGTACCATTTCACACAAAGCTTTTGACGTGTCGTACACTTCTGACGGAAATCCCTTGCGAGTGTCATGCAAGCGCTTGCATTATCCCCATTCTCTTCAAGTAACCTTCAGCCATTGTATTCATTTATAATTCCTCCTTATCTGTCGTATGGCTTGTGTTTTACTCGGTTGAAAGTAAAACATCCAGTGCCAAAATTGTCTGACTTAAATGCATGTCCAGCATGCTACAGTCATGTTTCAAGATTTGGGAGGTCACGCTGCCCCACTAAGCACGAGTGGAAGGCTTGATCTGAGAACGTTTTGATGTGCCTAATGTTCAAGGGCATGGTTTCTCAGAGCTGTAACATGCGCCTTTAGAAATAAGAATGATTTTATTTTCCATTGCCTGCATTTGTGTTATCAGGCTGGAGCAATCATCGGGTCCATCTGTCCTCTCTGACGAAGCTCTGAGGGCCGCCCATCCTTGGTTTGACCTTCTCCTCCACATTTTTGAAATCCAGCATTTATCGCACGGCGACCAGCAACCGGCAGGTATTGTGTGTGGGTTTAACGCTTGGCTGTATCACACCTAACTTGAGTTTGAGTTTCCGTAAATACCCTGGACTTCATAGTGCGACGATGCATGCTTTAATAATTCACTGCCCAAAATTTCAGATGTATATTTTTTTACACAATATTTTAATTCCACATCTTTCTTCACATCATACATTGCAACATCCTGACGTTCTGGACGGCATTACCAGGGCCATCGATGGTATCAGGCACACCGGACTCATTAGAGCAGGCGGGGGGAGGGGAGGAAGGGATTTTCTTTGGTGGGGGGGGGGAGCATTTCAGATTTTAACCAGGATATTCTCAAAGCGCTTCACTGACTCGCCAACATTGACATGAACATGTAAGCGTTTTTGATCAACTCCCTGGTATGGCAAAGACGAAGAAGACGTCAATACCTCTTGCCTCCTTAATGGTAATTCCCTAAAAGTGTACGTGTCCTTGGCCTCTCCCAAAGCAATGACTTTGTTGAGCTCATCTGCTCCTTTCTGTCTCACCTTGTAAGTGTTGTTATTGCCTGACTGCAGCCAGTCATATAATCAATCAATCGGTCTATAATTCCTTCCTTTGGAACGAGTTTGGAGGCCGAGATATGGTTGTTGATACAGAGGAGGTCACATGGCCACATTACAAGGCATGTGTTTTTAAACATTTCAATTACACTTTACCCATTATTGTAATTACTGCTATCGTTCTCACTTTGGTGGGAGTGGGGGGGGTAAACACATTTCCACAGATAGTTTCACGGCAAAATTGCACACATGTTACAAATATTTAATTGTCATAAACAAATGATATTTCGGATCTTTCCCAGAATAACCTCTGGTTTGCTCCAGTACCGCAACCATTTGGTGTGCGGTACTTAATACGTGCCTGTGGCCAAATCAGACCGAATCAGAATCTTAAGAATCTTTCCTTATCTTTATTTATGCTAGAGAAATCTGATGAGCTACGAAGCGCTTTTTCACAAATGTCCAGGAGAATGCACCCTGTCTCGTGAGACCCCGGAAACTAAGCAGAGTCGGGCCTTGGTGGTCCTTGGATGGGTGACCAAAATACATGCCAGGTTGGTCTAGGCAGGCGAGTCGCTATGTTGTGAGCAGCAAAGGACAGTGCAACAACATCCATTGCTATACTCTACTTCTATGCTACCATATATATTCTCCATGGCTTCACCATCTTGCTTTCTGATGTATATTTGTATTTAGATGCTTGATAAAACTGCATTGCATTGTATGCATATGGCAGCATTTCCCCAGAAGCCTTTCATCTAAAATAATTCACATTTGGGTAGAAAAAATATATATTTACGTGCAAAATACAATGCTGGTTTGAAATAGGTGCATTCATATCCTTATTATATTTCAAAGGGAATTTAGTTTCCGCATTGGATGTTCTTTACAGAGGTCAGGTTGTCTCTCGAGTGTCGCTGGACCTTAGAACGCATCAACTTCACCGTCGGTTTGGATAACAATCATGTTGTTGATGCGGGAGTCATTGATTTTGTCAGCTTTCTGGCTGATTCTTCATCCGTCCAGTGAGCCAGTTGTTTTTGTTTGTGCAATAACGTAATATTAGTCGTGAGGAGAGACCCTGGGGCACGGAACATGCTTTCAGAAAAATGCAAACTTATGATAAATTAATGTGATCTGTTATTCATTTGAAGCTTTTTGTGTTGTGAAGGTTTTTGTTTTAGCCACATGCACTGTGATACTTTTAAATATTTTACGAGTTTTACACCACATTTTATAGTCTCTTTGAAGGGTTGACTAGCGTTTCCTTCGGTATGATGGTTAAAATAATCAGTCATGATTTATCCACTGCTGGATAAATCCCTCATCCAACTGTTGCCATCTCTGGGTCACGCGATGCAACAATCTAGCTCCTGCACACGAGCCGATATCATCACTCCTCCCCCTTGCCTCGGTGAACATCCGATTTAGAAACGTTCATTCCTTTTCCTGCCACTCAGAATAATTTATCCTACAGAAATCTGATGAGCTATGAAGCTCTTTTTCATAGATGTCCAGTCGCGATGGGTCAGTAAGTTACCACAAATATTGTCACGTGTTCTTCCTCTCTGACCCATGTGTTCCTCTTGCTGTCTCTCCACGTGGTGGTCATACACCTTTAAAAATCAGGATATAATTTAAAGTAATGCTACATTTTTAAAGTTAGCATATGCTGGACACAGGAACCATTTAAATATAATGAGTATACACAAACAAACAACATACATGTAAAATGAAACGAATTAAGTCAATGAGCAGCACCACAACACATCACATGAGCCGTCTCATACACTGCAACCCCAACATTTGAGAATTGTTCATTATTTCAGGAACAAATTTTTGTAAGCCCTTTGCTTGCCTTCCCTGCTTTGGTTTTTCCCTCTACTGCAAATTAACAAACTATGTAGTCCTTGGGCTATTCTGAAAACTAAAATTAGCGTGCACTGAACTCTAAGCACAACAAAGCTTTTCTGATTTTCAATGCTAAAAAAATAATTTCAAAACGTCGATCAACATTTTATTACCATTCTGCTAGAGTTTTTTTTTGCATGAATCGCAAAGCCAACAGATTAATAAAACTGTGCTTTAAATCGAGGTATGGGGTACTAGTCTTCTTATAAACTGGCATAATTACAAAGAATTGAACAGAACTTTCAGATTGACCCAGAGTTGGAGATAACACTTCACACCGTGACATCCTGATGAAAAGGGAAAATTAACAGTTTCTCATGAGCATTAAGTGTAACAAACCCATCAGAACATATATACAGCATATATATAAACAGGTCAAATAGAATACAATATAATAAAAAAACAAATAACGTAATTACTCAATTAGATTACGACAGCGATGTTGTCCATTGCTTTCTGTGCACGGTTGTGTTCAGACGATCGCCAGTGTAGACGGAAGGTGTGCTGGCCACGTTGGTTTCCCCGTTTACTTTCTGGGTTTGTACTCTTAGGTTTTTTCGGTAAAGTCACGTAGGTAAAAAATAAAAAAAATAGAAATAATAGAAATAAAATAATAAATCACGACGTTCGGAGGCAACACAAGTCTCCGTCATCAGGTGGGACCGTCACAGCTGAATTTACTCACTTAATACAGTAAATTCAGCTGTGACGGTCCCACCTGATGACGGAGACTTGTGTTGCCTCCGAAACGTCGTGATTTATTATTTTATTTCTATTATTTTTTATTATTTTTTATTATTATTTATTTTTACCTACGTGACTTTACCGAAAAAAACCTAAGAGTATGAATCCTTGCAGTCACGAAAGCTTCAAATCTAGAATTTCTGGGTTTGGTTGGTCTGGGCGCAAGCTGGGAGTGTGAACACGACTGCAGTGGACCGCGGCTTATCGATTCCCTGCCTCCCTCCCCCCACGTTCCAATATCCCCCCCTGAGCAGCAGACAAGATCACAAGCAATAACCACCGCTGTTACAACCTCGCGCTTCTGATTGCCATCGATTGCAGAGATATTTTTGTTGCATTCTGTTGGATTTGTAAGTGTTGCTAATTTGGGCTTTGTATGAAGTAAATAATCGTTGAGAATTTGAGGTGAGAGGCAATATCAATATACGGAGTTCTCATTCTCCCCGAATCATTTTGGGAAGTGGAGACAGTTTATAATGAATGACAAAAAATCTTCCTTTTGTTCTAATGGATGATTTCGAATGCATATTTATGTCTTATCATATTTACCTTGAGTCCCACTTTTGCAGCTTTTTCCATGAAGTTCTTCTATCATATATTCTCCAGTTTGTTCCATGTCGTTGTTGTAATGACAGCTTATGAGCAGGAGCGGGATGGATTGTGACGTCCCAGGACCGTGGCCTTGACGGTTGGCTGACGTTTGAGAGGCCCTCTTGCAGCGGTTGATGGAACGTGGCTTATGATTATGAATATAGACGGTGAATTAAAAAAATGGTCCCCCCCCCGTTTCAACGCGATGGGCCAAGAAGCCACACGTCAACCGCTTATCTTAATCCCACCTTTTCTCTGATGATTTAATCAACGCTGACCAGTTAGTTGAATGTAAATGCGTGCAACAAGATTTTGATAATACAGGGTGTCAAAATGGAAGATGCAGCTCACCAGTGTGGTAACAGTGGAGAAATTGCATACGTCAAAAACTGTTTTGAAGTGGCTTTCAAGTTGCGTTGGGAGAAAAAAGATGACGCATCAAGGTTATCAGGGTTATTGCAGAGCGATTCTACGGAGCTGGGACATTTAAGTCAAGCATATACAGCACATGGAGATTAATGTCCAAATAGGTGTGTGAACGGATTTATTTTCTTGTGGGCTCCTCTTTTTGATGTTGCCCGGCAGATACGCGGGCCCTGTACCTCGCCAGCTTGGCCAACGCTCAGATGGTCCTGCCCAGCAGCCAGGCTGGTGTGAGCAGCATGCTGACAGAAGGTCGTACGCTGCTGGCGCCCGCCACCTTGCTGTACTCGCCTGGTGGTCTGGACGGAGGCGTCTCCCAGGTAGGTGTCCTCCAGACTGCATGGACCCCGGTCGTCAATCGTGACTGGCCCCCCCCATTGGTTGATTTCCTCGCCCAGCTGGTTTTGAAATAATCCTCGGCAGCATCCTTTTATTGCCTGCTTATCAATATAGTTTGTCACGTGGCAATGAGAAAGGCATCACTATGAAATGTAATCTATTATTATTATTAATCAATTATAACCACAAAATTACTAAGTCTTTAATTCACGTCATATGTAATCATCCTAATACCAGTCCTGCTCGATAATCCACCGCCGAGGGTCTGCAGCCACTGTCTGTTTTGTTTTGAGCGATGACCAGCTGTGCCGGTTGATAAGAGTTGAGCACAAGGCTTGTCAACATTTTATCGATTCATTATTGCGGAGCTTGCAAAGTGTATATACACCAAATGTGTACAGTCCTTTATGCAGTTAGCAAATCTGCGCACATGCGCATATTAAGGCAGCTAATCCTGCACAAAAGACATGTCCATGGTTGTAAGCGCATTACGTGCAAATATACCAGGAACATCTATTGTCTAGCACCACAATATTGCTGCGGTTATTTTTAAACTCCTTTGCCAGAGGTGGCTGGGTGGCTGAGCTAGCGCCATTGAATGCCGGGTTTAAAGGCAGGCAAACTACCTAATACAAAAACTGTGTTTTTCACAAGTGTGAGGTGAAGTGATGGTGGCAGCCGATTGACCGAAATTCGAAATGCCAGCTTTGTAAAAATGTAAAATTGTTGATTAACTGTCATGCAACAAACATTCGTGTCAGTATTAAGAGAAAGTGCTGCCCCCCCCCCCCTCCTCTGTGGACAGAGATCACTTGAAGGTATCTCAGAGGTAGCTCTCTCATGTCCACTTAGATAGGCCATTCTCTTACATGAAGGGTTGCACAACTCTGTGTGAGATCCGAATTGATATATTTTTTTGCAATAGCACAATCAGGATATAACTGCGGGGAAATATTTTTGTTAAAGGCTACCCATGAGATAATAAACAACACTTGGGCTCGCTTCACGCAGGCTCCAGCAACAAAACAGCTGAGGGGTCCCCACTTGTATCACATGCCACAAATCGAGGAACATGTGCTGACTCATAACTGAGGCACGACACACACAGCCTGATATGTGGGCACAGTTCACAGATCCAAGGGCGGAGGTGAAGTGATTGCTATTTGCACGGCGTCCAAATGTCAGCGTGCTTTCAATGCAGAGTGCGTGCACAATGGGTCGGTTTCATGAACCGCTCCAGTGATCGTTTTTGGCCATTTTAGATGTCCACGCTTGTCTCTTCGAGGCCCGTAAATCAGAATGTCTTCTGGAGATTCGTTCATAATGAGAGAACAAGCGTGCGGTTACTCAGGTTTGTGTAAAAAAAATCTATCGATGCCAAAACGCGTTTTGCGCAAAACTAGAATAGAGTAAGGGAAAATTGCGTTACGTGGCCCTGACTGCGCTACAAAAAAAAACATTTTTGTTCACAGACAACAAAATAATTACTTCCTTTCATATCGTGCCATAATTCAGTAGTTCTGTTGAATAAGTTTGGTTCCAAAACATAAGTAACATGCTTTGAAGTTGAACTTTTTACATTATTTAGCTCAGAAATAGAGGACATTTCTTTGATCTGCTGAGCTGTGTGCGGCTTCTGTGCACTCATTAACACTTGATCAGCTGGCAAAAGCACAGCACTTTTCACCTGACAAGCGTGTTCATGCAATTGCTGTTCAACTGTTTGGTCAAAATTGCGAGAGGAACAAGTTAAAACCGGGGGAGGGAATTTAAACTTGTGCTGGAAAACGGTATGTTAAAAAGTTAGAGATTTCCTGCTTATATGAGCACGGAGGCATTGCGCTAATCTCCTTTCTTTACAGCCCTGAACCATTGGTGGAAATTCCACTATCCTTACGCAGTGGCGAGTCTATCCATTGGACAACCACTTGTGACTTTCCCACAAAGCACGACTAAACGTATCGTCCCCAGAGAGATGTTGGGCTAGGTTAATTTCGAAAGCCAGAATTGCAAACCGTTCGCTCTACCGCTAAGCCACATGGCCAGTAAAGTGATATACGCTCGACCTGAATTGATATACGGGTTTAACAACAATAATGCACCTTGTGTTCCAGGCACCTGTCTCCATCAAAGCCCATAACATATAGGGGTAATTTATGCAATGCTCTGATGCGTTTGCCCTGCTGTTGCACTGAGCGGGTTTGTATGTCCTTTGGGGTAGGCGCATGTGCGCCATCATACCAGTCAAATTGGTCAGAGAATTAGTACCATGTCGAGTAAAAAATAGAAAATGATTACGCTTGTTTACAGAGGAAAGCTTCGCTGAGTCTCATGGCTTTTTTTTTAGGATGGCCCTGCCAAATTTTTGTAGTGGGGGGGGGGGATGATTGCAAAATATGTACTTTTAGCTTCTTTCGCACTGTACGCAGTAAACTGTGCTAATCGGAGGTGCGATTATTATATGTGTCTATTTCAGTTGAGCAATTTGTGGGAAATTAAAAAAAAATTCAAGTTTGGACCATTACACGAACACAACAGTGGTCTTGGCAAGAATAACCCTGTTCATCTTGTCCTCTAACCAAAATGAAATATACACCAGGTATGAGCCATGAACAATAAATAACAATAGAAATGATGACACTGGAATTAGGTTATGATGGTTATGTCCCATCAGGCCATCGTTTGAATGCGCTCGGCAGTGATTCTTTAGGACGTCTAGTATTAGGAACAGGGAACAATCTCGCCTGCCAGAGCGATACAAATGATTCCCAAAATTTCCAGGTAGGAAGCTGCTGCCGCAAGGATATTTGTTCCCACAGGGGGAGCAATTTTGCTTTCCTTCTCTCTCCAATGTGTGCAGTGCCCTGGAAACCCCATACAGACTTAAGCAAGCAGTTGTGACATTTGTTGTTTGCTGTGTTTTCGAAACCTGTGGGATGCTACATCATTGGCGCCTGCATACGAAGCCAGGATGTTTATAATTCTGGTTCTGAGCTATGGGTTGCATAAGAATGATAAAACATTTCTATCGAGTTATGATGTCCGTTGTGTCCAGGAGGGATGACATACGTTCTAAGTCTTACAGAACACGTTCCTTCGAGAGTGGGCAGGTAGGAACTTGGTTGGACAGCGCATTCGTGCGATCCGTGTCACGCGGCACAAGCTGCGTGGGGCGGCGCGTCACGTGGTGCTGAGCCCGCCCGAAGCGCTCTTTGAAATACAAATCGAGGGCGTGGCTATGCACGACAGACAGACAAATAATCCCTGGTGGGCAGTGTGGAACTGTTGTTCCTACCTGTATTATGCATGACCATTGATAATTGTGCAACACACAGTGACAGGGTTGGCACTTGAAACGAGTTGTGTGTACAGGGCCCAGGCCATAGACGTCAGCAACAAAGCCTGGTGCTGATTTCAGGTATTGTCAAGTGGGTTTTGAGTTGTGTGCGTGACCATGTAGGATAGATGTTTTTCAAAATTACCATACAATAAAGCCTTGCTTTATTGGCCAATATACTGTTATTCGTTTCCATATTGGGAGATAACTGCGCAGTTGCAGGTATGTATGAAATTAAATAAATTCCAGTCATTCTCAATGTACTAATGGGTGAAGACCTTCCCACACTACGTTCCCATGCAGGTCAGTACTGGTTGGTGAAGGGAAGGCCAGAACTGGTTCTGATATCAGTTGCCACTTATCTTAGTCGTGGCTTGGAAATTGAATTCTGGTCACTTGGATTCATTGCACGGCAATCTTATCATTGATTTACTTTACAGGTATGTTTGTGTATAATGCATGTATATACTCCACTTTTGTGCCTCAATAGGCTGTGTAATCACAAGGCCATCCACAGTAATCTTGGTCACGGATGAAAACCCAAGTCCTTTATCGTGGAACTATGACATTTATAAATCAATTTGCTGTGCAGTTTTTATAAATAAATAAATACATTGCTTTATTTCTCAAGGCACGAAAATGTACAGGTGTGCCACATAAATAATTGAAAGTGTGCACTTAATGAAGCGCATGCTGCCAGCTTTCCTGTTTTGTTGTGGAAGTATAGAGCTGGTGGCGGTAGGGTCTGTGAGTGTCTTAAAGATAAAACCATCGCTATCATGCAAGTACGGCTACAGCCCATCAACTAATTATCGCTAATTAATATTCATGTTGTTGTTAGGCGCGAGGTCTATCAAATGCGTCGTCATGAATAATAATGAGATTACTACATGGCCCATTGCATTCATTTTCTTAGAGAACGCTGGGATTTTAATGACCGTGTCCACAACCCGAGCAGCCAAGAGTGGTGTAAAATCAGTGAGAGAAACGTTCACGTGCCGGTCTGATCATTGTCTGCTTTGTGTTTCACATACAAAATACACAGGTATTTAAAATACGCGCACATTAAAATTCCTATCTGTTATAGCGATGTGCAATCCACTCGGCCAACATTCCCCACTAACGCACGATTGCACGTTGACTGCCCCCAGTCAAACTGAATGGCCCGCAATGTAAGAATTAGGAATTGCTCTGGCTTGGGGCTATCGTGAGATTAATACTGTCCAATGCTTAATTATTCACATGCATTTTTGTACATTGTACAATAAATGGTCTCTGACCATATAACCGTATAACCTCCTGGAATTTGCCCAATCTTGTTTGTGCCTAGAAGCCAAGAAGAGTTGAGCCTGAACAGTGCTTGGGTGGGCAAATCAGCCTGCACGCCAGATTATAGCCTAATCGGGGCTGCAATGCATTATGAGCAGGGCGGGGGGTGGCAGTGCAGCAACATCCATTGTTGTACTGTACTCTGCTTCAATGTTCCCATATCTATTCTCTCCACCTTTACCAACCCTCGCGAACCAGTGTGAAGTATGGCCGCATAATTTCATTGACAAATGTAGCATTAGGAGGCCCTCATCCAGCAGTGGATTGCCAGAAGGGCGATGCATTTACCCACAAACACACACACACACAAATGAAACCAAATAAGTCACTGGCACTTTGGCTGTCCTGGTACAGTTCAAATCTTTGCAACTCGAGCGCTCAAGGAAAGGGTGAAACCTAATAATTTCTTCTTCAAGCGGAGTCGTGAAATAATTAAAGTTTTATAAATCTGCCATGTTTTTTTTTAGATTTTAACATTGTTTCCGTGCTTGTACGAGCGCTGCTTTTCCCCAGCTGCAGGCCTCTCCTAGCGGTCATTACATTTCTGGCGTCGCGCCGCTGCGCAGCTGCTCCTTGTGGACCACTTAGGTGGTTTTATGTGCAGTTGTTTAAGACTGAGAGTCATAATCAAGTGCAATAATCCCTCGCCAACCACGGGCGGTGGGGGGGGTGCAACCGCGACAGCGGTCACACTCGTGAAAGCCTAACCAAGTTGCCTGTTCCTCACTGAACACAAATACACACTAAAAAACAATAAAGGTTGTAACTACACAACATAATACGAAAACAAAACATGGTATAAGAAAGAGGGGCTTTGCCCACCCTCTACCTCCACTTGGTGGTGGGAAGAGAGCGATGGTGAAGCTAGGAGGTGAGACGATGCACAGAAGGAATACTAAAAACTACATTCAACTATTTTTTATTCTACCAGATCAGGCCCACTGAGTTTCTAGCTCTTTTTCAGATGTGACCCGGCCACAAATGATAGCTCAACGATGTGGCTTCTGTGGAAATGTATAGCAGCCAGATTGCGGGTGATTTTTTTTTCCAAGTGCTGGTCACCATGCTAAACCGCAGGATACACAAAACTCCGTACCGTGGTTAGAATATTGGTATGCCGAAGGAAAACCGTGGATGCATAAATACCGCAGATGCGAAAAACGCAGTTGGTGAGGGATTGCTGGATATCAATACGAATAATGCCTCTCTCCCACATGAATTCATCCACGTAAACACAGTCAATTTTTACGCACGGCACAAAGACATTAATCTCAGACGTGATAAAATATATTGTTTTATAATGTTTGTGACTTTGACCAAATTGCCAAATCTTGCAGGACCTTATGAGACCTTGCAAACTAAGCAATGTTGAACGTAGATATTGCTTGGATGGACAGCCACCATGCATGCCAGGTGGTCATAAGTGGTTGAGGCTCTTTGCCACATGGTGGTGAGCAGAGGGCAATGCAGAAACATCCATTGTACTAAACAATGCTCCTGCATCTCTGCTCGCCACCTTCACCAACCCACACTGAGCAGCGTGGTGAAGTATGATCAAGTAACCGCCACGACTCACATGGCATGGGTGGGAGTGCCTTCAGCAGTCGATTGACAAAAGGGATAATGTACAACGTTCATATCATATTTGTTCGCAATTACGCCTATATTGTTGCGTGCGTGGGTGTATATTATACGCAAGACGCGAATTTGTTCCCCGGTTCACGCAGGTCGACGGGCAGCTGCTGAGGCTCGCTTTGTCGCGATTCCCCAAGCTGAGAGCCGCCCTCTTCCCACAGCAGAGCACGCACGGCCTGCCTTTTCCCGACGTCTCGCTCTACCACTTGCTCCAGGTGAATCGTTGTTTTCAGATCGCGTACGAATGACTCGAATGAAGCGGGGCAGAAAAAGAGAGACCGGGTTCGAGCATACTAACCCGCACTCGCCAGCGTGGTGTGATGTGTGGTCAAACAACCCGACGGCCAACACTGGGGGGGTAAGGCCTTTGTCCATTCGTGGAGTGCTGTAAACTATTATAATCTTAATTTACATGGGATACTTCTCTAATTTTGTGAGAGAATTAACACCCACACTACGCGAGAGTCTGAAACCTACTTGCTTTACTGCATCCTACAGGTACCTTGATTGATGTCTTTCAAGCAGCTGTCGTGCACATCTCCTTGTGATCCTACAATCCGGTGTGATCCATTGTCTCTGATAAATTCGCCTGAAATTTGCTCCATCATGCCAAGCAGTGTTGAGTCTCATTGGTCCTTTGATGGATTACCACGAGGGGCTTTCCAGGTGTTGTAGGCGTGGGGCTGCGAGATGTGGCCAGCAAATGGCAGTGCTGAGGGGGTGGGGGGGGAGAACTCTGGGCTTCTCCCACGTGAAACCAAGATACACTTTCACATTTTTTTTGCCAAATGCAGCATTCACTTTAAAAAAGAGTATTGAGGCTCGGCAATGTTACTTCTGGGTAAATAATTGGCATCGGTGATGCACCAACCCTTGCTTGAAGTTCAACGAATTGTACGCATGAGCCCCACTGCGCTTGGCCAGTTTGTAGGCATATCTTTAATGGCTTGCGCTCAGGCAGAGTGTGGAATATTATTGGGATGTTTTACTGTGAAAGTTCTGCCTTTCAGAGTTGCACGTGGCTAAGTTGACTACGATCTTGAATACAATTTTCAAGATTTCTGTAAAATCCGTGTGAAATGCGATGGATGCGCTACAGGAAATAAGTAACTCCTATACAGATACATGGGAGTGCTCATCTTGTTTTACAAATGAAACTCATTCAATTAGGCAATTGGGAGATATGATGAAATTCAGACAATGTACTTGAAGTAACGCCAGTTTCATACCTTGTGGAAAGTAAATTGCTGAAAGAGTAGTGTGCTGCCACGTTTCTTTCAGCCTTGGTGACTTTGAACACCACTTAATTAGCCAAAGTTTTTTGTGTCTTTGAATGTATTTTTTCTTATATTATTCTTCTAGAAAATTATTTTGCTGGTGTACCCACCCAGTCGGGTGCCCTGTTGTGTAACAGAGCGTAGAAGCGGCGGAGATCTCTATAAAGGGAGAGTAAAAGTAAAAAAATTGCGGGACAAAGACAGATTTCCGGGCAAGGCTTCACTACAATCGGTGTTTATTTGCTGTGTCCTAGGCCCTGACTCCCTTTGATCCGTCGCGCCTCTATGGATGGCAAGAAGCAAATTCTTTGGCAGCTGCAGGTAAGTTCCTCTTCTGATTTATTATGCGAGAAATGCCGCATCCTGCCAGCTCCCAGCTAAAAAAGAATACAGTATTCAATGCAGCACTGATGACCATTTTATTTTGAAACATCAAAATCAGTCATGCTTGATGCACCGCTCATTGATGGCCTCTCCAAGGAACAGTTGAGCAATATTCCACCTCGCTCCTGCGTATGAGCCATTCTCATTGTTCTGTTCGAAGTGGTCACTCTCGATCGCTGTCCACTGACATTGTCAACAATAACGTCCATCCTTTTTCGTTCCTCCTCGCGACGTGTCTTTCCAAAGCCCACTTTCATTAACAGTCAATACGATGTCTAATTTTTATATTCTTAGGTTTTTTCGGTAAAGTTACGTAGGTAAAATATTAAAATTAATAAAAGTAAAATAAAATAAAAATCACGACGTTTCGGAGGCAACACAAGCCTCCGTCTTCAGGTGGAACCGTCACAGCCACGACAGCTGTATCAAGTAAATTAGAGATTGCAGGAGCTACCACTCCGTTTATATAATGGTTGGAGAGGGGGGAAGGGGCAAGTGCAGCACACTTTTTATTCATATGGTAAGGTGAGGCTTATTCCTCACGTGTGTCCTCTTGCTATCTCAGTGTAATTTTCAGCATGCATTTATGCACGCTAATTTGCATACTATTCAGATTTTTGTTTTCCATTGTCTTTCTCCACCCATTCATGCCCTGGGTCATCTCCACATCCACCGCAAAGTCCTTGATGATATCTTTGCTCCACTTTGAATATTCAATGTATAAGTCAGCCTCGTAGTCTGCCCTGGTATTTTCATGTTTATCCCATTCCTTCCAATGTCGTTTTCCTCTCTCCTTATGGCTCATTCGAGCCATCTGAGGCAACTTTCTCCCAGATTTTCTGATTTGGGGCCCTTTTCTACCTTCTAGCCCATTCCTTTCTGACGGGATCGAGTCGAGTGATCCACGAGATTGATCGCGCCATCAGTATTTCTGATTCTGCCTGGTTACCATGTTTGAAAATGTATTTATAATAATAGTCAGGTTGGGGATAATATTTTTGTCACTTGGAATTGAGTGTTTATATAATGGCAATCAAATCGCAGGCTTGTATCCTGTATGAATACTTGTACACGATTAATGTAAACTTAATACGAAGATAAAAGTACATCTTCTAAGGTTGTATAATTAATTCAAATTGATACAACTCTCGTATTTCAATGCCCACTGTGTTGCTGACATGTGTTTATATCAGGACACGCACATGCATCACGTCCTTACCTCCATAATAGAGGTTTTTTTTGGGTTAGATTGCGTAAATATCTAAATGTGTCGTTAAACCACCCTACACAGCCAACTAGTAAGGGTTGTCACGTAAACAGAACATGCCAATTTGTCGCTAGTACATCACATCGGTATGTTGGAGAGCCAAGCCACAACATTTACAATCTTTACCTCGCGCATCTGATTAGCTCGGTTGGCTACGTATGGCGCGAAAGAAGTTCAGGATACATACGTGATATTTTATGTTGTCAGCCTGCTCTGCTTGGTATACTCTCACTTTTAAATGCAACCCCCGACATAATTTTCACTTACATAGTACAATGCAACGTTAATATTCACCAAATGACAATGATCACAAAATCGGTTTCCTCATAACTCTTCTGTAGTTTCAGTCTAAATAAAGTTTAACTTAAAAAAAACTTTCACTCCATCTGGATCAACATAAGACCATATGTATATTTTATTTTTATAACCTATAACGCTTTAGATACATGTGCTATCGCTTGTACAATAAACAATTACCTAGACTGCCAAGGCAGTGGTCTATAATTGCCATTCTGTCAATGACCCCAGAAAATATTTTGCAGCACATGAATTCATGGGTAAGAACTATTTATTTCGAACTTTAATTTTTTGCGCTTTTGTTCCTTTCTAAACTTTCATCAGGAAGTGCAATGCAAAACAAAGTCATATGAACCACAGCAATCACTACATTATCATGATTTAAAGCTTTCGTGACTGCAGGGATTCATCTTCTTGGTTCTTTCGGTAAAGTCACGTAGAATGGAAATAATAAAATAATAAAAATAAAAAATTATAAAATAATTCTCACGACGTTTCGGCCACAACGCAAGCAGCCGTCCTCAGGTGAAGAACAGGTCTGTCGAGAAGACAGAGTCTGAATGAGACTGTCTTCTCGACAGACCTGAATGAGACTGTCTTCTCGACAGACCTGTTTTTCACCTGAGGACGGCTGCTTGCGTTGTGGCCGAAACGTCGTGAGAATTATTTTATTATGTTGTATTTTTATTATTTTATTATTTCCATTCTACGTGACTTTACCGAAAGAACCAAGAAGATACATTATCATGTTTTGCAAAAATGGACGATAAAATTACCGTGGACTTTATGGCGGGCAGTATGTAGAAGTATTTCCATCGCCGCGGTGGTGAAAGATAGTCATTGAGATTCATTATTCCTGAGACTGGGAGGAATGCGCACCAGAGTTCGTTCCTGGCTACACAAATGCAGCCTACATTCCAAACCTCCAATTTCCTAACAAAGTTAAATGTGGCTTTTAAAATATTGATGCAAGATGTAGCTTTGAAACAGGGAACATGGCATTGAGTAGGATAATCCGCTTACAGGCACAATATCTGGGGGCTATAAACTGCCAGACCAGTCATAAAACATTAACATTATTGGACCTGTTTGTGCATTTGTTGTGTACATGCATATGCCAACCTTTTGTCAAATTTCGATTTAAAGCTTTTGTGACTGCAGGGATTCATATTCTTGGTTCTTTCGGTAAAGTCACGTAGAAGGGAAATAATAAAATAATAAAAATGAAACAATACGACGTTTCGATTGCAACACAAGCAATCATCATCAGGTGTGAAAACCACAGCAAGAAAATTTGAAAAAAGTGACGTTTTTTTCGTAACGTTTTCTTGTTGTGGTTTTCACATCTGATGATGATTGCTTGTGTTGCAATCAAAACGTCGTGAGAATTTTATTGTTTAATTTTTATTTTTTTATTATTTCCCTTCTACGTGACTTTACCAAAAGAACCAAGAATATGCCAACCTTTTGTCAGTTCACTGCTGGATCAGGGTCTCCCCACACCGTGCCATTCGTGGAGGTTATTTGACCATACTTTACCACGCAGGTATGTATGGCCTGGTAAATGTCGTGTGCATATACCTGGGAACACATAAATGCAATCCAACAATGGAATTTGCTGCACTAAGCACCATGTAGCCCTGCAGCCATATGGCAAGCGGTTTGTGTATGGCCCTTCCCTGCTTAGTCACTGAGATTGGGCGCATTCCGGGGGGCGTGATTTGGTCATAGGCCGAATGTATCCCGCTACCAAAGAGAAGTAACTGGACACAGTTATGCGGTGGTTGGTGTGCCAACCTGGTCACTTGAAGATGTTTTCTTGTTCATGTTTTTTTTTGTTGCGGTTGCACCCGATTCAAGAGCCGAATGGCTCACAGGGCTATACCTAATAAATGAACCTTGAATCCGCCAACTTTGCGCCCCCGCCGCAGACGCCGCATCGGAGCTTCCGCACTTCTCGCTCCCGTCGTTGGTGAGCCGGCACAGCACGCGGGAGACACTGGGCTTCACGTACTTCCTGTTGCACGGCCGCCCCGCCTATGCCTTCGCCTCCTTCCTGGCCTGGCGCCTCGAGCGTGGCTCGCTGTCTTCCCGCAGGTAATTGGGCAGTCGTTGGCTGGCACCGGGCTCGTGTATGTATGTATGTTGAACTTATTTTGCACCGTGCTTAGCCAACCATGCTAATTGGAGGTGCAGAGGAAGGACAACAAACGAAACATAAAAAGCAGTTCTAAAGAAAAATATTTCGACTCTAGATGATTTCAAAATGCATAGCTCCAGTGGCTTCCTAATATTGGAAGGAAGAGCATTCCAGACGGCCGCAGAAGCGCATCTGAGAGCGCACAATGCAGTGACCGTCTTTGTTCGATGGCTAGCCAAAAGCCACTGCGAGGATGACTGGAGGTCACTTGATGGTTTTTGCTCCTTGGCGAGATCAGCAAGGTATTGTGGTTCATTTGTGGCAAGCAATGAACAACATTGTGAACGACATTGTGTTCGAAAAACTTTTTTGCGGTTGCAACCCAAAAAAAATAATCCTACACACCGGACCGTGTACTGCTGCCGGTACAGTCAATGTTGTGCTTTGTTAGATGCGCCGTTGCTTCTTGCTTTGAGCCAAGTCATAATTGCAGCGGTTCGCTCGGGTATTTGATGTCAATGGATATGTGTGTGCAGTCCCTTCTCTGATGTTTCTCTTGGTCATGTGTGTCCCCAAGCACTCGATAATAAGTTGGAGCTTCCTAAAACTCGGTGTCAACGTTTTACCAGTCTTTTTGGTGCACCTTGGTGTTCCAGTTATTGAGCAACACACATTGTTCAATGATTAACATCTGAACAGTCTCGAAACTTTTGCTTCCTATTCATGGCAATTTATGAGCCACATCTGTTTTTATGAATATATTTTAAGTTGTGGCTATGGGCTTTTTAATTTACATTTTCAAAAGTATTAATTTAAATAAGTTGATTCACTTTCTTTTATTTAATTCTAGTCTTCCAAAACTTCACGAGGGTTTACGTAAAATATTTCTTAACGCTTGAAAAACAATGCCCTCTGCTGATGATGACATGAAAAGCCAGAAAAAGGTCCACGGTTTGAAAAGATTGGCTTTGAGGATAATGCTTTATTTAATTACACAACCGTGCCATTAATTAAATTGCTAACATTTCATGGATAGACTTTTCTCTTGATTTTTAACATTCCATGAAATCTGCCAATAATATACATTCCATCTGCCTGTGTGGTCTGTGAGGGCTGTGACATTGGCTGTTAAGATATTTGATTTGCTTAATTGCACATTTCTTTGAGTCTAGAAGGAGGATTGCAAATGCCTGGGGGCTCCTTTATTAAAATTCAATGTGGTGCCATTCGGTACAGATTTTTGTCTAAATTGGTTTGTGGTGGGTTGGTTTTAATCCGTATGTGAAAATGGCTGGAAAGTCTAAGTTATCTTCGAAATCACCGACTTCTCTTTTCTAAAAAATGATTTGAAATTCGGAAAATAAAAAACCGAGGATTTAAAACGTGTCAACCAATGCGGGTCAGCACGATCTCACTGTCCTGTAAATTCCAACGGGATCTTCGTAGCGCTTTGTCCACATGTACCACAAAATGCAAAAGGCAGAGGCGGCGGCTCTGAAAATTCCTAAAATATTTGTATGGGCTTAGTTCCAAAATGGTAAAAAGAATTAAATATGTGAAAATGTATTCCATAAACAATTTTCTGCCACCGACCTTCCCCCCCCCCTCCACCATCTATGCATTTCCAACAAACCCCCACTATATCATCAACGATGTCCTTCCAGCATTGTTATTTTATAACACTGCCCATTGTGCATGGAATAGGCGGAGGATGACGGAGGCTACGAAGCGGCCTTGCGCGTGTCATTTTGTCGCTTGCGATGCGCGTAAAGAGAAGCATTGTCACATTATTATCCGTTAAAATGGAACCGCACTCGTGTGCTTCAGCAAGGGTAGCGGAGGGGGATGGACAATAACAAGGGCACTTTATTTCTCATATGCGTGCGTGTAAATAAGAAGAATAGTTAATAACGAAGCAAGATAATTGAATGACATATCATTAGAGGGGGTGCCCGGAGTGTTCAATGAGAAGGGTGAAACTGCCTGGCTCATTGCTTGATTGGATTCCGCGTTCAATGCATCCCACTTTGCACTCGAGGCTTCTCCGTCAATAATGCGGTGACGCTGTTTGGTTATTCTATCTGCCCTTTGCATAATGTACTTTGCGATCATTATGTGGGGTGTGTTTGTGTCCATATGCACCAATTAGGCAGCTGCGTTTCAGAGTGGCCGTTAATGTACTCCTTATAGCGTCATCAGGGCCTACTTTGGCACGGTTGTAAAAAACGTTGAAGTATTATTTATTAAGTTATTGCTTCAGGGAACTTGCACATAATTTAACTTGTTAAGTACAGTAAAACATTGGCTTGCGAGGAACTTGGTCTGCAAGTGTTTTGCAAGACGAGCAAAAAATTGAAATCAATATTAATTTGATAAACGAGCGAGGTCTTGCAATACGAGTAGTACATACAGTATACGCTTTGTCTGCCGAGCGTCACGTGATCACAACTGAGCCGATGGTTCTTTCTCTCTCGCTGCGGGATTGTGGGTAATCGTCTCCCATGCTCGGTCTCAGTCGGCGTGCCTCACTCGTATAGTCAACATCCGTGCGAGCGTATACTGTTTACTATAGTGTTGTGACCACGAGTGAGTGCGTAAAGCATTTTTTTATTTTATGTCCAAGTGTAGTGACTCTTTTTTAGTAACTACTGCATGTGAAAGTCGTTCTACACAATAACCATCCTCTCTCGTCTCCCGCACACCAGCCACGATTAAATTAAATTAATAAATTTGATTACTTTATATTAAATTTAAATAAGAACAATTTTTTGTATCAATAATTTTTATCTGAATACAGTACTTTTGGGTTGTGAAACGAATCATCTGAGTTTCTATTGTTTCTTATGGGGAAATTCGCTTTGATATACGAGTGCTTTGGTTTGCGAACACGTTTCCAGAACAAATGATGCTCGCAAACCAAGGTTTTACTGAAATGTGTATCCTGCCATTATTGAAATAAATGAATATTTTGACGATTTGGCCTTCAGCCAAACATAGCATTATATATCCCCAGCCTCTCGCACTGACTACACGTAGCTCTGTTGGTCTACCTTAATTAATTATCTCTCTCAAGTGGGTGCAAGTGAGACTCTTCTTGAGGTTTAGAACCACAAGCATCCTGACCTTCAATGCTCTACTTGACATCCGCCAACTACCTGGAAACTTGATGCCTTTATTGATGTACTCTTGTAGGTGCAGTTTAACCCCTAGTCAACACGTGTGGTTACCACAAGCATGCTGTGGGTTACATATGCGGGCTAGGTGTGGTTTTTGACCCATGTGTGGCTATGTATTTGGCATATCCATTTTAAAGATGTGTCCCACCCAAGCCAACTCGCTCTCCTAAACAGTTAATCTGATCTTAATTTTGGAGCTTTCGTGACTGCAGGAATTATTCTTTGGTTCTTTCGGTTAAGTCACGTCTAAAGATAAAATAATAAATTAAAATAATAGCAAATTACGACGTTTCGATTGCAACACAAGCAATCATCATCAGGCGTAGTTTTCTAGTTAGATTTTTGTTGCTATTTCTTTTATGCCTGATGATGATTGCTTGTGTTGCAATCGAAACGTCGTAATTTGCTATTATTTTAATTTATTATTTTATCTTTAGACGTGACTTAACCGAAAGAACCAAAGAACAGTTCATCTGATGTCTCCAATTTGTTTCGTTTCCTAATATTCGTGTGCCCCGTCCTATTGTCAGCGGGCATATTACATATGTCACTTACGGTGACGTACAACAACAACACAACCATATCATTCTCATTTTTCTGGTTCTTTCAGTAAAGTCACGTAGAAGGGAAACAATAAAAAAATAAAAAAAATAAAACAATAAAATTCTCACATTGCTTTGTATTTGTATTTTTATTTTATTTTATTGTTTCCCTTCTACGTGACTTTACCAAAAGAACTAGAATATGAATCCCTGCAGTCACGAAAGCTCGAAATCAAAACATATCATTCTCGTTTACAATTTTAACTCGTAGACATTTTGAACATCCAGCATTTCCCTCTGAGCCTTCCAGGACGCTAAAAGAGGAAACCCAGGATCCTCTTAGGCCCTGGTCAGTTGTTGTTGTTCTTCTTAATCTTCTCCTTCATCGTCTTCATCGTCTCCTTCATCTTCTTAACTTCTTTATCATCATCTTCTTGATCTTCTTGTGCATGTGCCGTGCGCGATGCAGTTTGGTGCGGGCGAGCGAGGAGGCCTACACGCTGGCGCTCGTGCACTTCGACTCGCCCGCCGTCCCGGCCGCGTGCGTCGCCTTCCTCGAGCTGCTGGCCGTCCCGACGGCGCGCGTGCGCGTGGACGTGCGCGCCGCGCGCCTCGTCAGCGCCCACCTCCTTGGCCCTTCCGAGCACGCCGTCCCCACCGCCGACTCCGGTTCTGTGCTGGGCTCCGACTCGGGTTCGGTGTCGAGCGCCGGCCGGGGCTCCACCTCTGGTGTTTCGTCTGTCTCCAGCGCCGCCAGGGACTTGGAAGCCCGGGAGTTGCTCCACAGTAGCCTGGGTGAGAGGGTCGTGGCTTTTGAGCGAGATTCGTTTCCACCGAGAAGGATGGGGAGGAATCGGGTGAACCTTTTTAATTTGGAGCAGAGAAACTTGTTTCAGATAATTTATTTGTCAGCGTTGTCCTTTTCTACCTTTAGATATGGCTTTCAAACTACCCTGGGGACAGTGCTGCAGAATGAATAGTGATGAAAGTAGGTGTCATTAATCATAAGATTTATCAAACGTTCGGGTCCTCTGATACGGGACCTGGAAAGGTGAATATAACTTAACGAACTGGTGGTTGAATGCCTCTTCAAAACCTAATACATTACACCACCTTGACCTGCCGAACCATTTTAGTTTTTGATGTAATGTACAGCTCGGCAATTTAATGTAAAACAAGCCTGAGTGGGTGTCACATAGAGGCCATCCGCAGTCTAGTCAGGGCAACGGAAGGCAGTCGGGAGAGAGTGTGTGTTTGGATTTTTGATTCGAAGCCAGGGATGTGTGGGAAGATAGTGCACAGCGGAGGTCTTGGCAGTGGGGGGAGGTGGCCTGCTGGGGGAGTGGTAGGAGGATCGTATGTATGTTGGACTTCCTTTGCGCCGTACGTTGCCAACCGTGCTAATCGTTGGTGCCACATTGTGGCAAGCGGTGTTGTCGGAGTAGAAGCAAAGGTCAGTGGCCCCAAGGGCCTCCACACGTCTAAAATAAAGCGTGCGTGGCTCTGAAAACATACAAAGACACGAGGTGGCACAACTTTTAATGCTGCGGCTGATATTAGACAGTGTAACTGAACATTTTGTTTCATTTTCCACTCCCGCCCCCGCCCCGACCACACATGTTGCCATCTCCCCGCCGTCGTCGCGTGCTGCAGTGGGGAGGCTGGTGGAGCTGGTGCACAGCGTGGAGCCGGCTGTCTCGTTCCTTCTCGGCGAACTGGAGAGCGCCGTAGCCCTCGGGGTGGAGGAGGCTGGGCTGGACAGGTGCGATTACGTTGTCAGAAGTGACGATGCGGTTGACTGTCGATTTGAGGTGCTCATTGAGGTGGGAGGGCCTCCTCTTTGTGGATCAGTTTCCCCTTGATGACAAAGGTGAATGGGGGAAGAGTGATGGTGCAGCGGTTAGCACATTACGCTATTAACCTGGCGACGTGAGTTTGATTCCGTGCCACGGCTAACATTAGTGGTGAGGGATATCTGAACCATTCCCCCCGCGTCTTCCCCTTCGCTTCACAAGCCTGCATTAACCGGCGTGATGAAGTATGGTCAGACAACCCCCATGACCAGTATGGCATTCGGAGTCGGTCATGTGGCAGTGTATTGACAGAGAGGCCGGGGGGGGGGGGGGGGGGGAAGTGGAGAGAGTTATATTGAAGAGTTGAACACAAAACAAGATGAACCTTTCAAAGCACACACATTTTTGAATGCACCGATCAAACGGCAAGTATAATTTTACATTCATGTGAGTTCCACGCTCATGAATGATAATGTATATAACCCCTTGTGTTTGCTGTTGATCCTGTGTGTTGATTGCCGTGCAGGCAAATGGGAGTCTGCTGTGTATCTTTGTATTGATTTTTGTATCTGCAATGTTCAAAGAGTAACTTTTGAGATGACCCTCTATTAACTTTCTTGTAAGCTTCACGTTGAAGTCTTTATTGCGGCTATCCACGAACTCAGTTCATGCCTCCTGGCTCCCTATATCTTTGAAGCGGTCCTCTGAACCGAAATTGCAGCTCTCGGCACGTGGAACAAAACCCAAGCGCACCATGCCTTTTTAAATATGCGTGACGACGATACAAAAACACATAAAAGAAACTCGCGTTCTCTCTCGTGTGCCTCCCCTCCCCAATCTCATCTCTTCTCTCGTCCCTTCATCATCCAAAGCACATCGCTCAAGGCGGGCAGGGAGTGGGACCTGGTCGTGCACTTCTGTCGGGGGCACGGCGTGGCCTTGACGGAGGTCTACCCTCGTGCCTGCGCCGCCGCCGAACAGTGGCTGCCCTTCCTCGCCTTCGTCCACCACCACGCCTACCCCGTCGAGCAGGTCACAGAACCACGTAGTTGTTTTGATTGTCCACGTTATGTAACTTGGGGTTGCGCAGCGGGTTGGCACGCTGTGTAATGAATCCACCGACGATGAGAGTTATACCATTGGAACCTCATTTGCCATTGGAACCTCATTATACCATTGGAACCTCATTTTTTTACCCTTCTGTCTGGCGTCTTCTAAGTCCAACCCATGTGAGACTAGGCTCTAAGGAAAGCTGTCTCAGGTGTGGACCAATCAACTTTAATGACAGTGCATACATTATCATAGTTATGTTTTTTGTTTGCATTATGACTGCAGGTATTGTGGTCTATGTAAACATGACTCCTTGTAAAAAAGGTGTCAGTTTTGTTGCCAGATAGATGAGAGTTATGTTTTGATTCAAAGCTTTCGTGACTGCAGGGATTCATATTCTTGGTTGTTTCGGTAAAGTCACGTAGAAGGGAAATAATAAAATAATATAAATATCAAACAATAAAAAATAAGGTGGGGGGCCTCCCTTTTGTTTTATTTTTATATTATTTTATTATTTCCCTTCTACGTGACTTTACCGAAAGAACCAGGACGATGAGAGTTATGTTTCTGGCCACGGTTATCGTCGGTAGCGAGTGATATTTGAATGGGTCCTAGGTTAGGCCGACGTGTGGTCAGCCAACCACCGTGACTCGCATGGCATGGGGAGGCCCTCAAACGACAAAACTGAGCATGATAAATCAAACGCTTCAATGGGGGTATCTTTACTTGAATTATGTGTGAACTCCACATGCAGACATTCTTTATATCATCCAAGTGTTTATTTATCTTGACTGTCTATGAATGAAAATGTGCAAATGAGTTAAGCCAATTACAGCATTTAAGGTTTAACCCACTACCCTAAGAGCATTCTATGTAAATGTTTATAAGTGGCATCTGTTTATTGTACAATATAGTTTGCATTTTGTTGCATTTACATGGGACCGAACCTCGAGATGTTACAGAGAAACAGTGGGATTCGCCTTGACAAGAGAAGAGAGGCAGTCATTCTTTCGGTCATAGGTAGAGGGGGAAAAGGGCATTTTCTTCATTAAGCCTGGACTTGATTAGGCAACATTAGATTGGTTTTGACCCCTAGGCAGTCTTAAAAAGGTGTGGTTTAATATATCTTACAATATCCTCTCCTTGTATTTCACGGAACCTATTGTAAGCGGCAATTTTCCATTGTCATTTCTCGTGTGCATGATAATGTTTATCGAGTGCTTGTTTGGCTAAAAGCCATGTTAATTTGCATTTAGTTGGGACTTGATGGGACAGGTGGTTATAGTCACCAGCGGCTAGCATCCAATTAAACAATTTAACATTGGTCCCAAGTGGCTACTTTCGAAATGAATTTCACCAGGAATGTGCACACCGATCAGCATCGTTTAATTTACGTTGAGGTGCCGGCAACGACTGTACTGATAACACATTTCAGTCTTATGAATCCATCTCAAAGTTCACGTGACGTTTTAAAATTATAAAGTGAATAAATGTGCATTATGTTCAAAACGCATTCAATAGATAGTGTTGTAAAATGAGTGTACAAAGTCAATTTCTATTTGGACACATCATGTCAACCATTTCAGACAGTTTCAGATATAAATATTTGTTAACCTTTCCTGATAAAGGAGACATTCAGACGAAATGACTTTTTCATCCATGCTGGGATGGCGGTGATGGGGCATTCAGTTTCACGTATGCGTCAAATCCATTGACTCCTTTCACAATTAAGCCATATTTTACAATACCACATTGCTACACACCTTCATCCAAAATTATACCCGCATATGTACGATGTGCAGATTGCCTAATTTGTGGAACTGCCCAAAAGAGTCTTGAGACTTTATCCGAGTTAATAATTGCAAATCAATATTTTCTCGTCAATGCTTCCAGGTCAAGACCCTGATCAACGGTTTCGGCCCTGCTCTCAGAAGCCACCTACTGCTGGCTTTCTCCAGCCTCCGGGGATGGAGCAAGGTGGCCGAGTCGCCCGACTTGTTCGGGGTCCTGATCGAGAGCCTGGCCTCTCCGCGGCCGTGCGCGTACCTGCTGAGTCAGGCCGTGAGCCACAGAGCACCTGTGCTCAGCGTGTTGGCTGCTGGCCTCCAGGTTTGTACCGCGTGGGATTTTCGTGTCCCACGGTTGGGGGGCGGGTTGAACACAGCTGTCTAAACTAAACTATGAACTAAACTTCTTGGTTCTTTCGGTAAAGTCACGTAGAATGTAAATAATAAAATAATAAAACTAAAACATAATAAAATAATTCTCACGACGTTTCGGCCACAACGCAAGCAGCCGTCCTCAGGTGGACTCTGTCTTCTCGACAGACCTGTTCTCCACCTGAGGACGGCTGCTTGCGTTGTGGCCGAAACGTCGTGAGAATTATTTTATTATGTTTTATTTATATTATTTTATTATTTACATTCTACGTGACTTTACCGAAAGAACCAAGAAGATGAATCCCTGCAGTCACGAAAGCTTTAAATCGAAATATGAACTAAACTCTTTTTATTTTACCATGTAAGGCCCACTGAGCAATGTAGCTATTTTTCAGACGCGGCCTGGCTATCACAATGATAGCTCAACGTAGTGGCTTGGCATGTGGACATTTATAGCAGCCGAAGATACTCTAAACGCACGTTTCTAAATGTGGAGGGAAAAACTGGAAGACCCGGAGAAAAATCCACGTGACCATGGGGAGACCATGCACACTCCAAATATACAGCCATCAGGGTTGGGATCGAACCCACGCTCTCTTGTATACCAGGCAAGGTAGTTAACATCTCGCCATCCGGTTTGATGACCCAACTGACCAATTTCGAAAAATTACCCACAAACTACTTAATCGGGATTACACAGCATTCATCGCCCCTCCCCCCCTACTGGCCGACTATTGCCCGCTGGCAGGCTAGGTGCCGAGTAGAGATGCTCTCGATACGCCCTTGCGTAAATGGTGCTCTATCGATAACAAATAGTTGCTGTTTATTACCGTTACTTGACTCCTCGAACAAGATTCAAATGGTTCAGGGGAAAAAGTCCCACCTCTGTTCTCACGTGTGCCGTTGGAAGGGAGGTGACGATGGGCCACGAGGCTTGGTCGCGTCGTCGGCAACAACAGCCCCATCGCGTTGGCCCCATGGCTTGTAGGTAGATTTATGCTTTCGGGAGGCAGGATTTTGGGAGTGGCCACAATTTTTTTTAAGGGGCCCAAGTAATCAATCACAAAATTAAGCAGTCGATCAATCGCTTAATGGACTAATTGTCCCCATATCTAGTTTCCTCGCTGTGTATGCAGCCTCTTGAATGTGTGATTGGCATCTGATTTTCCTCTTCACCGCTGGACAAAATGACTCACTGTTCTGTTGTTGTTTACCCCTGGTCCATTTTGTGATGGATTGTACAAAGGACTAGCACGGGCTGATATTTCTCTTGTGTTTATTGCATAACTAATTAATACGGTGGGGTAGGGGAACAGTGGCGAACCGGTGAGTGCGCTGTGTTCTGAACCCGGCGACCCGAGTTATTTTCCCTGTCCACAGCAAACAGTGGCGAGCTATAAGTGAACCCTCCCTCAGCCACTTCTGCCTTCACCAACCCACACTTGAATGAAGTATAGTCAAACAACGACCACTGCAGTATGGAGTGGTGGGGGGGGGGCCCTTTGTCCAGCATTATTTGTTTTTTAATGTGTGTTGTAAGGGACCATCAGGTTTATTATGCTGCTGTTTTTTTTCCATTAAGAGCTGGACACGATCAACAGCCTGACCTTGTATAAGAATCAATGCCTCATGTACGTAACATAAGCTTTCAGAACGCTGGCAAAAAATTGGTCATGTGGTTATGGAGAAGTGGGTAATGGAGTTATGATCATTTCCCGAGTCCATAACCACACCATGCAGAGCAGCAAATTGCTGAGTACCTGGCTGTGTGCACAGCAGAACTCCGGTGCGTTTCATTCACTGCACACACAATTTAATCTGCAGCCGCTCCTGCTGTGTCACGGAACATACATGCACAAGCCTACGATAAATAAGTTTGTGACCTCTCTCCTCCTCTGCCCATCATTTCCCGAAATCTACAAGATGGCGAGGCTATAACATTTGCACAGATTAGGTGATTATGAGCGGAAATTGATAATGAAATTAACTGTTAATTTATTAGAGTAAAACTGGATTGTTATTATCGACTTGCATGTCTTACAAAGGCCACTTACTGCTATGACTTGTGAGGATGCTCATCTGCTCATCATTCCGAGGTTATGCAGTGAGCTGGCATTATGAGTTAAGGAGGCTGGATGTGTGGTTTAACAAAAATAATAATTGAAACTGTCTTCACGCATCAGCCTATTTATTCATCATTCCGTTCAGTAATTGTTATCGCTGATGCTGTTTAGTATTCCGCTGCTGCAAAAATGTGCCCTTGTAAATGCGCACTTTTAAGATCGTATTCTTTTTTTGTAACAATTTTCTATTTTACCAGGTAAGGCCCACTGAGCTATATAGCTCTTTTTTTAGAAGCGACAAGTTATAACTCAACGAAGTGGCTTATCAGGTGGAAATTTATAGCAACCAAATACTCTAAATGCACCTTTTTAAATGTGGAGGGAAACACCAGAGGACCCGGAGAAAAATCCATGCCACCACAGGGAGAGAGAGAGACACGCAAACTCCAAATATACAGCAGGCGTCTAGAGTCGGGATTGATCCCACGACCTCCTATATACCAGCCGAGGCATAACATCTTGCTGACGAGCACGCGGCACGACCTCAAAAGTAAAACCAGACGAGGCAACGATGTTGACTTGTTAGTCAGTCTGGCCCAGGAGCCCCCAGTAGGATCTCAGAGCCACACTTTGTTAGTTGGAGGTGGGGGGGGGGGAGGTTGTCCTCCGATCGAATGGTTTCCGGCAGTTATTGTTGTGCCTTGGGGCTCAGCAACTGATTTAACAGATAGCCACGACGCCCACTGACGCCCACAGTGGCTGCGCTCCTGGCCCACAGACATGACACGCTGTCACGTGACGAACCCGCCGCATGTCTCGCAGGATGCACAGCCCGTGCGCTGCCTGTGCGCGTGGATCGCCGCGTCCGCAGCCGACCCCGGCGCCCGCTCAGCGTGGGCCCAAGCCTGGGATGCGGCGGAAGGGCAGCCCGAGGAAGGACCGGGGCAGGAGATGGCCGCGGTGTGGGGACCCTGTGCGCTTTCGGGCCTTGTGCAGGACTGCCTGGGGCGACGGCTGACTCACGTCCTCATTAGCGGTTTCCAGCTCTTTCTGCCGGTACAGCCGTGACACGTCCCTGCTGCCGCTCAAGTGTAGCCCTCTCTGGGTTCGCTCCATACGCGTGAAGTGTGCGTGGGGATTTGTCAATGACCCCTAAGCGTGGTAAATAAAGGAAAGTAATTTGTGGGGCGAGGGATGTAAAAAAAGGCATGTCTGAATGAATAATACAAATGTTTATATGTATTGAGGTATAGGTTGGGTTCAGATGAGTTCCCGAGCCATAGAGTCTGTTAATTACCTCTCCACAGCCTTTAGAAATGTATTTTTCCAATATACATTTGAACTCGTGCGCAACTCATCAGTTGTGCTTTTCTCTCCCTGCAGAAGTGTCCCTTCCAGCATTTGCTGCATATGTTTGAGCTCTGCATGGAGCAGAAAGACTACAGCGGCGCCAAACTGAAGCTCCAGGATTTCATACGGGACCTGGATGATGTGGGTGCTACCATTTATTTTTTGTTTATAAAAATCTTTGTTTCTTTTCTAATGTACATTCTTCCAATGTCGCGAGCCTCAATGCATGTGAAGGAGTTGATGACGAAAATTGTTTCCATAATTGCAGTTATTTTCTACCGAGTTGCGTATGACATCCCAAACAATGTAACAGACATCGCAGAAAGACCGTGAAAGATGACGCGGAGCAGAAACCCTTTTAATGTCTCTTCAGTAGATCTCTTTTAGCCAAACAATAGCCCCTTTAAATGGTGCTATTTCCTTTATAAAGCATTCATTTATGAATTGTTAAAACACAGGACTGAGTCTGATATTTTGTGAATAATGAACTCTGTGATGTGTTTTGTATGTCTCCATCAGTGGCCCATTGCCAAATCTCTTGTAATATGCCCGATCCCATAATATCTCAGAAGCTGTACAGGGTTAAACCACCCGGACAGTGCTCGAATGGGCAACTACCACGCATGAAACAGACAAGTAGGCTGCTACTGCGAGGCTACATTGTCAAAAGAAGTCGGTGCAGCTAAATACATTTCCGTGCTTTTCACCCTCACCATGCCTGTACTGACCACCGCAGTTAAGTATGGTCATATGACCTCTCACAGCCTGCGACGTGGGGGAGGCCATCCTCGAGCGGTGGACTAACAAAAAGCGCTGTACAAGTGCAATTGTTGATGACCATCTTCTTGGTTCTTTCGGTAAAGTCACGTAGAAGGGAAGTAATAAAATAATAAAAATTTAACATAATAAAATAATTCTCACGACGTATCGGCCACAACGCAAGCAGCCGTCCTCAGGTGAAGAATGAAACACCACCAAGCTTGGAGCGTATATTTAAGCTGGGTTGGAGGGGGGAAGAAGAGCGCCTTGACAAAATAATTTGCATATCAAGAGGAATTTAGCATATTTATGGGAAATGCGTAGGAGGTGGGCGGGGGGTTTCAAAGTCATATTATGCCCGCGCATTATAATGCACCTCCTACGTTGATGACCATGTTGAAACCATCTCACCCGATGTGTACCTGGACACGCATATGTGAGCGCGAGGAGCGGCAGCGTAGTGGTTCGCGCACTGCGCTACGAACCTGGCGGCCCGAGTTAGATTCCTGACCATGGCTAATGTCACAAACTAACTAGTCCTTGACCTCGACTAGATTAAGTCGGCTTGGTGCAGTGTGTAAACAGCAGCATTTGAAAGGCAAACGGCAGCCAGACGGTCATGGTGCTAGCCCACACCGCCCCCCTAATGTGCGCTTTCCCAGCCTTCATAGGTGCTCATCAACAGCACTTGCCCCAACAGGTCTCTTGAAAGCTACACGGGGGAATCTTTGGTTTCGTATGTGCGCAGCTGAAGGTGTTGTGCCCGCACGGGGACAACGAGGGGGTCTCCGTGGAGTGGCTGGAGACGCAGGCCTCCATGCTCCTGCTGCTGCTCATTGAGCGCAGCGACACACCCTATCAACTTCACCGCCTCTTCCGCCTGCTGTCCAAGTCGCAGCGCATCCTGAAGTCCACTGGTATGTGCCATGTGACTTCATCTTCTTGGTTCTTTCGGTAAAGTCACGTAGAATGGAAATAATAAAATAATAAAAATAAAACATAATAAAATAATTCTCACGACGTTTCGGCCACAACGCAAGCAGCCGTCCTCAGGTGAAGAACAGGTCTGTCGAGAAAACAGAGTCTGAATGACACCCCAGGCTGTGCCATATGCTTTACGCAGCCGTCATCGTCTTCTCTCGGCCAGCTCATCTTCCTCACCCCTAACCCACCACCCCCATAGACTCAAAACTTTTCTAAATAAGAGATAGATTGATGTTTCGGTTGTCTTGGATACTTCCACTCCCAGCGACACAATTGCTATGTACTGTCTCTTCTAAACCCTTAAGTGCATGGGGTTGGCTGGTCGGATTTTATTTTTCCATACACTTTAACTCTCCGCCTCTTCTCCCATCATATGAATGAATGAACCTGCATTCGTATTGTGCTCTAGCATAAAGCAAAACGTCTCGGAGGGCAGATCCCCCAATTGGCAGCTGCCCACTGTTTTCACATCTCGTTTCACCACATCCCACCATCTCACCCTCAAATCTCCCGCTGCTCATCCTGCCCTGCCTCCGGCATCTCAACAGTGCACGTGGTGAACTCTTTCAACCCTCCCGTTGAAAGGGAGTCGTTCGGAAGGAAAGAGGTGACAAACTCGCGCGCCCTGCCACTCCCCCGCAGTGCACGACTTCACGGCGCTGAGCGAGCTGCTGGAGATCCTGCGCGGCTCGGGGGTTTGCGTTGCGCCATCGGTGCTGGCGGAGTTCAGCGCCGAGGCCCTGAGAGCCGACTGCGTGCGCATCACCGCGAGCCTGCAGGACAGGGGGCTCTTCACGCAGGCCAAGGAGGTGGCCGGCCTCGTGAGCCTTCCCGTCGACGACATGGTCGTTAACGAGGTGGGCGCCCCCTCCCGAACGTCGGAGATGGCGCGAGATGGCGCCGGGGTCGGTGACGTGGCCTAGTGGTGGGGCGCGCTTGTCCGCGCCGCTTGACGTGGAGGTTCGCGATTCTGTCGCGTGGCGGGAGGAGGGTAGAGCGGAAAATTGGCATCATACCTGGATGAACTAACTCCAAAGTAACTCATTGTGAGTTATGATATTTGTTTTAAACATTTGCAAGATTTGCTCCCAATATGATACAAGAAGCACTTTAAAAAATGTAAACTGCTTTGCCAAGTTACCGGTCGCACTAGCAAAAGACGTTTGAAGTGTCTGATGGTTGATCTGTAGGTAAGTTGTAACCAATTTTTTTTACTTGAAAAAAAAAATACATTACACTTTTCATGCATTTTACCAAACTGTTTTCCTTGTAAAGTTTTTAAAAGGGAAACGCTCTTGAAAAGTTTGTATGTTTTGCCTTTCATTACAGATCATTCATTCCATCGGCACCATGAAGGACAAAAGCCAGTGGCAGGAGCCGAAGGTGAGGGTCTACTTTTGGAAGCGCTGCCACAGCACCTTCGAGGACATCACAATGTCCCCCCGAAAGGCCGCAGAGTTTTTCAAAACGCAGGCATCGGAGCTTTCCAAGTGGCATGCGGAGTCGGACAGCGAAACGCCGGATGCCCACAGCAGAACTGAGACCGCTACGGAGCTTGTGTACGAGGAGCTCTGCTTGCTCACACTCTCCGGCCACTGGCTCGGCAGCGACAAGACAGCGCGTGCCGAGGAGTTGGAAGCGACGGAGAAGCGGTGTTGGTTTCACAAAATCCGGCTGCTTCTGTCCACGGGCAGAAGCCTTCGTCCAAAATTAAGCAGGCACAGAATCGAGGATAACCTGGAGACTGACGTACTGGGCTTGAGCCAAACCATCGCAAAGTTCTGTTTCTCAGACCATCCCCTCCTAAATGAGCCACTCCAGCTATCCCTCAAGAGGCTGCCCTCCTTGTCGGAGAGCATCGTGCGATCGCAGGACGAGCCGGTGAACTTTGAGACAGACCCCACCGTGCTGGACGAGCGCGAGACCCAAGCCCTGCGGACGCTAGTGAACCAGTCGTTGGACGCGAGTAAGATTTCGGAGGCCGTCCGCGTGTGCCGCTACTTTGGCCTCAGCTGCTTCGATGTACGATTGGCCATGGGCTGCCTTGCGCTGGCCCGGGGGGAGGAGAGTGTCAAAAGCCTGCCCACGGACATCCTGAGCATCCTCACAAGCGACGGTGACACTCACACTGCTCGGCATCGGAGCTTGAGCGGTGAGAACTGGCATCCCGATTTCACTTTGGCGGCGTCTAACGGTCCTTTCCTTCCCCTCCTTCCCTCTCCCTCATCCTCTAGTAGTTTCAGTTTTCAACACTTTCCATTCTGGGGGTGTCAACAAATATTTTTCACCGATATATTTTTTTTTACATGTGAAAATTGCTGTAAAGGATACATTTGGTTGGGGGGCGGGTGGAAGCACGTTTAGTTTATATATTCAAGTTGATTTGCATGATTAATACTGTAGTTTTGCATGTACACACACCTGTGCAGTACGGATGGCAGGGTGAGGTTAATGGGCTCATAGAGATCTTGAATGGAATGAGATGCGCTAGCTCTGAATATCAATGAGCATGTAAATATCAGTGGGAAATAGCATACTCTAGAGATTGTTTAATATTGCTGTGGAGTCTGCAACGAGACAGCTGGTGTGTTTGCCGCCAATAAGTAATTTGTTTTAGACTGAATCCGCTCAAGAAATGCACAAGCAGTACTTGTGGCGCAGCCTGACCTTCAAAACAACACTCAACTGACTCCGTGAATTAGAATTTAAATCTTTATTTAGACTGGAGGAATCCAATGAGCTATGAAGCTCTTTTTCACAGATGTCCAGTAAGCGGGCTGGTCAGCATGTATACGCATCCTTTAAAAGCAGTAGCAGTTCAGGGGGAAATAATTGCCTTAATAATTGGCCACTGTCTTACGATGTGGAGGTTGTATGTCTGTTGAACTTCTTTCACACCGTACGTAGCCAACTGCGCGAATTCTGAGATGCGGTGATGGAACAATGACTCCACCAAATATGCACCCATACCTCTCTCATTATACAATCGTCTCCCAGCACACAAAGATAAATATCCCCCGTGTGACCTTAACAGACTTTTGGGGCAAGTGCTGGTGGCGTGCAGCACCCTATGAGGGCTGGCACAGCACACGAGGCGGCGAGTTGTCAGCACCACGCTTTCTTAAACACAAAGAGCAGTTCTAAAGAAACAAGTTGCGGTTGCAGCGTGCGGCGGGCGGGTTTTCAGCCATCGCGTTCTAACCGTGGCGCCGCTCTTCCCTCTGCGCAGTGTCGAGTACCAGCTCGTTCGTGTTGGTCCCCTCGGAGGAAGAGAACGGGGTGGCGAGGGCGATCTCTGCGCTGGCGGGCGCGTGCACCTTCGGCGGGCAGTTCTGCCGCCAGGTGCTCAACGCGTACGAGCTGGCCAAGGTGAGGTGCGGTGCATTGCGATGCGAGGAAGCTTGTGCGCTCGCCTTCGGTCGTTTCCTGTTGCTCGCCTCTGCGATCCTGAACTACGCCGCGTGCAATGAATAACTCGATCTTTCAATTCTTTGCAAAAAGTCAAAGTTGGAAAAATGACTCGCTTCAAATAAAATGTCAGGGTCCGCTGCCGGATGAAGGCCTCTGTATGCCTTGTCTGATCGTGGGAGTTGTTTAATCATGCTTCACCACACCGGTTGGTGCAGGGGTGCAGGTTGGTGAAGGGGTGGCCCCTAAACTGGTTCAGATATTGCTCGCCAGTTACGTTGGTCAATGTCTGGAGTCGGTGCACTCACAACTACGCCGTCACTCGACCTCCCTTTTGGTATACCCGTAATCATATCTGTCGTTCGCATGTACGCGGTTCTGTACTGCATTTGAGCACATTATCGTTAGAGTTATTGGCGTATTCAAATTATATTACAATTCTTGCATGAATCAAAAGTGTAAAAAAAATATTCCAGCAATGGAAATTCCACATTACCATGGCAAATGCCATTGTTTCCATCGGACTAGAGGCACCACAGTGGCAAGATGTTAACCTACTCACGTCCTTATCTGGCCGGGCGGCTCAGCAGTCGGGCCAGCTGCTCCCAAGAGTCTGCATGTTAAAATCCTGGTTGACAGTTGATTCAGCCCATCATACCTCATGGGGTAGATAAAACAACCCCTGCCATAGGTATGCCTAATTTCCAGCACTTGTTCATGGGCTGCAAACAGGAGGTGAGTGCTGTCTCAATGCTCACTTGAGCAGGAAATCACTTTGACTTTGAGTAGCTCTCACCGTATTGGTGACCTGACGAGACGTGTGAAGATAATGGCTATGGGTGTGGGAGCCCATCACTGAAATAATAAGACTGCAGGCGGCTTTTGTAATTTGTAAAGGTCAAACAGTCGTGGCTCCAAAGTAGGGAAGCTCCTTCGTCGTAGAGCGCGTTAATTGAAAAACACTGCGCTTTGAATTCACCTACAGGCAGATGGGCATTTTTTTAGTGGCCAAAATTATAGAGAGTACAATTTCAGAGTGTACATTGGTCATGGTGATAGAGGCGGCAAGGCCTCGATAACACATTCCTGCGGAGGGAGCTGGTAGGAACGTTGGGTTGCTCGGTCAATGGCCAGGGTCAACGGCGGCGTGGTGTATTCCGCAAATATGCCCGACTGTGAGGGCGGGCACAAGCCGGCGTGAGTAGGTTCAACGTTGAGTTTTATAAGGGCACCACGGGGTGACCAGCCCCTCCCCACCCAGCCCCTCCCCACCCTCCCCACCCTCCCCACCCAGCCCTTCCCCTGCCTTCCCCACCCAGCCCCTCCCTCCCCACCCAGCCCCTCCCTGCACGACGGACAGACGGACACAATAATCCCCTGTGGGCTGGTGTAACCAGGAGGTTCCTACCAGTAAAAGTAGTGAACAATATTGACAAGGTGCCCTTTGGAGCAAAAATATGGAAGGTGAGATTGGTGTGTAGGTGGAGACAATATTTAACAATGTGGCACTTAAAAAAAAACAATAAAAAAAAGTCTGAATTTGACAAAGTGTTTGCATCTATATATTTTTCATCAGGGATAATAAAACCTAATCGGTCTCATTACTGTAAAACTTGACCGTGGATAAGCGGTAACTAAAGTTTTTCAGGTTGAAGTGTCGAAACATGAATGCGCATCCATTGACTTATCTGGAAAATCCTCATGGAGTGTCAACACTTGTTTTCTTTAACATGAGGTCCTGCATCGCTATGGTTAGTGAGTTTCACTGATAATAAGTGTTTGTTTGGCATGTGGGAAGAAGCGATCTAATGCTCACGAGCCGATATGCTGTACTGCCATCTCGCCGTTGTTGACGATGCCACCTTACCCACCTTGCCCACCGTGGGGCTTCAGGACCTGGGCCGGGACTTTATGTCCGTGCTGAGCGCAGACGGAGAGGCTTTGATTCGCGATGTCCTGAGCTCGGAGCGCCCTGACCGAGTGGCGCGCGCGCGTATGCTGGCCGACACCCGGCGCGTTCCGACAGAAACCATCGCCACTCTCCTTGCCGGCATCATCGAGCGATCCTTACTGTCCGTGGACAGTCCCGGTGAATTTCTTTGCGGTTCGCTCATGTTTGTGTATTTATGTTGAACTTCTTTCGCGCTGTGTACGTAGCCAACCGTGCTAATCGGAGGTGCGGGGGAAGGACGAAAAACTAAACGCAAAAATACGTTTTAAGAAAATTCGTTTTAAATCTAGATTTTAAAAATTTAGATTTAAAACTGCATAGCACCAGTGGCTTCCTGATATCGGAAGGAAGAGAATTCCAGATGAAACAACACGATGTAGTGACTGTCTTTGTTCCATGGTTAGCCAAAAGCTGCTGCAACGATGACTGGAGTTTGCATGATGGTTTATGCTCCTTGACGAGATCGGCAAGCTTTTGTGGTTCATGTGTGGGGCAAACACTTTGTGTGTAATGTTTGGCAACCGGAAGCGAATACAACTCAGCGAGCACTGGACGGACACGGCCGGATTTTGTAGCTTGATTTCGGTGTTTAAAAAATAATAGCCTTTTCCTTTGATTTGTTGAATTGCATTTTAACGTGACGTATTTGTGACACACACCATAGTGCGCATTATAGTGACTGAAGGTCACGTTTCCATTGGAATTACATGGTCCAAAGGAACATTTAGTCTGTGGTTGGTTGGTATGAGTTATTTTTTCTTTAAGTTAACCCCCCCCGCCTTCCATTGTGACTCACTAATTCTGACAGACTGATTTGCTGCGGATCTATCATCCTACGCTCCATGGAATTGTGATTTCTTGTTAAGCTGGGTGAGTGTACTGGCAGACTAAAATATCGATTGTAGCCTGGTTCTTAACCTCAGTGAGTGTACTGGCAGTCTCTTTCAGGCAGTCTCACCCAGTACGCTGACTCAGGTTAAGAACCAGGCTACAGTCTACATTATAGACTTCCAGTACGCTCACTCAGTTTAATAACCATTGCTACAGTCTACATTACAGACTGCCAATACGTTCACCAGCTTAAAAACTAGGCTACAGTCTACATTAGACTGCCAGTACACTCACCGAGGTTAAGAACCATTGCTACAGTCTTCTTTATAGACTACCAGTACACTCACCAAACTTAATAACCAGTCTACATTATAGACTGCCAGTACACTCACTCCGATTAAGAACCAGGCTACAGTCTAAATGGGTGTTTTTTAGTTTTTTATTATTTAAAAAAATGTATTCACTTTATTTTTTATTATTATTTTTCTTCTATGTACGTGACTTTACCGAAATAACCAAAGAATTAAAATGGCTTTTTAATAAGTGGTGTTATAAATAGATAACGTGTCTCCTAAGCCAGATGATATATCTATAATACATATACATACACAATTGCCAATTATACTGCATGCAGGCTTTAGACGTTCCTATCCTCTGCCTGTGACTGATTGTATCCACCGAACAAATACCGTATTCAGTGCAGAAATTTTCTTCCCCCCCCCCCCCCAATACCTTCTCCCTAAACTTCCCCTCCCCTAAAAAAATGTAATTTCTCCTCTGCCCCATGTTATCATAATGCACACTCATTCCTCAGTGTATGGTTTATTGGGTTGTGGTCACGGATGCGTTATAAATTCAGGATGACATTGTATAACAATTTCTAAATCATACATTGCTCATAGCACACCGAGCCAGTGAGCATAGCACAACACCCGCACAACTGCAACGTCAGCTGAATCTCAGGCCACGTCTCTCTAACACGGCAGCATAGGTTTTCGCGGTTGTGCTGTGTGCAGCTCTCCGATGTGTTTTCCGGTTTCAGCAAATGCATCGGGGAGAGAGAGAGAATCTATTGTGTACAGGTCGAACTGCTAAAACGCTTTCCCAAACAAACGTCATTTCTCATCTTGCGCTGACCACAGGGAAAGAATCAACGACGCGCCCAGTCTACCGGTTGGAGGAGGGCAAGCAAGGCTTCCTGCAGTTGCTCAAGCTGTGCGCTGACCCACCGGCACTCGGAATGAAACTCATGGCTGCCTCTGCCAAGCTCGGGGGTGAGCCACCCCCTGACCGTTTGAACTCCCCGACCCCTAAAGTCTTGACGCAGAAACCTTTGCGCCAGGTGCGCGGTGCGGTGGCTGTTTTGCGCGCTTGGTATAATAACGCGCACGGCAGACATGTGGGTGACAATCGTGCGGGGGTGTGTTTTCTGTCGAGGCATGTTCACCGGCATCGCTTGCAGGGCACGCGATGTCGTAAAATCTCAGAAGCTAAGCAGGTTGGAGCTTGCGTAGTGCTTCGACGGGTGACTGACGTGCGCAAACAGGTTGTCGTATGGCTGCAGGGTAACATGGTGGCCCGCAGAAGCGGTGTGGCAAAATGTGTTGTTTTACTGTATTTATATGTTCACACATGTAGAGTATATGGACATTCCTGTGCCAATCTATTCCTGGATTAGGGCCTCCCCAAGCCGTGCGGGTCGTGGGGGTTATTTTGACCGTACTTCACCACGCTGGTCAGTGTGGGTTGGGTGATATGGAAGCCTAAACCTGGTAACATATAAGTACTGTACAACATTTAATGTTGTTGTTGCATTGCTGTGTGCGGCCCACAACATAGCCTCACCGCATAACATGCTACACATGGTGGTCCGTCCAGCCTCCAGGATGTGATGAGGTTGGTCATATTACAGGTGATTCGGTCGAACTGCCATACAATTTTTAATCAGATTTACACGATTACATGAACACACATCTTTTTTATAATGCTGTTCAGTTTACATGCTGCAGTCCTCGGGGTTGCTTGACATTCTAGAATGATGCAACTTTGTCGTGTTGCTTGTTATTTTTGGCTCTCTGCCACGTCTGCCACATCAATTACCCGTGAAAGTGGCACGGCGAATTGGACCATGCCGGTTGGCTTCTGGAAATGATAAATGTCAGTGGTGTTGCACCCAAAAAAAAACGCAAATGTTCTGGTGAATTCCCGCAGGTGAGAAATTTTGTGTGCGCACACGTTGCATGAAGCCAGTTAAGCCCAAGTGATATTCGTGAATCCAAGAAGGCTCTGCTCGCCATTGACTTGCGCCGAGGGGTGTGAATGTCTGCTCCTGCCATGCCCCATCGTCGCTTTCTAATGAGCAATGTTAGGAGGCGTTGCGACCGTTTCGCCGTTTGCTGTACTCGGGCGGAGAGGCGTTTTTGATGGTTGCGCTGCTCCTAGCATATTACGCGATGGAAATTGGTTGACCTCGTGTCTTATTAAGTGCATTACAATTTCCCCGGTGGCCGAACAGGGGGCTGGCAGGGAATGAATTGCACAGTCTGATGGAGTGCTTGCCCGCTGATAACCAAAATCGCGAGCCGTGCGCGGGTCACAGAGGCTCGCCGCGGGGTGGGCCATGTGTAATTTGCCGTTGGAGTCGTTTAAAACGGGTGGGGCGGAACCTATTCGTTATTGAGGGCCAAAATCGGACTTGTAGATACCTTTTTGGCAAGTCGCAACGTTGACAATAACGCAAAAAATAATTAGGGCTCACCTTTACCCGCACTGCTGCGGTGGCAGTACCTGCTGTCCTCTCAAACACGTCGATGTCGGATCACGCTTCCCAAGTAGGCACGCAGAGTTGGCTCACTCGCAGTGACAAGTATCGTTTGCGGGCCCGCTTCGAAGCAGTCGGGCCACGCATGGCTGCGGGCCGTGTGAAATGAAGGGTCCCCCCCCCACCCATGGCATATAACAGCTATGGTTGAGAATTCCTTTTTAAAAAACACCCGTGAAAGGTGCGTCCGTGTGTGCACGCGCGCTTGCGTTTTTTCTGAACCTTTGCTGGATTTGTGTTGGATGTTTGCGCGTGCACCATGTGCAGGCGGCAACAAGTCGGCTTGTGTGGAGCTCTTGCTGCTGGCCCACGAGTGCTTCACCATCGCGTGCCACATGGAGGGCATCGTGGAGGTCCTTCGGGTGGCCAAGCATCTCACCCATCACTGCCTGGTGCCTGCCCAGGAGTACAACCTCATGGTGGGTCCGAGCCTTCATCCAGCAGTGGATTGATCAATGGATGATGAAGAGCCAATGAGACCAGTAATCACTTTTGCAGTGAGAGATAGGGATTCAAATAAATATAGTTAAACGTTACTTATTCCTGTATAAACAAAGGAGTGCATAAAGCAGCGTTGTGAATGTTTTACAATGTAGTCAAACATTAACTATCAGTACCTTACAAAGTGCTAAATAAACCAAACGTAATCTGTAAAACACCCGTCATCAATAAAACGCAAATATTAATTAATTAAAATGGTCTACATGACACAGTGCTCATTGCTGCCAAGTCAAGCATTATTAATGGCCCTTTCAAGCAAACATTTATTTACACGTAATTTAAATTCCGGACACTGGATTGGTGAATCATACTACGGGTGGATAATGGATTCCCAAACACTGCCATTTATAATAAACTAGCTTTACTACCCGGCTTCGCCCGGGACTTGTATTCACCACGCCCGGCCTCCTTTGTCTCCCCAGTGGCAATGTTCACACACCACACCAGTTACTCGTTTGAGGCTGAGTCGACCTAGGGAAGGCCCAGGATCAGTTCAAATAATCGTCACCGGTGTTGGCCGTGAGCGGGAATCGAACTCGGGTCGCCGGGTTCGTAGCGCAGCGTAGCGCTAACCCAAAAAAAAACCTCTTATGGATGATATTGGTCGCGAAAGCCTCCTACGTGTTAAAAATAATAAAAACATTTATTGAATAAGTAGAGTCGTTTACTACAACGAGTAGGTATTTGCAGCCAGTATTAGTCATAATATATGTTTTTTTTGGTCAGGTCACGTTTCAAAATATAGTAGTAGTCTTCAGTTATTAAATGTACTGTTCTTTTTATTTGATGATGAAAGTAAAGCATTTTCTGCCTATGTTTGTCCTCTTCTGCCCATGGGCAGCACCCGGAGTAATTATTTCTCTTTGATGATTGGATCCCTCTGTTTGAGCGCCATAATTTGGTTAAGCTTCTCTCATTCTTCGCGCTTTCAGTTAGTAAATCCACTTCTTTTGACCCTCCGTAAGATGGTTTTGCTCACTTTTTGCATTACCGTTTTGTTAAATTGATTTTAGGATGCACTGTGGACGCCTACAAAACTGTCATTGTTTTCTTTTTCTCAATTAATTCCAGCACTGACCAAGGAAGCCTTGGAAATGTTTATTTGGCCCGGACTACCTTGCAGCATGAAAAACAAACGTTAATCTGCATTGGCATTCTGCCAGATGCTAATTCAAGGCACGCGTTCGCGTGCGTGCATGCGGGGATGTGAAAGCCCTGTGGGGAGGAGAAGCGTAGTGGTTAGCGCGATGCACTACGAACCCGACGACCCGAGCTTGTTTGCTGCTCATGGCCAACAATTGGTGAAGATTATCTGAACCCCACCCCCTCGTGTGCGATGCCAACCTACATAGGTGCCCCAACATTCCTGTTAAGTCTATACGGGAGGGGGGGAGGGGGGAATATTTGTCTTTGAATGCCCTGCTGCCCCCTCCTTCTTCCCCGATGCAACTGATAGGTGCGGCTGCTGGTGGAGATGGGACGCTACACGGAGATGACCTACATCCTCGACATCCTCAACCAGAATCACCAGTTTGAGCTGCTGCTCCGCAAGAAAGGCACCTCCGTGAGTGTGCGTTATGCGCTCTGCAAGCGACGACGCGCCCGCTGTTTCACGCACACCGCACTGGGGTAGGACTAGGAAGTGCCCGTTCTGTCACTTTACAGAATTATGGTAATTTAAAATGAAATATATTGTATGTCAAACGGAAAAAAAACCTTTTATTTAACGCTTCAGTGCTTTATGTAAATCAATCTACCATAAGTACTATTGATGTATGCGAATGAAACCCTCTTCAAGAAACGTTTCTTTACTTCAGAGTGCACATGTGCAAGCCTCTTGCCAATCCACTGCTGGATGAGGGCCTCTCCCCAAGCCGTGCGGGTCGTGTGGGTTGGTGGTAATAGGCGTTTGAGCCCCAAATCCACTGTTATACAATCCATTGTACAATACAACAATGGATTGTACAATACAGTTTACAATACAACAATGGATTGTACAATCCATTGTACAATACAACAATGGGTTGTGCTACAATCCATTGTACAATAAAACAATGGGTTGTGCTACAATCCATTGTACAATACAACAATGGGTTGTACAACAATACATTGTACAATACAACAATGGATTGTACAACAATACATTGTACAATACAACAATGGATTGTACAACAATACATTGTACAAAACAACAATGGATTGTACAACAATACATTGTACAATACAACAATTGATTGTACAACAATACATTGTACAATACAACCATGGATTGTACAACAATACATTGTACAATACAACAATGGATTGTACAACAATACATTGTACAATACAACCATGGATTGTACAACAATACATTGTACAATACAACCATGGATTGTACAACAATACATTGTACAATACAACCATGGATTGTACAACAATACATTGTACAATACAACCATGGATTGTACAACAATACATTGTACAATACAACAATGGATTTTGCTGTAAACTGCCCACTCATGACGATGTTACACCATAAAAGCCGACTACACATAGTCGTTGCCCACCCAACCGCTATTCAGGCTCAATCTTAGCTTCCAAGATGTGATTCAGAACGAGCGCATTCGGTGGTTGTTTTGCCATCGGGTATTTTCTGCAATACACACAGAGATGAACGTGTTGTTTGCGTGGAGGTACGGCTTCCTCAGATTTATGGCTACCATATAATTGTCCATGAGTAGACACTACATGATACATTGGTGGAGAGTTGCATCTTATGCATGTGATTGTATTTATTCATTATATTCAATGCAAATTTAAATTCCACGGAGGCACAATCTTAACTGATTGTTTCTGCTCGTTCTCTCCCAAGACGTGCATTGTTCAGATGTCTGCAGAACCGTGATTTGTTTACTTATTGTTCGTGTCAGTTACTGTACACTTCAATCTTTGTCCTTTATGCAAGCCGCAGGCAGCTGTTTCGGGGTCACATTGTAGCCATGGTGCGTGTTATTATTTATGAAAGTGATCGTTCATATTTGCCGAGTTTTCATGTGCGTGATATCGCAAAGGTCAAGCATTTGCCTTCAGTGCGGGCTTTTGGCAGCTGTCTGCAAGCAACGCGGATAATTATGGCAGTGATAACGCTAATGATTTGACCATTTCGAGCAGGCAGGTGAGTGAAATTACACTGGAGTGATTTTTAGTTGCGTGCACATGCTGCCGCTCTTGCCTGGTGCCAATTTTCCTTAAAAGCGCTTGTTTGTAAGAGCAGCGACATCAATGCCACTCTATAATCGCAATGCGTAAAACTGTGGTGGTTAGATCATGACTGATGATGTTGATTGCGTAAAAAACCTTCGGTTGGTGTAAAAATTACTGTTCGTAGAGGTAAAGGTACCAGCCCTGTAATATCTGGTTAGACCACTGTTGGAGGACGTTCCTCCATCAGAGGGAGGCTCTGGAGAGACCCTCTGGGGTATTTTATGTTCTATTTCCACACCGGTCAGACGTTTTGAGAGACTGGTGAGTGTACCCACACTTCAAAGACAATGATCCCCCGTGGCGATATTGACACACCGCACCAGGTACTCATTTGAGGCTGAGTCGACCTAGGGGAGGAGGCCCAGGACCGGTTCAAATAATCCTAACTGGTGTTGGTCGTGAGCAGGAATCGAACTTGGGTTGTCAGGTTCGTAGCGCAGCATGCTAACTGCTGCGCCACCGCTCCCCATACCCACACTTCACCCCCTGGGTGGACAGAAGCACATAGGACCTAAGAAACTTGCACCATTATTTTAACGACCACGCCAGGAGATCAAACGAGTGACCTCTGGATGCAGGTTCACTGTCAACCATTACACCCCACAACAGTATCCTGGTTTTTTTTGGCCACAAATGATAGCTCAACGGAGTGGCTTATCGTGTGGATATGTATACCAGCCACATACTCTTAAACGCACGTTTATTCTGAATGTCGAGGGAAAAACTGGAGGACCCGGAGAAAAAACCACGCCACCACGGTGAAAGAGAACACCCAAACTCTGAATATACAACAGGCATCAGGGATCAGGTCGAGCCCACGACCTCCTGCATCCCAGGCGAGGGAGTTAATATCTCGCCACGCAGTGCCCGAATTATTATCGTTGCGCGCCACACTGCCAACTTTCTGTGGAAGTGACACTAAAATTATCAGACAAACAGACACTCAAAACAGGTAGCCATGTACGTATAAATGTCGAACTGCTTCCACACCGTACCATGACGGTAATGTCACGGCCTGCCCCATGGTCGCCCCCCCCCCACCCACGCAGGACGGACGACTGAAAGCCGCGCTGCTCAAGTACATCCGCCAGCAACACCCGGGGGACAGCGAGAAGTACAACATGGTGGCGCTGTGCTTCAGCATGAGCCGAGAGATCGCGGAGAACCTGGAGGGGGCGGCGCGCACTCGCCTCAAGCTCATCGCCGCCCAGCCCTGGGGTGAGTGGCGTCTGTCGCAGAGCCGGTGGGCTCCAGCGACGTGGCCTCAAAGTGCACCTGGCCTGGCACAGGCGCCGTGGTGACGTCACCGTCACTTAGTGGCGAATGGCGGGTATTGGTATCGGGCTCCGGGTGCAGGCTGCTGGTTGCGCTGGAACAGAAGAGGGGGTTAAAAGCCCGGTTTTTTACACTGGGGCCAATCCATGTTGCTGATGCACTGCTTGCAATGGGTGTGCGCGCGTAACCTTTTTAAATCGCTCGTGTTGCCGGATCGCTGAGTTTGGTTTCACACTTTTAAGGGAGTGAGCGCGAGCTGTTATGAGAAACGCGCTGTCACTAACCCACGAAATGTTCCAAACGGACCGTCCCTCTATTATCGCCGATTGCACACTTGATACATTTGGTACAAAGCTAATGATGGCATTTGAAGATGGTGGCTAAAGCGGTAGTTGCACACGTTCAAGAATCCCGTTGTTTGGCGTTGTCGCTTGCGGCTATTACTTGCGTGAGAAATATCTTTCAAATTGGAGCTTAGATGAGCAGCGCGTCTTTCGCTCTCTTTGTTGAACTTTCAGTGGAGTCATGGGTGCGGCAAAACCCGTAGACGAGACCGAGGCGTCAATCGTTTCTCGTCACAGAGAAAACTGCGGTCCTTTCTTCTGGCTACTAAACCTTGAACAAAGTCTCGCTTAGCTCCTCGGGCAGCTTCACAATTTCCTCGCTCTCGTTGCCTTATGCACAAGGGGCCCTCAACCGCGGTATGTAAATGAAATGTGAGGTATCGAGGTTGGCAAGCAACCTGTGATTGTACATCAGCATGCTCTGTTTCCAGTGCTCAAATCGGCTGTGTAACCCAGTGCCATTAATCATACTAAATTTCTCATCCCTTCTTTTTACCTTGCAGTGTTTCCCTGTGGGATACGGCAGTGATCAGACAGACGTGTAGGTGTTTATGACGCAAAGGCGTGAAGGAACTTCAAAGTGAGCTCTCCGAGAGTCGGGCTGCGGTGCCTAATTTGTAATGCTGCTTTTGTATCTCTGTCCATTAGAGGTGACACCAGAGCTGAAATCAACACTGGAGCAAGTACTGACGTTTCTTAAGGATGCAACAGAGAGCTACAAGAAGGTCGGTACGACTGGCTTTTTGTGGCGGCTGCATCGCAATGAACTCTGCAGAGTAATGGGTTTGTTTACCATTGAGGGTGGTTGCATAATAAACAAGCTCTTTAGCTTACTCGCCACTTCGTCAGTTAGCTTGGAGATGTTGGCTCTATCCTCGCAGCTGCTCTTGAAAGTGAGCTTCAAATCCACGGCAGCACAAACCACAGGGGTAGACGATTGTGTTCCTGAGTCTCGGGCATACAGATGATTTGAAGATTAGCTAGAGCAAGGCTAACAAAAGTCTCCACACAATCACAAACATGGTGGCTTTTCTTGAAAAAAGAGCTAAATGTGTCTCAAACTCTCAACCGGTTAAATGACGGACGTTAATTTATGCCTAATATGCAAATGTGGGTTGAATGGTTGCTGCCACTCTGTCATTACTTTGACCATCAGCCATCATCCACCCATTCTAACAACGTGTCGTACCGAAGCCCGCTTACCTTTTTCTTCATTTGAACATCATGAACCTGTGCGTTCCTCACCCCCTCTCTCAATGTCATTTCAACCTTGCGTCTCTCCACGCTTCTTCGTGCATTTTTTTTTCCAATTCCCTTAATTTCCATCTTTCTGACCCATATGTCACGGAAGATTACACACATTAATAATAATAAAAAACACGCTTTCGAGGACAAACACATTTAAAAGCGTTACACAATCCACCGCATATCCACAAATTTGTCCTTGTATTCTTTTTCATCATGTTTTTTTCCCCCCCCCCACCATTGCCGTGGCTACTCGTGGTGGCGGCTGCGGTGGCACGCGTTCGCAGGAGTCGTGCTTGCGGCAGGCGCTGTCGTGCGTGCGTCTGGCCAAGCTGGTGCGCCTGCAGCTGCACATGCTGGCGTCGGGCCAGAAGGTGCAACTCATCAACCTGGAGGGAGACGATCTGGCTCGCGTCGCCTGCTCGCTGCCCAAGTACTACCAGGTCGGCCCGCGGAGGATCCCATCTTGCAGAAGGGACAGCCACATGTGATATGGAGATTTAAAAGATGCTTTTGCAGAGAGTGTGAGATGGTGTGTGCCTGGTTTTAGGCAACTAAAATAATCGAGACCAATTGCCCTTCGCGCTTTATGACAGCGGTGTTAAACTTCTTGAGCAGTTTGAGATGAGTCGCAGTGATTAGATGGTTTGATGCTTAAAATAAAAAAAACACCGTGACTGCCTCATGCTGGACATCTTTAAACTGGCCTGCACAGCACGTGGCCATGCTCTGTAAAGGACAAAATGTCCTCGGATCTTTGATGTGCTGGCAAATGTGTTTTGTATTTATTCATCCCGTCGTGTATTATTATTATTATTGGAATGTTTCCTCTCTGTCCACGAAGGATTATGACTTGGGCTTTTTTGAATCAGCATCGCGGATGAAAGCTCTGTTTACATTACGCGTAGACAGGGTCCGGCGTCTTTGACCCCGCTTTAGAGGCGATAATCCACACCGTAGCATTCATTGAATGCTCGGCACTGTCGCCAATCTGCCGAGAGCTCTGTGTACATTCTGCAAATCTTTCCCGAGTAAATAGCACCTCTCAGTAGTCCTGTTCCTTGCGTAATTCCTGGTGCAGCGGGCGGTCAGCCAGGGTTGCAGAGGGAAAGTTTACTCGTGCACTTTACTCAGCGCGTTTAAAAATGTCACGGAGCTGTGTTTTTACTTCTGGAGTGAGATGCACCCCCAAGGGAAGAAATTTGGACCTTTTTTTTTGCGCTCTGCGTCGCCACGGGCAACCAAACAAAATTCGACAGTTCAAAGAGGCACTCACGCACTCACAATACATGTAGCGTTATGTCGTGCGCATACGAATCGGAAGTTAACAATCCAGCTGAACGTTATCAGTTATAGCCTCTTTGTCAGAGCCCTGCTCGATGAAGACCTTTCCCACACTGTGTCGGTTGTGGGGGTTGTTGGATCCGACTTTACCACACTGATTATATTGCAGCTTGGGGAATTGCGAGGCTCCAGGACCGGGATTCAGATATCCGCTAGCCACTGATGCCAACCAATGGCGGGGAATCGATGTTAGGTTTCCGCTGATGAATAACAGTGGTCCGCAAACTCACTGCAGCACCATCGCTCCCACCAATCGTTGCTATCAGGCTCCGGGACAGACAATGGGAAAAAAACATTCTACCGCTGAAATGATGAAATAATCAAAATTTTAATGGAATCGTGAGCCTGAATTGTCACAGTTTATAGAATTGTAGGGCAGGGCGCTGTGATTTCTTACAAACCTTAGAGCTCAAGGTCAGCGAGGGGTGGGTGGTGGGAGAAAGGGAAGGGCTCTGGGTCAATGAGGGGGCATGATGAGGCATATGTGGACTTTGTAAACTTAGCGTGAAGGGCAGTGTGTGTGTGCCGTTTCCACTTTCAGTAGAGTTGTGCTGCAGTCCTTTTGAGGGGGATTTCTGCATATATTTACATTTGAGGTAAAATACATGTGAACGAGATGCTGATTACTTTACCCTCATGAATGTTTCAATTGTTTATCGATGGAGTAATGTTTATGATGTTGCTATGACCTCTCGTTATTTCAGCAGGCACCCAATTGCGGGCCTCCAAGTGTGCTCTGCGCCACGTAGCCTCGTGCTAAATATAACGGACCATGCACATTCCAAATGTACCAATAATTGCCACTGCATGGCCTGCATAATGAATACTGATGCCTTAACGTCGTTGGGCAGTATTCCAGTCGCATTGACTTTAAAAAAAAAATCTAAATTACAATGCAAAGAAATACTTATTTCCATAATTTTGTCGCGTTTTAATGAACTGCGCGATGCGCCAAATTTTCCACGCACTATTTGTGCGTACGTTAATTGCCGCATGCAAGGGATAGGAATTTTGAATGCTAGCACATAGTCTGCCAAATTATTCGCACAGCTGCGCTCACCGTCATTAAACTACGCGACGGTTGTTGCCCATCGCACTGCCTTGAAATTACATCCCTTTATCACCGACCCACCTCCTTCCCCCCACTACTTCCCCCTCCACCTAACTCTACCCCAGCCCTTGCGTTTCCTCTCGCAGTGATGAACCTTGCGCTTGGCCGACACATGGCGTGCTTGTGCGTGTGCCGCAGGTGGCGACGGTGGCGGACGCGTACGGCTACAAACCTCGCTGGGCTGCGGTGCTTCACCACCAGGTGGTCCAGCAGGGAAACTTCAGCTTCTTCGATGACTTCAAGAGCCGGGGCCAGTTGGAGTCCGCTATAATCCTGGACGTTGTCAACATGTGAGATGACCCATGTTTCCCACGAGCACACGGAGGGATGGATAGGTCTACCCTTGCTCTGCCTTCCAACTCCCCCGCCTCCCGCACTGCCACCCTCATCACACCCCATCGACAGCCCTGTCGAATGCATTACAACGTTGACGTGTTTTTAATTAAGACCTCAGCTGTGGTGCATGTCGGTCGGTCAGAAGGCAGGAATGAGGGGGCTCTCATAGTTCTTCGATGGATTGTCAAAGATCGATATTGCGAGTCTACAATTAATTTTGCGTCCTCGTTTGTATTGTTTCTCGTTCCGTTTCGTTTACATTTTTATTGTTATCCCCGTTTAGCCTGAATGTAACAACATGCACAGGTGTGTTTAGTCTGCATTAATTGTAAATAATAAATTCTTATATCACAGAATCAACCGAAGCAACCCACTCGACTTCCTCGTTCTATACCTAAGCCCAAAGGAGTTTTAATTTCAAAGTCTTAAGTTGAAATTAAATGCAGTCATGAAAAATCTCCAACCAGCCAATGGTTGAGCTTAATTGGTCAAAATGTGTTCAATATATGGGCCATATATAAATACTGTATTTGTAAACTTGGCAATCTTGAGGGTTGGTGGAGGGTTCATGACAAATTTTGGCATAAAACCATCACTGGCCAAACCTTAAAAATGTATAAGGATAAGTCAATTCCAACACACACACAATTCAACGTATGTATCGTGAGCACGAGACATTATAATTGATGAATCAATGCATCGTCGCACGATGATCGGTCAGTGCTTGTGGCAGGCATTGACACCATTTAATTAATGACGTGCATCCTTACTTCACACTTTGCTGCACAGAAGACGAAGTGGCGTGCCTTCTTTGCCAGCACACAAATTACGTGCCATGCATAAATCCTTATAATTTTACCACTTGTGAATAACAATGCAATTTCAACTTAAAAGAGTGCCCTTAAAGCATGTAATTGCACATCACGGCTATAGCTTGGATTTTTTTTAGACAAGTCCATTGTCTCCACATACATGCAAGCATGGACCTATTTCTCGCTTGGTGGTACTAAGCTGGTGGTACAAATTACAGTCGTATGGCAGAGACCAATTTCTCCATGAGATGAGCATTGTTGGACTTCTCACAAACACGAACGTGTAAGCGCCGGAGGTATACTAGTCAACGCTGCCGCGAATTCAAACGCTTATTGCTATTCCACAGTGCCACCTAGCCGTCTCAACGTCGCAGTGCATTTGGCGTTTCATGTTTCGGCTCCGCTGCGCAGGAACCTCTGAATTATCCAAGTGGCAGATGTTGACTGTGCTTGCCAATTTTAGATTTCTCGCTCATGGTATCGGTACTCATAGCACCGCAGGACTTGCTGACGACTAAATCCGATCGCTTAAAGGCACAAATATAGAGGGATGTTGTCTTCACCCACATTCTTAATAGGTTGGCTGTAAATAATTTTTAGACATATATGTATGTTTTTGCGTGGTCTGTTTTTTTGTATTATTTGGGCCATGCCTCCTCCCAATAAGCCCAGATAATTGTATTGAGAGTATTTAACATTTTTATTTGAAGGAAGCTATGCTCGTCTGCTGTGTGGTAATGGTTAGCACGCGGGACTGGCAATCTAAAGGTCGCCTGTTTGACTCGATCTCGCAGTGCGGTAGTTGAAATGTTGGCGCAGGTTGATCAATCAGTCGTACATCAGTCGATTGGCAGGATGCCTGTGGCGCCCCTCTTCTGATACGTCTGGTTGGCATGGAAGATTAGGCCAAATTCCCTCTAAAGGGGCTCTCCAGAGCTCCCACTCGTGGAGGCCCTTCCGCCAACAGTGGCTTAAGACATTACCTTTTACGCTCGACTGCTGCTGCTACTGCTGCTGCTGTTTCTCAGTCTGCTCAACTCCACGCTTACCAACACTCCACACTGGCGAGATGTTAACTACCTCGCCTGGTATATACAGGTCGTGGGTTTGATCCCAACCCTGCCCAACGCCTGAATATTTGGAGTTTGCATGTCTCTCTCCCTTTGTGTCACGTGCATTTTTCCCCGGGTCTTTCCCTCCACATTTAGAATCGACATGCATCTTTGAGTATTTGGATGTTGTAAATTTCCACAATCCACATCGTTGAGCTCTGGGACTAGGTCACCTCTGAAACAAAACTCTGTACCTCAGCTAATCGCTCAGTGGGGCCTTACACGGTCAAATAAAAAGTTGAGCTTATAGTTTTAATAGCTTGTTTTTCCCACAGCTACAGGAAGGTGGAGGAGCCGTCGGCGGCGCACCGCGACAACATGAAGAAGCTGCTGCGCCAGAGTTGGAACACGTGCCTGTGCCTCACCTACAGCATGGCCTTCCAGTGCGACTTCCGGGATCTCGCCGGCGAAATGCTCGCCCACCCGGGCGCCAAGTACTACCTCAACGACACGCTCGCCAGCTACCAGGCCGGTTAGTTACCACCTTCACACCAGAGGCAGGGTGGATTGCAAAAGTTGACGCATTAGCTCCCTCTGTTTATTTGTCTTTAACAGGATACGGTAAATCTGATGCAATTTTACCGAAACTTGAGTATAAAACTGTGTTGCTAATTGGTGATAAAAAACCAGCACGAAAGACAAGCCTTGTCTGCTAAAGGTGCCTAGTTCTGACGTCACGCTTTCCATGACATCTGTGGTTTGGAACGTACGGCTATTGTTGCCAATTAAATGCGTTCCTTTTGACTAATGCATGCTGAAAAGGCACATTTCGTGCATGTGCGTGATGTCTCTTGTATTTTTGTCAAAGCTGATTTTCACCAGTTTGTACACCCTTACATAACCAAATCACCTGGAATGCCCAGTTGTCATATCAGCGTGCACAAGTTGCGATGATGCTGTGGCATCAGATATCTGGACTAAAAAAACATGCATGTATGATCCCATGTCTGTTCCCTGCCTTAACAAACCCACATGAAACCAGCACAGTGAAGTCTGGTCAAGTAATCCCCACGACAAAGACATAGGGGAGGAGGCCCTGCCAAGCAGTGGATTGACAAGGCTCAACGTGTACCGAACCAAATGCGTCATTGAATTTTAAATCAGACGACACCCACTCCAGTCTGTAAATATGCATTTTGGTATTGCTTGCAAGATACCAATGTTTGCTTAAACATTACTTCCATGGTGGTGTTTATCTTGTCTATTTCACCCCAAGACAATATTGACAAATGGTTGCTTTATTGCCATTCTTGATTAAATTTGACATTCACAGTGTATGCTGTTAAACCTGGAATGGGCCACAATGGCCTGTTCATGGCCTGGCTTCAAATATGTGTGCAGCTTTTTGAGATGTCCTTATGTTAACTCAATGAACTGAACATTTTCATATCCAGTTACACGACTGCTTTTTGGTCAAGTCACGTTTTCACACTGGAAATGAGCACTTTCAGCAGGGGGTTGATATTCAAAGGTCTACATGTATTTGCATAAGCACGACTCTATACTGCATAGAGAAAAATTCAACACGCAAACTGCCAGCGTGGCTGTATCCATGACCGCCCATCAATGCCAGTTTTCAGCTCTGCCCAAAGCTTAGCGGTCACAACATGAGAGAACATGTCCTGTATTTGCCTTTTATTAAATAAAACTAAATACTGCAGGGAGTATAATTCAATTGTAATACAGTTGTCGTTTATGAAACACACAAGTTAATTTTGGAGCATTGAGAATGGCTCATTGAAATGGATTAAGACAGCATCCGGGTTTGAGTCAGCAGCACAGCGATTTATGGCAACGGACGGAGTCTGAAACCTTATTTCCGAGTATGGAAATAATTCAGGGTGACGCATACAACAATTACGCAGCACGTTATGGATAAGTTTTATTATACAAAAATAGCTAGGCCATTCTCAATTTCCCGCAGTGTTACTTTATTCCATGATCAAAATGCGGCAAAAATCCAAGTGAAATTATCCAATTGTGTTAACTTTAAACAACCCAAGATTCAAAGCTCAAACTGCAATAGCAAGAGGAACCCCCCCCCGCCCCCACCTTGCCCCCTTCCACTGAGGAGCAGGGGGAATAGTTGAATTCTGGCCGCAAGAGGTGGACTTGGCAGCGTTTTCACAAACGTAAACCACTGCTGTGTACGCTAGTGCGTGCGCGCGCTCTCGCAGTAAAATTGCAGAGTTCCCATTATTCTGGCTTCTTCGTGCCACGAGCTGGGCTTCTCCCGGGTGTCTCGATGGCAACTTGATGGAGGAAGTGATGAAGATGATGCTTGAGGCGGGTGTCATACAGAGTTCCAGGTGTTTGGGGGGGAAGGGGAGATACAAGCAGCAGCAGGTGTCACATGAAGTCTTCGTATTCGTCATATCCTGCAGGACCCTCGTCAAAAGCCTCGAGCTCGTCACGCAAGTTTGCCTTGAAGCCGCCACCTGGCATGCTCGCCCGTTTCTTCTTGTTCTTTACCTTCTTTTCCTGGGGAAAACAAACAAATGCCAGATTTTTTAAAATGCAAAACGTTACTGCCATAACATCGCACAGCTGACCACAAGCACAACGGATCAAGTCGGAGGTCGTTTACCAAAGCAGATAAACTGTTGTCGCCCAGTTGAAAAAAGGGGATCTGACCGTGATGTTAAATGGCGAGGTCAGAAATGTTTCAATAAAGAAAAACACCAGTGACCAATTCAATTGCAGTATTGTGGTTTTATAATGTACATTGATTGCAAAATTACAAAGTGATTATCTAAAGACATTTGAAAGCTCAGAAATAACAATGTATCCACTGTGTCTGCCGGAGCTAAAGAGGGTACCCAAATATGTAAATGTTTTTCCTGTTTCACAACACTCATTAAATGCAAACACAACTGATTATAACAGGTGGGACCAGCTCTACATTAATATATAATTACAACTTTTATTCTACCAGGTAAGGCCCACGAAGCTATATAGCTCTTTTTCATAAGCAACCTGGTCACAAATATTAGCTCATCAAATTGGTTTGTGGAAATGTATGGCAATAAAATACTCTAAATACATGTTTCTAAATGTAGAGGGGGGAAACTAGTAGACCCAGAGAGAAATCTACATGACCTGGGGAGAGAACATGCAAATTCCAAACATATAGGCTTCAGGGTCGAACCCACAACCTCCTGTATACCAGGCGAGGTAGTTAGCATACAGATGCACATCCTGCCAAATGCTAAATTTTCTGAAAGAAGTGTACACCACCTTCAATCCAAACCCACTGTGAATTGTTATATATTTAACATTACAAAGTGATTTTTCCTGGCATATTCAATTTCAACGACTATTCTGAGAATACTACTGAAACACACATGGAGTTTAACTGTACAAATAACAAATCAATGTAAACGGCTAAATACTTTTGTAAATCAAGTCAGATTGTCCGCTTGATGAGTCTCTTGTGTAAAATGCTGGTGGGCAATTCAAGCTGCAGATAGCTCTATATACCGGGCCTTGTGGTGGATATTTTAAAGGGTTCTCATGCAATTATAGACAAGGGTGTTTTAACAGTGATGTCACTCGCCCGGGGGTGGGGGGGGGACCCACCCATGGGCACCGACAGTGGGTCCCAAGTGACCTTTATGAAAACTCCTCCTAATCATGGTTACAACGGGGAGTACGAACACATTTGCGTCAGCGTACTGAATGTCAAATAATTGCTGGATGTGGCGCTTTCCAAACAGTGGGACTTGTCTGACCATTCTTCACCACGCAAAGGGATTATCCCCTTCCCTATTGATGTTGTTACCTGGAATGAACGTGGGTTACCAAATTCGTAGTGCAGTGCACAAATCTGTGTTCCACCCAATTATCAATTTACTTGTTACAAATCACAGTGCATAAGCACCAGTTGTTGGGTGATGCATTTACTCTGCAAATGCTAAACAGCCTATGCAACAAAAAGCAAACAGCTTCATCAACGACAACCACATCACCATAAGTCAAGAGTCTCTACCTCTTTTTAAAGGCTGAGCTATGAAGCCTGGCTGGTTTGGGTCAGCATAGAAAGGCTTCTCACATCCCCAGCTTTCAGCAGACTGCTCTCCCCACCGCCTCCACCAATAACCGTGACAACCTGGACCAAACCTCACTAGTGGTCATGGCAACGGGCTCAGAGTCTGGCTTGTCACCATTGCACAAGCATGAGGGTGCTCTCAATGGTGCACAGTGTGCTCTGAAATTCACGTGAATATTTTAAAAGTCAACTATTAGCGTATTGTAAATAAAATGAGTTCACAGGATTGCAAGATTTGCAAGTTTAAACACCTTTGGTAATGACTCGTAATTTCTGGAAAAAAACACTTAATCTTGGTAGTGGCTCATTCGGGAGCACGGCGGAGTGTCTTACAGCTTAATGCAGTCCCTCCAGAAAAACGCGATTATGCGATCGCAAGATTCCACGCAAAATCAGCCAAAGTCCGCATATTTATGCGGGGAGCGCGTTTTTTCAAATACGCCGCACTTTCGCCGCATAAATTGCAGATTTCCGCGCGCAAAATATGCGGGCTTGCATGATTTCATAATCCCCGCATTTTCGTTGCAAAAAGTCACATATATCTTAGCAGAAAGTTGAAAAATGTTGCGTTTACTTCACACAAGCGCAGCCATTTCCCCTGTTGCCATGGGAACGTTATGAAGTGTTAGAGGCTACGTAGTTAGTTTTATTCAGGAGTTTATGCAACTTTACAGTTGTAAGATTGCACTTTTTTGTTAGTAGTATGTAAATTTACATTACTGTAAGACTGTACTGTTACTGTATTGCTTACGTTACTGTGCACTGAAAACACTTATTTTAACAGAAGATGTCTGTTTTGTATAGCTACCTCTGTAAAACAGGAAGCACACATTTTATTTTTTAATATTTTATTTATTCATTTTTACAGAAGTTGTAGCATATTCATTTTGTAAAGCTACAGAACTTGTTCGACTCAATGTTTTGTAAGTTTGAGCCATCTGTTTGTTAAGGTCTGAAATAAAACAAGATGAGAACTTAAATATTCCCAGCACTTTCTGTGATGTAGTATGCTTGCTTATCATAGGAAGTAATAAGAAATGACTCTTTACATTAAAGTAGTAGCCTAGTGAATAGGGTGTTGGGGGAATCACTTTTTTTTCTCTTTTTCATCAAACCGCAGTTTTTGCAAGTTCCCGCAGTTTTTGCAAGTTCCCGCAATTTAATCGCATAAAATTGCATAATATCCCGCATATTCCATCGCATTTTTTAAGAAAACGTGCCGCATAATCAACGATTTTTGCCCGCAACAATCACCAAAAAACTCCGCGTTTTTCTGGAGGGACTGTTAATGAGAGCCCAAAGAGACTAATTGGAAGGGGTCAGAATGGCAGCAGTAACAGTGGCAGCACTATAATGGTACATTTAATGAGTCTTTGCATCCAAGTGCTTGTATACAATTGGTGGGACACGATTGCATGGCAGTTAGCACACCACTACCGTCTTTTCCCGCATATAGCCCACATACGCATATACCCCACAAAAAGCGTTTTGTGTAAAACAAATTTCAGATAGCCCGTACCTCCATATACCCTGCATGCATTCATATCTTTAACATCGTTACCGCAGCTTAATTCCATCGTATTAATACAAAGTTTACATTTGTTATACATTACACTATCAATTGTTAACATTACAATCATAACGTGCACAAAGAAAACAAACTAAACGGAAACGAGTGAACTTAAAACAGTAAATAAGTAACAAAAGGAAATATTCCATAAGTAACACAACTGGTAGATAAGTGTACTGTTAGGCTTACCAGAATTCGACCTCATCATATGACAGCTACTGGACCGGTAGTTACCCCTGTACAGTTTTAGCACTGGTAGATTGCGCACTGCGCAGACAATAGCGGCACTAAGCTAACGCCATTGCCTCCGGGCAACAAAGCCATTGGAAGTTTGAAACAAAGCTCATGGTCGCGACTCTATAGTGCTCAGCCAATAGCAGCGGCCTTAAGGGACTCTGCAATTATGATTCCACGTCTGGTAGACGCTTGTGCAATCCATAGCCTCAGCTGAAACGTTCGCACCCCCCTACAGCCACTGAAAGTATTACGGTAAACAAAGTGCGCTCACTTCAAACATTGTCGTTTCATTGTACAAACAATTCTAATCATTTAAAACGTGATAACATGTGCAATTTTAGTGCGAGTGGTTTATTCAGCAGTGCTTTAGTCAAAGGTAAGTGTTGCATAATGGATAGTCCTACCATGGAAAAATTGAACGAGTTATGACATGTCACACGTGTGAAATATATTTGGGATAGCCCGCACCTCCATATACCCAGCAAGGTCTTGTTTTGTTTGTAGAAAGTGGTATACCCCACAGGTTTTATGCGGGGAAATACGGTACATATCCAGTGACCTGCATAAAGAATGCTGGTCACGGCTAAGGTATCTGTGGAAAGTATCTCCACTGGGCCCACACTTCAACCCACACTAACTAGCCAGTGTGGTGAAGTATGGTTGAACCCCCCCCATGACCACAGTAGGAAGGAGGCCTTCATCCAGCAGTGGACTGACAGAGGGCTCTGAATGAAATTAAAACCTTGGTAAGAGAAAGGAAAACCAAAATTGCCCATGTTGTGATCAGCAATACTACTATACCCCTATGCCCACAGGATACTTGGACTAATTGCTCAGGTTACTCAATGACTTGCAAATTCTTAACCTGCCTGTAGTATCCTTTTATACAGTTAATAAAACCGTGTACATACAATGCGCAAGTCTGCATTTCACTAAACATACCAAATAGGATGAAAACTCATATCTTGACAAAACTTACATGTTTCGATTTAAAGCTTTCGTGACTGCAGGGATTCAGTCTTTACCGAAAGAACCAAGAAGAAGAAAACTTACATGCAAAAAAAAAACTCCATGGCAACAATTGTCACTGCTTACACTGGTCACACTTTTTCTGGTATTAGGTATTCCAACGGTTTAAAGGTAATTTTGGGGTGCTGATTCCAAATCTGGCATCAGTTTTTGTCTATCACATCAGGTTTTTGAGATATCAAATATTGCAGTTTCAATAAAAACTGCAGAAGAAAGATATTAAATAAATGTGGATATCTACATAAAATTATATTATAAACACACTATCCTAAAAATACAGCACCATATTTTAACACTAAAGCAGCCACTGACTCGCAACAACTTGCAATCATAAGTGACAGAGTTAATTTCAGGTAAAATCGATGAAATGGGGTATGCCGATATCATAAAAATGATGTGATAGAGCAAATCTGAGATCAGATTTGGAATCAGCAACCTGAAATTAGTCTAAAACAGCTGCAAAAGTCCAGGCCAGAATATTTTTTTTGTTGACCAGTGTTATTTACTGCGGCTGTGTTGTGTCTCCACATGGTGTGCAAGAGACTTGCTTGAAGAACGATGATGTGTATGAATGCTCAAGTGCTGCGAGGTGACAAACAGCAGGTGCACTTACCTTGTCTGCCTTCTGTTTCTCAACACACAGGACGTTTAAAGTGGAGCTGAGCTTTTTCGCATCCTCCATTTCCACTGCAAGGAGCACAAGGCGGGAGGGGGGGGAAATGGTTACCAATCGGGCACTTATGGTGCGGTGCTGGAGGAAGCTTTTCAAGCGAAAAGCGCCTTAGGAGCGATGAAAGTGCACATGATTGTTCACGTTTGCGTTCGGAGTTCTCATGAAAACCATTTCATGGAGATTCTTGAGTTGGTCAAAACACCGGGAATGATTTTCAAAAATGGGGAAAATGCAGTGTGGCTTAAAATCCAGTGCAATTTCTTCGAGGCTTTTTCAGTGCAAAACTCTCAAAAAATGTTCACCATTAAGTTGAATGCCTTTTTTTCCCACATCTAGATTTAAATGAAAGATTGTTTCACTTTAAGATGTTGAAATGCACAAGGTGTCTTGTACAAAATTAACACGATTATACGCAATGCGTAGAATAAAGGCTGCACAATGTTTATCATTTCAAATGTCCTGTGACAAGTGCACGGCTCAGTGGCAATATACAAAGTCATATCATTGCTCCGAGCTTAAAGTAAAAAAATATATTAAAAGAACAAATTGTACACAAATGCAAGCTGTACCAATTTCTCATCCGTACCCTTGTCTTAATTCAACAAATGAGCTCAAATGTCACTGCCTGTCAGCTGCTGTGCAGCACAAGCAGGTTTTTTTGTTTCATGGAACAATTAAGAATCATAGCCATAAGGTGGAACTCGGGAACTAAAAGCACCAGACATGGCCATGTACAATTATGCAATGCCACAACATGCAAATAATATATATTTGTTCAATAAACCTGAACGGAAGAAAATAATCTATTGTGCCGGTTAATTTTGCATCTTATTAACTGTGACACCAGAAGCAAAGGAGCATTTGCAAACATCTGGCAGGCATGTCCAGCGGATGTTGATTTGTTAGAATGTCAAATGTGAGCCGCGAATTTTATTAAATTCGCTGCTCACGTTTCCAACCCATTTGCCACTTTGCTCATCGAGGCTCTGTTAGATAAATTGCAGTGAAATGGCCACCTGTACTGAGACTCGAAGAATAAATGCACACTTCCATTCCATTTGTGCTTCTCGCCCAAGTGTAGCAGTTGTTTATCTAGGGAAGCTTCTGAGTTTCAAGTCACTCCAAATTGGATCTTGCACAGTGGGAAGATTGGCCAATGCGCCTCAATATTTTATTGTGGGAGGAAATTGGCGTGCTCGGATAAATATTTTATACAAAACCATGCTTTGCATGCAGTTGGGCAACTGCTACAAATGCTTGGAACTTTATCAGTATTGCAAGAGGAACGATTTTTACCGTACATCACATTCACGTGTTCTGGCCATGTAGTAAAATATCTTTAGATACTTAAAACTCGCCTTTTGCCCATCCAATGACGGGTGTATTGCAGTAAATCTGAAACTTGCAAGCTTAAAGCAGACCGCGACGTGATATTCATTGCATCAATTCGTGTGCAATTTGTAAGGGCGCGGTGACACAGACCTATTTCATTTCAAGGTTATAATCCCTTGTTCATCATGACGTCCTTTTTACTTTGATGTCTCAATAGCGTTACGGAGATTGCGTGACGGCGAGGGTTCTGCCTTTGTAGTGAGGGTTGTAACTTGACGCCGAAGAGGGGGGAGGAGGCACCTCAGCCCCCCATGTGGAGTGACGTCAGCCGCTAATTAGTATGAAAGAGGGGGGTGTCTATATGGAGAACGTCACCTGTTCATGATTAGTAATGAGGGGGGCTGGTCGATGTGGAGTGCCGTGATGAGCGTTTGGGGCAAATATTCCTGGGTGAGTAGGTCTACAATAAATATTCAACTTTCATTTATTCCCTTGCTGTTCAGGGGTCACAATTTAAAAGTAAATTCCTTGTTTATTTTTTCATCTCGTATGCATTCCTATTGGCTGATTTACAGTTTGTTTTACCCTATTAGCCTAAAGGTAACATTAGTACATGTGTATTCACTGTAAATAACGTATTCTCATACATGTGGATGCATGTGAGAATAATAATGGATATGTGTTGAGATACTTCAACATGAGACGCTTTTGTAAAATAGAGATTGATGTATCCCTGTGCCTCGCAACATCTGCAAGAGGTGTTATTTTATATCAGATACAACTCCAGGTGAAATGCTGCCATCTAGCGACATGCGGGGAATCTTGCATCACCATTACACATTGGCTCATGGGGGTCACCGTCCCCCCCCCCCACTGGACATGTAAGTAGTCAGGTATTTGTGACGTATATGCCCGGTGCAAGTGAAACGCCGCTTTGTGGGGTGAACTCACGGCTGATGCAGATGTCACGAAACAGGGCCTCCAGGAAACCCACGTAATGCGCAGACTTCTCGTACTGTGTGACCTTCCGTCGGAGGGCATTTCCAAACTCCACAAAGTCTTCCTTCGTCACAGGGTTCAAAGCATCTACGCTCACGTCCTCTGTGCTTCTTTCGCCTAACAAACAAAAGTTTCAGGAAGCGACAAATTAAAAACAATAGGGTGGCACAGTAGCCCGTGCACTGAACTAAGCAAGACCCATCTTTACCAACTGGCACTGACTAGCATGGTGAAGTATGGTAAAACAACCCCCATGATTGACACAGCATGGGGAGGCCTTTATCCAGCAGTTTAACAACAAAGGGGCAGAAACATACCATTTATCAGTGGAGTGAATCTGCCAAAATTATTGGTTGGCTAGAATTGTTATTTTTTCTGCCACACTACTTTGGGAATAACGGTGAGTGTAGACTTGGAAATTGTATGCAAAGTGTTTACAGTAAAGGCCAAAGTTTGCCCGAACAAAAATCCTTAACGAACAAAACTTTACTTGTGCCAACAAAAATATACGTTTTTGGATTTCATGTTTGTGCATTAGTAACAAATTCCCCATGTCATTTTCAATATAGTCCAACACAATTCAAGCTCTGAACATAGTTACCATTGTGGCTTCAAATAGTTTATATTAAGACGCGTCAATATTCACCACTGAACATGTTAGCACTTGCAGTAATTTACTGCAGTGTCAATAATCAAACAATTTCCCCGCACCTCCGGGTAGCACGGTGGACTATGTATGGTGCAAAATAAGTTCAACGTAACATACATACATGCACTTTGAAAACATTTTCGAGTCACATTAAACACATTTTTTGCTCCCTTGTCATTCAAGATCCCTCCCTGCACCTTAAAAATAAAACCAACCCAAAAAAAAACCAGTCTTAAAATAACGACAAACGCAGGATCCGAAACATACCGAAGGTCTCAAGTGCAACATGAAGGTCGGCCTCCTCCTGAAGTTTCTGGAGGCGCAGTTTTTCTAACCGCTCCTCCTCTGGGCTCTGTTTTCTCGTCGGCTCGGTCGCTGCCTGAATAGGCAAGTGGTCGCGCACACAGACAACGATCCTTCATACATAGCTTTTAAGACTGTTGGGGCAATTGCTGTGAGCTAGCACCTCTAATAGGCTAGAACAGCGCACGAGGGGGTAGGATGGCCAGTACCACACCCAGCCCCCTTCATCTCCCAAGTGCCGATTGTTTACACACTGCACCATTGATGGCCAAGTCAACCTCGGAAAGGCCAGGATGGGTTCAGCTATTCGCTACTTCCGTTAGCATGAGCTGGGAATCGAACCACTTCCCCCACACATACGCATGCCACGCACAACCAGAATAGCATTCAGTCATGTCTGGCAGACAGTTAATATGACTGCTGCAAGAGTAGTTCATGGTTTCTTCAATGTGGGGACTTTAGCAATTAAAAATAGCGGAGGACAGTAATTGTAGGATGGACGATTTCACAAAGAGCACATGTATATTTACTAATGCTACAGCATGTGGATATTGTTTCATGAAACATTTTGACTAACGTGTGCGCTATTACAGTTCACGCAGGAATATTCGAGTATATTACAGTTCACGCAGGAATATTCGAGTATAAACAAACTACCTTCTCGTTGACCTCTTTCTTTGCTTTTACTTTTTCTGGTTTCTTTTTCTTCTCAGCGGCTTTCACCTCTGCAGAGATAAATATGGTAAAAGCTGTTTACAGAAACCACTTTAGCCTAGCCCATCACAATGTAATTCTGCAACTACTTAACGGGTGACCAATGTGGTTGCGAGTATCCCCTTACCTGTGTTAGCTTTTGCTTCTCTTTTTTCCTCTTCCTCATCATCCCAGTTGTCCTGTGCAACACGATCGGAAATCACTCATTAAAGATCTTTGACGTCGATAAGCAACCTAATTACTATGCACCACTCCCAGCGGTAATTAACAAAGCCTAAAATTTTTTTTTAAAGGATAAATGCCACCGCCAATAAAACATTTGTCTTTGCGTACCACGTGGTGTAATAATACAAGGGTTGAGGGACTCGTATTAAAACATCATTTCACTGGGATGACATTTTTATAATTGCGCATGATTATAGTGGTGAATCCGTTAAGGTTTGTATGAAACTAAGGTTCGTATTAACACCCGTTTTGTCTCTTGATTAGCAAGGGTGAAGTTTGCAGCAGAGTAAACATATCCAGGTCCCCTAAGCCTCGACTCTGGGATATCAAAAGCCTTTTGGCATTTCGAATACAGTTTACTCTGGCTATTTCCCCACGGGGAAAATGTCGCAATGTAGTTCTTATCTTACCACTTTCAATTCTTTCAGTTCGTTTTTCCCCCCTGCCACTCCCAACAGTTTTGTATAATCCCACTTGCCAACGCCGCTGGTGTCCAGATTTTAATTTCCCTACGGGGTGAACTGCAGTTAAACCGTTTTGACACGTCAACACAATCAACCGCTTGTAATTCACCATATGCTACGTCTGGGTAATTGCTGTGCTGCGGTTTACGCTGTACTGCGTCGTGGGGCAGAAAAGACAGCATGTTGCAAATCCATGGCGGTACAGTCACATCTACATTGGGGGTACAATGTAGATGTGCTTGTATAAAGGGGCAGGGTTAACTCCCTGCAACGTTAGGGTCCTTCAATTGTGGGGGGTATCCAACCCCCCTTCTCGAACCACGGTTCTTTTTAACACGAGACATCCTTAAGAGGTTACAATCGATTTTTAGGTACCCCTAACTATGTGCACGGGACTTTGGTAAATCCACTGTTGGATGAGGGCTTCCTCAAGTCATCATGTGAGCCACACTTCAATACTGCACGCAGGTCTGTGCGGGCTGGTGATAGCGGGGAGCACAGACAGAGGAGCTTAGAAGTACAGCACGATGGATTTCGCTCCACTACCTACCTACGAATATAAAATCCACTTTTTGCCATGAGGCCTCGATAGTTCTCGGGTCTATCCTACTCCCGTGCCCGCCCTCTAACCCGCTCGGGACCGCGCCCTGTTGCCGCTGCTGCCACTGCCGAGTTCGGGCGGCTAGAGAGCGCGTTTCCCCCCCCCCCCCCCGCTTCGTACAATTACCACGTTTACCAATGTTAATGACCTCTCTTGTGGTTAATGGCAGTTAACGAGACCATGCGGTCTCGGCGGAGCCGGTCCGAGACCTGTGGAGCTGCTCTTCTTTAGTTCTGAACCTCACCCACCACCACCACCGCTCCCCACCAGACCAGGCAAATCATGTTCGAATTCCGGACCAGGGCTGTTCAGGGGCTAAACCACGAGGCCGGTTCTCTTACGAACACAAGCCCATCACATCCGGCGAGGTTCAATCCCGGACCGAGACCGGCTCTGGACCCAGGGCTTGGTCCGTTCGCGATGCGGTTTTGGGGTTCTGGCACAAGTCCCGATTGGGATCCCAGGTTCAAGTTTGGTCCGCGATCCCGGTTCGGTTCATTCTCGGACCCGATTTGGTCCTGTTACGATACACGTTGCAGTCCTGGCTCACGCCAAGTTGTAGTTCTGGTGCCGCTTTAAGTTTCATCCTTGCTCAGTCCCATTCGAGATCTCGCCCTGGTCTGGTTCATTCGTGATCGATCAGATTCTAGTCCTGATAACGAAGCAGTCTTGATAGGGGCGGGTGGGAAGGGGCGGTTCTGGTCCATAGGCCTGGTCTGGTTTGAGGCCTAGTCCGGCCACGGCCCGGTTTTACAGAAAAAAACCGGTTTTGCTTTAGCTTCTGAGCCCCCCCCCCCTTCCCAGCCCTTATCCTGATCAATCATTCCGCTGTCCCGTCTCGATACGGTCACCATTCACTGCCCCCCCCCCCAACACACACACCACCCCCGGCATGCGCGACCCCTCGACTCGGCGTCCCGGCACCTTCACGTCGTCATCCTCGTCCTCGCCCGCCCACTTGTCTATCGCCAACGCCGGCTTGGGCGCCTCCGCAACGAATTCTTCCACGTCTGCTGCCAAACCCAAGACACACACACCACACAGACCCCCCTTTAATAGCCTTAGACTGTGACACACACCACACAGACCCCCCCCCCCCCTTGTAGCCTTAACAGACTGACACACACACCACACAGAACCCCCCCTTGTAGCCTTAACAGACTGTGACACACACACAGATACCCCCGTGTCGCCTTTAACAGACCGTTGGAACAAGTTGCGGCAAGCAAGCGAATAGCAGCGGCATCTATGCAGGCCGGCAGGTGCCGTGGCACAACAACGAGGGGGTCTAGGGTGGCGTGGGTGGCGCACGGCACCACGCCCGACACACACCCCCGCACACCGTGACACGCGGCTCGCTTCATTCTACCGATTATCGAGTCGCGAGGCAGCAGCAAGAGAGGGAGAGAATGGCCCGTGTCTCTCCCCCCTCCTCCTCCTCACACTCCCCACCAGCGTGGCCGCCTCTCTCCACTCACCCCACGAGTCCGGCTCCGCCATCTTGGCCGCTGACACACGCGCCCGGGGTGGGGGGGGGGGGTCACGCGCAAGGGATGCCGGGAAGTGACGTCAAGGACGCGCGCGCGTGCGTGGTGACGTCAACGGCGCAGCGCGCGTGGTGACGTCGACGGAGCAGCGAGCTTGCGTGGTGACGTTGACGGAGCCGCGCGCGTGCGTGGTGACGTTGACGGAGCAGCGCGCGCGTGCGTGGTGACGTTGACGGAGCAGCGCGCGCGTGCGTGGTGACGTCGACGGAGCAGCGCGCGCGTGCGTGGTGACGTCAACGGAGCCGCGCGCGCGTGCGTGGTGACGTCGCGGAGACGTCACAGCGCGTCGATGAGCGTGACGTCACGTACCCGGTATCGTGACGCGTCACTTATAATTTTATTACTTAATAACAAGCACCATTTTCTATGGTTCTTTAGGTAAAGTCACGTGGATAGGAAAAAATAATAACAATAAAATAAAAATAAAGTGAATAAAAAATAATAAAAATATCACGACGTTTCGATCGCAACACAAGCAGTCGTCATCAGGAACAGGGAGCTTAGCCTCTGAAGGCAAGCGGTTCAAAGTTCATGTATTAGGTGTAGCCCTGTGAGCCATTCAGCTCTTGAATCGGGTACAACCGCAACAAACAAAAAACAAAAACATGAACAAGAAAACATCTTAAAGTGAATATGTGACTAAGTGCAAACAGAAAATCCAAGAAAAGACAGCAAAAATATTGCAGAAAAATCACCGTCTACACCAACGCTGTGTGCAAAAATCCCAGTGGGATGCAAGTCAAACAACAACAGCCACAAGATAACTTAGATTAAGGCCATCAGTCTAACTCTGTACTACAACAAACAAACATGGCCAAACCAATACACTTTTCGAAATCACCAAAATAAAGACATCCAAGAAGGTTAGCATGGCATCCTTTTCTACCTCCATGGTGAATTTAATTGCTGGGTTACTTTCTACAGGTAGGCATCAGTAACCCATACTGACGTGGCGTTCAGAAAGTTACAACAAAACGAAAATACGATAAGAATGCTGTTGTCACTACCAGTATTTTGCACAAACAACGCAACACCGAGGTGGTATTTAAGGTATAGAACAGGCGACGTTTCGGGCAATAGGCCTTTCTTTAAAACAGAGGCTAGAGAGTGAGTGTAATACGAGTTTAAAGACTGCATTTGTTTACACCATGGGACCTGATAACACGTTACGTTTTAAGCATGTTTTTTTAAAAAAATCCTTTATATTAAGTTCGCTTGCTTGCTTAGGACCGTGCAAATCTTTCGGTCGTTTTTTAACCCACTTCCCGTGATCCAATCGAGCTGACATTTCCCACACAGACTCGTTGTGCGTGACAATTAATGTTCCTGAAATTTTTTTTCCAAGATTTTACACTTTTAAGGACAAAAATATTATATTTAATTATCAATTGCTTAATGGTGCAATGCAATCATCTGACCCATAGGTGGCAGCCATCTAAAGCCAGAGGACGAGTGGACTCTAGCCGCCACGCATATAAAGGATTTATAGTGAAAAACTTTGTTTTTACGGGTTATACTTGTTTTTATAACCAAGAGTATGACGAAATATGCACATTAAATACCAAATGTTGCTTGGCACATTGCATTTACAATGTAACGGTAAAACTGCTGTCCATGTACGGCCCCTTTGTCAATCCACTGCTGGATGAAGGTCTCCCCACCACGCCGTGTGGGTCGTCGGGGTTATTTGACCATACTTCACCATGCCGGGAGACGTGGAAGCGTATTCGAGTAAAGCCAATGGAGTTGGCCGCACTGCTGCCCTCTGCGGGTCAAAAATGATCACCACTTAAAGTACTAAAAAAATGTTTAACTGTAACGCTAAATGCGCTTGTGTCAAACTTCAAATTAAAAGTTGTTTTCAAGCATCTAAATTGTTATACATATTTAGTGTAATTGTTACCATATCTCACCCGTGCAACTTTTGTACATACATATTTCCAAAGCAAAACTAAATATGGGTATATTTTTTTGTGCAGACGAGGTAATGTAGAATGAGAAAACACTGATGCCAAGACTGTGATATTCATGTTTATTAGCTGTGTAAATTATAAAAAATAACTTAACACATTGTTTTGACTGCTATATAACAGACTTCATAAACGGTACATCATTTCAATCTCATACACATCCATAGGCACATTCATCTTGAAACACAAACAACACATCCAGACATTTATTTTCAAGTGCCAAACTTAAAAATCGTCAGAGCACACTTCAAAGGCTTTAAATCTTATAGAAACCGCAATTACAGCAGCAATCATCCCTCGATTTGAATCTTCCATTTCGGTTATTGAAAAACACACCAAGTTGGCTTCACAATTTTGTAATGCTGTTTGCATTCAGAACTTTGAATACTCTTTTGAACCGAGCATAGTGTTACGTTCCTAATTATGGTACATTAATCACTGACTTATTATATATTTGTTATTCATAGCACTTTTAAGGCCAAAACTTAAAAATGTGTTTCTTTTCCATAGAAACAGTGTATACTGTTGAATTGTTATTCTTTGCTTCTTTCGGTAGTCACATAGATAGAAGAAAAAATAATAAAAGTAAATTAAACAAAAACGACGTTTCGATCACAACACAAGCGATCGTCTTCTTGGTTCTTTCGGTAAAGTCACGTAGAAGGGAAGTAATAAAATAATAAAAATAAAACATAATAAAATAATTCTTACGACGTTTCGGCCACAACGCAAGCAGCCGTCCTCAGGTGAAACCAGGTCTGTCGAGGCGACAGCGTCTGAATGAAACAGCACACGTGCTTGGAGCATATATATAAGCTGGGTTGGAAGGGGGGGGGGGGAGGGCGCCTTGACAAAAGAATTTGCATATCCCCCCCCCTTCCAACCCAGCTTTTATATATATATGTTCCAAGCACGTGTGCTGTTTCATTCAGACGCTGTCGCCTCGATAGACCTGGTTTCACCTGAGGACGGCTGCTTGCGTTGTGGCCGAAACGTCGTGAGAATTATTTTGTTATGTTTTATTTTTATTAATTTATTACTTCCCTTCTACGTGACTTTACCGAAAGAACCAAGAAAGCTTTAAATCGAAAAATACAAGCGATCGTCTTATTTTTCCCAAAGACGATCGCTTGTGTTGTGATCGAAACATCGTAGTTTTTAATATTATTTACTTTTATTATTTTTTGCTATCTATGTGACTTTACCAAAATAACCAAAGAAAATGAATTTCCGCAGTTTTAAGTCAAAATTTAATGTTGAATTGACTCCAAAAATTACAGACTCGCAATCAGAGTTTTGCCCAAAGCAATCATAACCTCAATTTCTCAACAGTTGGTTCCAATAAAGATCACAATCTTGAAATGTCCCAGTGTAGCTCTTCATATGATTTTTAACACAGTAGTTCAAATTCCCTCTGGCCAGGACCAATCTTTTGCTGTGGCAGTTTGCCTGAACACACAGATAGCTTGGACTGGGGGAAGGCACAGCCGATCGAACGGTCACTCTCTGCAAGTAAGTTTTCACTGAGTAAATTTTGAAAATGTATAAAGTGTAACAAGCTACTGCAAGGCAATATACAAACGATTACGTGATGCACAGCGAATTCAAATTGTGGAAAATTTATGTCACCAGACTGCAGATTAGGACTTGTGACAGGCGAATAAGTGCTCTCCATATGATACATTCTACTTTTTAAGTTTTCTTTTTAATGGCAAAAAACTTATTTTCATTGTGAATGTGTCAATATTTTCTATTACTGCAAGTTTTAAATTATAAACAAGGCAACTGGAAGACATTAAATGTGCATATTCTACACGACTCACATCTTACAGTGAATAACATGAAAGTGTATGATTTGTGCAAAACAGAAAAGCAGTACATTACGGAAATAAGCGTGACAAAGCATGCAAAGCCAACAACTGAACCCTGCACGCATTGCCTAAGATGATACTGCATGCTTCACGCGAATAAAAATGGAAGACCACCACACACTGTGAGACAATGAAAATGCAGGGGGATAAACATTTACGACGTTCTTCGAATCGTGGGTCACATCTCATCCGCGTGTAGTATCTTGGCAACGTCAACGACCGTCTTGTTTGCGTGCGTCACCACGAAGCTGCCGTTCAACATCAACTCATCGTCAGTCCAGCCATCCAGCTCCACGGTCGGTTCGTCAGCATCTGTCCCGTAGAGATGCACCCCACCGTCCGGCCAATCCATACCCTGAAATGATTTCTCCATCTCCAAGGAGGGCGGCACGTTCATGTCCTTGGCGTTTGCCACGTACGGGTCAGACTTCAATGTCCGTGTCCTCACTATCGGACAGAATAAGAAAAATCAAGTCGTTAAGTAAAAATTCACGTGTTTCAATAACTAGCACTGCCCACACATTTGCGCAGGATACACGACTGAGGTGGAGGGTGGGTGGAGAGGCGTGATGGCAGCACGCGGATAACGTCATCAAGCAGAAGTGCATGGCGATGTCACCACTATGCATGCGCACTTGCAGGGAGGCAGCAATACTTTATTTTTTTATAATGTAGTATGATAGTACATTTTATTTACCCAGGAAAGCCTTACCGAGTCTCGAGACTTTTTACAGAGGGTTTTGCAATTGGAATATTTGGCCACTTCCATGTCTAAATATTTGACAAATATTTGACAAATATTTGTTTGATTGAATACACTGATCATCTTCAATTAATAATTAAATATTTTCAATATATCGCTGGATGAAGGCCTCCCCACACTGTGTTGGTCACAATTGATCTTACTTCACCATGCTCAGGACCAATTTTTACACGACACTTACAACAGAAGTCAGCTGTAGCACGAAATTGAATTCAGGCTACTTGTACGATTTTTACCTCCTGATATTGCAGGTTCCACGCCAGAATCTTGTTTTCCACCAAAGGGGTTTATGCTCGGGAAGAGAATCAGTGCAAAGGAGAGCACAAACACCTGCGTATGGGAGACATAAAACACACTTAGGTTAACACAATGATATAATCTCTTTGTTTAACATATTTCTTCACGTTAAAATGTTCTGCTCAAAAAGGACTTTGTCCTTTGCAGTCTTCACTTACGAGGATACACGTGCTTGTAGGCGCATTCTTGTTTGTTGTCTGCCGCACCAACGCCTGCAGCTTTTTCAGTTGGGCCAGAAGGGACCTGTTGAGTCACACACGATACAGTTCGTATTATAATTTCTCGAATAATAATGTAATTTCTTAAAGACTCGCTTGACTTTCTGCCCCTGCACAAAAAATTACACATGTTTTAAAAAGTATAAAAATCGGAAGGCAAATTGGGAATCAATGGAAAATGCATTACAATTAGAAAACGTTTTCATTATGTTAATTATAATTTAACTTGTAAGTTAAACTAATATTAATTATCAGTTTGAATTTGATGATGGATTAATGTACATATGGAGGGTGGGGCGATGATACAGTGGTCAGTGAACTGTACTATGCACCTGGTGAAGAATGTTATCCGAATTGATCCTGGTCCCCACTTTCACAAACCCACACGCTGACCAGTGGATTGACCAATCATTGTAACATTCTGAAAAAAATGAGTGCGGTTGAACTCACATGTTCTGTTTCTGCAGCTGATCGACTCGCTTCTGCAGCTGCACATTCTGAGCCGTGCATGTCGCCACCCTGTGGGTCAAAACGTGCTCATTATTCCCCGCATGACACAGATGTTGGGATAGCATCGAGTATGGTCAAACTATGCCCGTCAGACCGCCACGTGGCGAATGCTTCATCCAGCAGTGGATCGACAAAGGGCGTATTTATGCACGTATATAACTTTGCTAATGGGCGTCCATGCAAGAGGTGGATTGACGGCATACATGACATCAAAGGGACAACGTGGGCCTACAGAAAGACATTGCCATCAACGGAGAAAGGAGGCAGTGGCATATTTTGTCTAGCCTCACCATCTGACTGGCGGAAGAGAAAGAAACAGAATAAAATAACGGTAAGCCTCACCTGCTCTCCAGCCCATCCATGTAGTCTTTTTTCTTGCGCCGGCTCTCCTGCGCCGAGATTTTGTTGCGAATCTTCCTGCGCACCTTTCGCAGCACGCGCTCTTCCGCCTTGGAGACACAGCGCAACAAGTACGTCGATGAGCGCCACTACAGCTGCTGGCTTGGAAACACCTTAATCAGCCAATCGAGTAACAGCAGGGGACAACTGAACCTACGTGCAGATGGGTGTTGCAGATGGGTGTTGCTGTTAAGAGCTGGAAAATAAAAGTACAAACTAAAAAGCACCGTTTGGACAACGCACCTTGGTAAGAGGGAGATCCGTGGGCAGGTCAGCACCTTCCTCGGAAAGCAACTTCTTCTCTTCCTCAGACAGCACCAGCTTGGGCCACGTCTTAAAAAAGAAGTAACATTTAAAAATACTTTTTTTTAAACACGCTTTAATTAAATGTACCGTACGAGTAATGGCAGAACTCCACGACTCCAGAAGTGGCCGCAAAGCTTGCCATAACGTAAGGGGCCGTGGTGATTTACAGCCAACGTCAGTTGAGCGTGGACAATTAGACCCAAGCCGAAACATAACATCTAAAAAAGAATGTTTAAAAATATTTTTGTTTATAGAATATAGTATTGTCATTAGTATGACATAAGTATACCAAGTTTGCAGTCGGTATCACATTGGGAAGTGGGTTAAAATTGAGTTACAAGATTTGAGGATACGACGACAACAACAGACAAGAGTGAGTTAAATAAAAGCGTGTAATAAAAAGAGCAGCCAACCAGTCAAGTCAGTGAAGGTAAGCAGAATTTGGTATTATTGTTACGTGGTATCATTATTTAACAATATAATACTCATCAACATTATCTGACAACATTAATTTCTTGCCTCAGTGTAACTCCCTTGCCTGGTACGCAGGAGGTGCATGGGTTCGATCCCAACCCTCATGCTTGTATATTTGGAGTTTGCATGTTCTCCCCTTGTTCGTGTGGATTTTTCTCCGGGTTCCCCGGTTTTTCCCTCTACATTTCGAATCAACGTGCATGTAAAGTATATGGCTGCTATAATTTTCCACGTGACCATCCCCTTCATTGTGGCCAGGTCACTTCTGAAAAAAAGCTATATAGCTCAGTCGGCTTTGCATGGTAAAATAAAAATAGTTTTAATAAAAAAAAAAACACTTACCATCGCATTCTCCACTTGCTGGGAGGTGGTTCGGGCTCTGAAGGGATACACTAAGGCGCACAGAGTTGAGGCAAAGGACGGCGTCGTGGGAAGGTCCACTTGAGATGTTACTTCTGCGCAAATGTCATCAATGTCTGCATGGCAAAACAGCATATTTTTACAACCGTGTTCAACTAACGCACAGTTACATAACCAACAATGACACGACAGAATTTCAAAATACAGCACCAAAGTTATTTCCGTACCCGATATGTCGACAGTCGTCGCTTGATAATCATGGTTTGGAATTTCCGTGACCACACCTTCCAGCTCCTCTGAGCTATCCGATTGGTCGGCTGAGCTACTCTGACTGGGTGAGCGGACTCCTTGCTCGTTGCCATTGCTGTGGTAACAGTGGTCCACCAACACACTGTCGACACTGCTTAGCGGTGCCACGCATGGCTGCGGGGATGACTCAGGGGACGTGCCGGACGACACCGACAGGGGTGGCGACGACCCCTGGTCGTCACCAGCAAAGAGCGAATCGAAGAAGCTCTCCAGCTCAAGGTCTTGCTCTCCAAGGATGTCCTGTAGATCACACGTTCACATGCACAATCAGAATCTTGATTTATCCTGGAGGAATCCCGTGAGCTCTGAAGCTGGATCAGAAAGCTACGACAACAAACATGCAAGGGCGGACCAAATGCTGTCAGAAAAATTTGCACGCTAAACTAAACGAGATGGTTAGTCAAGTCAGTACTTCGTGTGCGGGTCACCGCTCTTTCTTGTAAAAGAATTGTCATTAAAAAATATAATTCAATCTAAGAAGTGCAGATAATAAATTGAGAAACACAAACACAATGTACCCCTTGGATATCGGGCTGCTTCCCGACCCGCTGTGGCGAGCCGACGCGATACTTACAGTGGTACCGCCGTTCTGCTTCGCGTCCCATCCTCCCAGGAAACCGTCGTCGCGCAGAAGCGACTCGACCGCCGCAAACACATCCACCCCCACCCCCTCTCCGAGAAGGTCCAGGCTGTCCATGGTACGGCAAGGCTCCACGGCCTCCGAGTCGGTAAAGTCCATCCGGTACTCGGAAGAATCCGAGCCGAAGTCGAGAATTTCCATCGACATTCTGTCCCACGGCACCTGCAATGTGAAACAGGTTTTGTGGTCACTGTAAAGAGATGATTTTTTTTCATTTCCCATGGACTTTCCCAGCCAAACCCAGTGGGGCATACAAATCACTCCACCCAGAATATCCTTTCCAGCTGGGGATTTCCAACATTGCGCAATCCTGCTCAAATATAAGATAACTATCACAATGCTGCACAGTATGAGTAACTACCAAAACTAAACATAAATGCCGAAACTAAACTATTTCAGGCCAAAAATATGAGTTTATGTCATTCAGATTTTTATTGCGGTGAACCAAAAAACTGCAGAAATTGGTGGAACAGTGGTGCAGTGGTTAGAACCCAGCGACCAGAGTTTGATTCAAGGCCACGGCTAACATCAGTGGCGAGTCAGAATCAGAATATTTATTTCTACTGGAGGAATCCGATGAGCTAACAAGCTCTTCGTCACAGATGTCCAGTAAGGACGGGTCAGAACGTTACAAGAACAATACAAAAACACGATAGGAGTGAAAAACATAGGAAAGGTAAACAAATCACTTTTAAAAAATATACAAATACAACTCAACTATTCTTTTTACCTTACCAGGCAAAGAGCCCACCGAGCTATTCGCTTCTGTTTTCCGAAGCGACCTGGCCACAAATAGCTCAACGAAGTGGTGGCTTGATCATCACGTGGACATTTAGAGCAGCAAAATAATATAAACAAACGCTTCTAAGCGTGGCAGGAAAAAAAACCGGGGCCATCTCCATGACCAACCCGCTTGATCCCTACTTCAAGTTACTTGAAGTAGGGATCAAGCAATCCCCCCCAACCCCGTGATTGACAGCGTTGGGGGGGAGGGGGGGCGCTATCAATTATTCACAGCATTTAAAAAGAAAATGCTCAATGTCTGCTGTGCCATGATGATACTGTATTATCCAACAATAATTTAATGACATACTCTTTGGTTTTTTCGGTAAAGTCACGTAGGTAAAACATTTAACAAATGAAGACAACTAAATTAAATCACGTTTCGGGCGCAACACAAGCGTCCATCTTCAGGTGGAGACAACGTAGTTTGTGTTGCGCCCGAAACGTCGTGATTTAATTTAGTTGTTTTCATTCATTTTATTTTTTACCGTGACTTTACCGAAAAAAACAAAGAGTATGAATCCTTGCAGCCACGAAAGCTTCAAATCTAGAAATAATTTAATGAATTAATGTTATAATATGGGTCATTCAAACGCAGAACATCGCCAGTTAAAGGAGAGTGTTTGGTTTAACGTCCGGCAATTGCACAATAGGCATCGTGCCACGAGTCGCAGTGCCTCTAGCAAGATGACGCTTAGCAATGGCACGTTATAGTCCACGCAGACAGACTACATGCAAATGTTACAGATGTAGAGGAGTAGAGGGGAGTGGTGCCAATCCACGGCTAGATAAAGGCCTCCCCATGCCACGTGTCGGTCATGAAGGGTTGTTTGACCATACTTCACCACGCTGGGTTGGTGCTGGTTGTTAAAAGGGGGGAGGGGGTATTGGGGTGCAGATATCACTCGTCACTGACGTGAGCCGTGGCTATGAATCGAACTCATGGGATTGGTACTCTTAGATTTTTTTTCGGTAAAGTCACGTAGTTAAAAAAATAAAATAAAAAATTAATGTAAATAACCTAATTAAATCATTAAATTTCGATTTAAAGCTTTCGTGACTGCAGGGATTCATCTTCTTGGTTCTTTCGGTAAAGTCACGTAGAAGGGAAGTAATATTCAGAAGCTGTCTCCCCGACAGACCTGGTCTTCACCTGAGGACGGCTGCTTGCGTTGTGGCCGAAACGTCGTGAGAATTATTGTATTATGTTTTATTTTTATTATTTCCCTTCTACGTGACTTACCGAAAGAACCAAGAAGATAAATTAAATCACGACGTTTCGGAAGCAACACAAGCCTCCGTCAGCAGGTGTAACTGCTCCAGTAAAATTACTGTAGCGCAGGGGTCGGGAACCTTTTTGCCTGGGAGAGCCATAAAAGCCAAATATTTCTAAATATATTTCATTGAGAGCCATATAGTATTTATAACGTCTAATAAATTAAATGTCTTACTTTCAATGCGACTTCTGGTGCTGCAAGGTTTTGCTGATGGCCTTGTAGTCTGGTTCATACGTGGTGAGGTTGAGCTTCGTGCAGGCGTGACCCGTGAAATGTATCTTCAAAACTAATTTCTGTTTACTTTAAAATTACACACTATTATTAAGCAATATCACAAGTATTTTAAAATCAGTTCCAAACAGATTTTTATTTATTTTTTCATTATTTTTTTCAACTCAAAATTGTCTGGGAGCCATTTGCCGTCACTGGAAGAGCCATATATATGGCTCGCGAGCCATAGGTTCCCGACCGCTGCTGTAGCGTGTGTTGCAGTCACAAAAGCTTCAAATCTCGAATCAGGTGATTGGGTTCAAAGTGCAGGTTGTGATGGGTGTGGTTGTGGTCTCGCAGGGCGACAGGCCACGTCCGCTCTTACAAAACAGGACGTCAAATTGTCCCCACTCTTCCACATCTCCGCTGGACATTATGCATCATTGAAACCACAGCTCACGGCTACAGAGGATACACACACAGTACCGTCATTGATGCACACGAGGTCATTGTACGTTTGACAAAGAAACAACGACTACTTACATATTTCGGCTGCCACAAATGAACATAATTCAACACAAGGGACATGTTGCATCCGCAATGGCGCATTCCATCCACATTACATGAATGCATGCGCACACACACACAGAGACAACACGATTGCATAGAACACCAAGGACAAGCCGAGTGGCATTTTGTCTATCGGGCTATAAGCGGCTGATGAGACCCAGTAAAGTCAAAATCGGTGCCTGCTGAAATTAATCCAGCCGGCAAAATGTTTGTTAACAATACAAACGAACAATACACAGACACCTATGATGCATACATGTACTGTATACACAAAAGGAGATGTACACTACACATACACAGTGTCGTACACACACGGTGCACGTGTACACGCATGCAGGCAAAGACAAAGATCCCCCGTATAGCCTTAACAGACTGTAGGGGCAAGTGCTGTTAGCGAGTAGCACCTATGAAGGCCGGAACGGTACACGAGGGGGGCGGGTGGCCAGCACCACGCCCGGCCGCCTTTGTCTCCCCAGTATCGATTTGTCTACTACGCGAACGCACCAGAGCTATTGATTTTGAGGCCGAGTCGACCTACACACAACACACAAACACGAACCCCGTGACCACCACCACCCCTCTGAACAACATCGCATTGACGGCGGGAAGGAAGGGATGGAGGGAGTTGTAAAAGATCTACGGCACGAGGAATGCCGTCGACTTCACCTCGGTGCCGCCACTCGCAGTGACGACCCTGACACACTTTGGTGACATCGGAGGAGATGGAGGAGATGGAGGAGGTGGAAAAGGGGGAGGAGATGGAGGAGGTGGAGGAGATGGGGAAGAAAGCGAATAAAAGAAAACCCACCACTCGCTCGGCCTGCTGCTGCTGCTGTTGTTGTTGTGACGACAGGGCCTCTCCTCCACACACAACGCACAACAAACAACAACAAACAACAACAACGCCGCCAATGTCGTCCCGTCTCTTCGTCTTCGTCGTGACGAGTGGAGACGATGGGGGGGGGGGGCGACTAGGGGGGGTGGGGCGAGGGGCGGGGCTGGAGGAGGGGGGGGGCACGTGACCCGCTTCCAGCCTGGCAGAAATGACGTCACCCGCCAAATGCGGTCCCCGCGCCCCGACAAATTCACGTCGCTTCGCCCTGGCGCGCATGCGCACCCGCGTCTTTTTTGTAACATGGGAGGTGGCCGAGCGCGTGTTGTTTGTTCAGAATTAGAATTATTTTTTATTTGACTGCAGGAATCCATAGTCTTTGGTTATTTTGGTAAAGTCACGTAGGTATAAAATAAAATAAATGACAACGTTTCGGGCGCAACACAAGCGTCCGTCATCAGGTTTTATTTCTCACCTTCCTACAGACCAATTCAGAGATCTCATTGGTCACCCCGTGCCCCTTAGAAATCTCAAAATTCATCCTACAAAGTTCCATCACAAGGGAGAAATACAAACAGAAAGACAATCACCACTACTACACTCACCACTACTACACTCACCACTAGAACACTCACCACAACTGTCAACCCCTTAGCAGTGCCCAACCTTATTACAGACCAATTCAGATATCTTATAGGTCACCCCGTGCCCTTATAAATGTCAAAGTTCATCCTACAAAGTTCCATCACAAGGGAAAAACACAAACAGATAGACAATCACCACTACTACACTCACCACGAAAAGAACACCAGAATATAACTGTCATAAATGACGTCACGCGATTTTTGACGATTTTGACCCCCCCCCCCCTCGTCACACGGCGTCACAAAAAGTCAGACCCCCCCCCTCAAATATGACGTCACAAAGCTCTGCCCCCCCCCCCAAAACCATAATTCCATTTTTAAAATAAAACACGCTTCAAATCGCTTTAAACTATTGTCATTGTAGTGCGTATTTAATGTGGCGCTGCACTCTGATGTTGTTGGAGAAAACATTTATTAAAAAGTCTATTTAATTAAGTAGAACGTGTTGTCTATATTTATTTAAAGTTGCGCATTTTGATGTGACGTCACATTTCTCAACCCCCCCCCCCTCGTCACACATCGTCACAAATGTCTGACCCCCCCCACCCCACCCAGGTGCGTGACGTCATTTATGGACGGCCCCTAAACTCGTAACGATGGTTTAACGCGTAACAAGAGTTTCGTAAGATCTGACCAAGCCAAGCATGTAATGTGAGCCTGGATAACTGCTGAGAGGGCCCGACCAGCCGAGCTGGACTGGTTTTGACTGAGCGTCTATGAAAAAGAGCTTTATCGCTCATCGGATTCCTCCTGCAGTATAAATATTCTGATTCTGTTGGAGAGGCTGTTGGCTTGCCGCGGGGTCCACGTGGTGGCTTTGTGGGCAATCAGAATATCATTAATGCAGCTAATAAATAATTTACTGTAATTCTGCTGCTGCTGCTGCTGAGCCGCATTAACCTAAACCACACTATATATACAAGGACTGTTTTCTTGGAATTTCTCTAACTTGATACAGCTATCGTGCTGTGACGGTTCCACCTGAAGACGGAGGCTTGTGTTGCCTCCGAAACGTCGTGATTTATATTTTATTTTTTATTTTACTTTTATTAATTTTAATTTTTTACCTACGTGACTTTACCGAAAAAAACCTAAGAATATGAATCCTTGCAGTTACGAAAGCTTCAAATCTAGAACTAAACCACACTGGTCAGGTCCCAACAACAGGAAGAACGTTTGATGAATCTGTGATATGAAATCGATTAATCATTAATACAGTAGTTCTGTGCACTAAACCAAAATTTTTAAAGTTATTTGTTTAACTTTCCTATACTTTGCACTCCTATCGTGTTTTTATATTGTTTGTTGTAACGTTCTGATCTGCCTCTATTGGATATCTGTCAGGGGGAATAGGAGTTCATAGGTCATCGGATTCCTCCACTATTAATAAATAGTGACTCCTCTACTTACGAACGAGTTCGGTTCCAGAGGTCTCTTCGAAAGTCCAACTTCACTCCTGTCGATTCCAAACATGTTGTACGGCGTGTGCACTAAACACGGGGAAAGGCATTCGAAATTGTTTAATCTCCTGTAGATGTAGATGCCACTAGTTCTTCATGTTCTGCAGATGTGGACGCCACTGCTTCATCATGTTCTGCAGATGTAGGTGCCACCACCGCCATATATTGCGCGTGCAGTTGAACTTACGACTCTCGGTCCGAACAGGCAACTGGACATATGGGAAACCACGTTTGTTCATATCTATGAAAGTTCGTAAGTCGAATTGTTCGTAAGTGGAGGTAGTCCCTGGACAGAGTCCCCGGGTTGCGGAAAATCCGACAAACGGACATCAGACCTTACGGAAATGCTCCTGTAATAATTCAACATGCGGAAATGTTTGCGTTAGCCACGTAAGCGCAAGTAGTGCAGCGCGGTGGGGTACTAAAACAGCCGCCTCACGCATCGCTTGAGCGTCCCTAGGATTAAGGTAAATGGAATGCATCTTTAATTTCTTGGGAGGTGGGGGAGAATCGTTCAGTTTCCGACTTACGGAAAATTCGAGTTTACGGAAAATTCGAGTTTACGGACCGTTACCGGAAACCGGGTTACGGAAAAGCTTCTGACTCTTCAGTCGCGAGCGGCTCTCGCGCATGCGCGGGGGAGCCGCGCGTTGTTTATTTGGCGGCGCGCGCTGGGCGGGGTCCGGATTTGGACGCCCCCCACCCCCCTCCTCGCTTTTAAAAGGACGTGGGGGGGGGGCAGTAGCGCAGCTGCACGATAAGGTTTAGAAGTGGGCTGCGTTGATGTTATGTTACACGCTAAGTTAGTCTCTAAACATTGAGATATATACACCGCAAGCGTGTTGATAGGTGCCGTTTAACAACACATGCAGAGTACTCCTATGTGTGTAACACGCAGCTTACACGCGGAGTGCGTTTAAGGTGCTGTGTGCATTTTGCACGGATATATGCACGCGGCTTAATGCGATCATTTACACGGGAGCACGACGGCATATACACAGTTTACACAAAGTGTATGTACACTGCACACACTGCAGGATACACAGTTTACACAAAGTGTATGTACACTGCACACACTGCAGGATACACAGTTTACACAAAGTGTACACGCATTACGCAGTACATGGAATGCACGCAGAGTACGAAATACGCACAATACACGTGCACAATGCACATTAGTGCTTACGTATAATAATCCTAGTTAGGTAATTGATTGGTAAATGATATAAATACTATTACATTAACGCCGGTTATTAACTAGGGAAACGCACACACGCCGACACGACACTTTAACAGCTAAAAGGGGTACCAATTTGTACCTGCCGTCATAATCCATTTATGTTGTGATAATTGTAACCGTAAACTCTGGCATGTATTGTATCCGGTACGCATTTTAAAATAATATTCTCACAGCCACTCGTTTATTTATGAGTCTTGGAATTAAATTTGTAGCAAACGCCTCCAGTGAACGTACCCAAATATGTCCTGTTTCTGCATTTATAACGACTGTACCGCAATGGAATTCTGATTATCAGATTTTAATTAATTGGGGCACAGTGTATAGTTCGTTAATAGTTTACTATTATCGTTAACAATCGTACATTGCATAAGGAAGGAGGAGTAATTGGGCAGAAGCCCACAGTCATTCATTCGCCAGCCACAATCCGCGAGTTTGAAGTTGTCGTGCCGACCTCCTCGCTGAACTTTGACGGGGTCGTCCGTCTTGTTCCTGGAGATGGAGCACTATTTGGAGGTTAAGGTCATCTTCTTGGCGCTCCTGTTCTTCTTGACGCTGCTATTTGGCCTGCTACCGCTCAAGTTCGTCAGGTCTTCTTCCAGCGCGTCGGGAGGACAACCGGAGCACGGTAAAAACACAATTTAACTCTCACATGGCACCCAGTGTTTTTATTTAACCGTCCGTCTCAACATTTTTTTTGTACCGCATGTGCACTTGTATGCTGAACTTCTTCCTTCGAAACTTACGTAGCTAACCGTGCTAATCGATGTGGAGATGGTGGGGTGGATGGACAACGAACTAAACACACACAAAAAAATAATCAGCGCTAAAGAAATTAGTTTTCAACCTGAGATGATTTTTAAACGTGGATAGCTCCCGGTAGCTTCTCAGTAAAATTTGAAGTGGACTTGGGCAGGACGCGTTGTTGGAAGTGAACGGTGGCACCGTCTCCTGTGGTCCAAGATTAAAGGGTTTTTGGAGTAACATCCACAAAGCGAGTGATCGGGCACATTTGCTCGGCTTGTGGAAAAGTCATTGTCACGACTCGTGAGAGATTGCGACGGAACTGCTGGGAGGCCCTCATCCAGCAGTGGATTGACCACGGGTTTTAAGTGTTTGTCTCTAACCAACAAAACTTTCATCCTCCCATTTCCGTACAATCGTTGTACGGCCGTGGCCGCAAAAGATTGGTCTTTGCTGTAATATCTGAAGTTTGTTAACATCATCATGCAATCTTGTTCATTTGTGTTCCACATGTGTTAGAAGTCGGGCGAATTTAAGTGTCCCAACTAAGGCAGTAGATTCCAACTGTTGCAATGTGAATAATATTGGTCGCGAAAGCCTACGTGTTAAACTGTTGCATTGTTGATAATTGGTTCTTTACCCTTCTATCTGGCAACAAAACTGACACCTTGTTGCCAGATAAAAGGGTAAAGAACCAATTATCATATTTTTACTGGCAAATGAGGTCCCCATAGTGTTGCATTGTTCCCATGTCGTTCGGACCGCATGTGTCAATACACGGGTGCTGTGTTAGCTAATTTATGTAAACTAAACTGTTAACTGTTTTATTTGATCAGGTAAGGTGCACTGAGCTGTATAGCTCTTTCAGAAGCGCCCTGGCCACAAATGATAGCTCAACAAAGTGGCTTATCACGTGGAAATGTAATAGCAGCCAAATACTCTAAAACGCATGTTTCTAAATGGGGAAGGGGAAAAATCTGAGGACCTGGAGAAAAACTCGAAATATACAGCAGGCGCCAGGGTCGGGATCGAACTCAAGATCCTTCTCTCTATACCTGGCGAGGTAATTAACATCTGGCCACCGTGGAGGTGTTTCCACGCAAGGCTCTATTACCACATCAACAGGGGTGTTGTGCCCCGATCTCGTTTAGGTGTCGTTCTCGTTTAGGTATTGGAAATCCACGCACGGTTCAGACTGGATAGTCCTATTGATGGGTGACCACGAGGCACGCCAAATTATTATCATCGGCGGCTGTTGCGGGTCTTTTGTTATCTGGTGTGCTCATTGCAGGGCAGTGTAGAGATTATCCATCGTTGTACTGTACTTGTGTGTTCCCGCGTCTGTGATCTCTGGCATCACCAACCAACTTGCACTGATCAGCGTGGTGAAGCATGGTCAAACAACCCCAACAATCTGCTTAGTGTGGGGTGGCCGTCGTGCGTTGACTTAAAGGGCTGTGTACACCCATTGGATTCTTTACTCGGACAATATGATCACAAGTGTTTTATGGAGTTATATCGGAATACATTTTTTTTTATCTTAATTATGAATTTACCGCATTTCACTTGACATTTGTTCTTCTCTTTGGTCGTGGGTTTAATTTCTGTGCAATATTTTTGTGTGTTCCAGGTTTCCCTTGCAAACAAGACATTGTTTTCCCAATCGTTCCTCCCCTGGTCTCCTCTGCTGGTCTATCTAGGCAGGCCCCCATTAAAGTTGCGAGGCCCCTTCTGCCTGCCCTGGCCCGAGTGCTGTGTCACTCACGGCTGGCCATTTTCTTTTTCGTTTACTCTTTGAACACTTTCATTCGCTCGGTCCATTTATCTGTCCGTCCGAGAGTAGAAGGGGACCATGCTAACCCTTGTCAAGATGATCAAATATAAATACAGTACACCAGGGAATGTTAGTTTATAGTCGTGGTACTCTTCTGGACTTTTTCAATAGTTAACTGGCCAAATTTATAAAATAGTTGCCAAAAATCTGGTGCTTAACAAATCCAGCGTTTCTCGAATAAGCCTTTTCACCCTGGGTGAAATTGTTACGAATTTAATGCAGTATGTATTTTGAAAAGTGGTTCACAAAAGCTATGCATATGCATGCTTGTTCTTCCTTGTTTGAGAATCCACCTGTACCCCCACCCACTCTACCCATCCAGGATGTTCCACTCGCTTGACCCGTGGCACACCTGCTGCTGCTGTGTCATGGTTGCCAGGTGTCTTCTTTCTGTTTCACAGGGAAGGGAGTGATTTATCGGGTCTTACCTGGTAAAATAAAAATAGGTAATAATAGGGATTTGTTGACCATACTTGACCACGCTGTTCGGCGTGGGTTGAAGTGGAAGGTTGGGACAGACAGGGCTATGACTCGCTACAGATGTCAGCCATGGCGGGGAAATAAACTCGAGTTGCTGGGTTCATAGCGCAGTGCTTTACGCATTCGCGACACGAAACTTAACACATTCGTCAAAAAGACTGTGGCTTTCAGAGGAAGCGTATAATGGGCGACGTTTCAAGCAATGGCCCTTCTTCAAAGAAGATCGTGCACCACTGCCAACGCAGTCACCAAATAATTGACGCGTTTGTGCTTGGCCGCACATGGTGGTACTGTACACACCTGTAATCTTAATTAGTTGGTGGCCCACACAAGTGTGTGTGAAATGCCTGAATGCAGTGGGACAAGATGCCTTGAGGAGGTAGCGGCGCAGGGTTCCTCACAAGCACTGTGTGCAAACAGCAGGCGGGTGTTATTTGTCTCTAATGTGCACGTTTCTCTGGCCACTCCAGTTCACTCCCAAAGGCAACATTTTTGTTGTTTTACGGAGTTGACCAAACCTCCCTAAAAGCATGACCCTCTGGAGAGGTCACAAGATTCTGTTGAGCTATTCCGGGGTAAACAAAGTATGTAGACCACTTGTGTTTACTGTATTGTTTCACGTTTGTGCTATGCGGCTCTGCAATGATGTGATTTTCGGTTACACTCTTTGGTTTTTTCGGTAAAGTCACGTAGGTAAAAAATAACTCAATTAAATCACGACGTTTCGGGCGCAACACAAGCGTCCGTCATCAGGTGGGAAAGCAAGGCCTACTGCTGCTGCAGACTGTTTTAAAGCTGCATCAGCAGTAGACCATGCTTTCCCACCTGATGACGGACTCTTGTGTTGCGCCCGAAACGTCGTGATTTAATTTAGTTTTAATTTATTATTATTTTTACCTACGTGACTTTACCGAAAAAACCAAAGAGTATGAATCCTTGCAGTCACGAAAACTTCAAATCTAGAATTTTAGGTTATACCGCGCGCTGTTTGGCACGGGGGGTGGGGTGGTGAGTGGCCAGCACCAAGCCCATGCGCCTTTGTCTCCCCAGTGGTGATGTTTACACACCGCAACAGGTACTCATTTGAGGCCGAGTCGACCTAGGGGAGGTCCAGGACCGGTTCAGAGATTCGTCACTGGTGTTGGTCGTGAGTGGGAATCGAACTCTGGTCGCCGGGTTCGTAGCGCAGCGCGCTACTAACTACGACACTACTGTGCCTCACAGTAAATAACTAACACTCGTAGGAAGTCTTCTTGGTTCTTTCGGTAAAGTCACGTAGAAGGGAAATAATAAAATAATAAAAATAAAATATTATGAAATACAATTCTCATTATTATGTTTTATTTTTATAATTTTTTATATTTCCCGTCTACGTGACTTTACCGAAAGAACCAAGAAGATGAATCCCTGTAGTCACGAAAGCTTTAAATCGAAACTCATAAGAAGCTTCGCCGCCAAAGACCCCGTGGTCTTGCCACACCACCCTTTTTATCGCCCCCCCCTCACCCCGTTTCTTTTAGAGCCTTCCAGAAGGTTCTCTGTCTGCTCTTCTTCATCAATCCAATCCCCTTCTTTGCTCACCTCCCCTAACCATCTTTCACCTCGTCGTCCCATTTTCTTGCCTTTTTCCCCAATTGAACCCTCTGCCAATTCCATGTCCCACTTCCCAGAAACTGTCCCATCCTGATCCATCCTCGCGTGGTCCTTACAAAGAGGAGATGCATTGTGTAAGGAGACACAAAAGCGGGCCCACTTATTGTTGATGGCACGATGATATAGTTAGACGTGAGTGAACGCCACGTGTTTTTTTCGAGCTTGACCCACAAGGGAGGTCGCTTGGAGTCGTCGTCATGGTGACTGGGAGACGCTGAGGATTCGGGTTTAATCTGCGCGCATGCGGGGAGGCACGTGCTGAGGTCAGTGAACCCTTGCAGCTGCGCGGCACATGGGTTTACAGTGTCCAGTGCTCAGCGGGTACGTGTAGGAAGAGCGTATAAACTGATAATTTCGGATTTGAAGCTTTTAAAGTCGATTTCAGATATTTATTTTATTTTCAGATCGTTCACGTTATATTGCAATTCAACATTTTCATCGTGCAAACAAAAGTGGAATAGCACGCAAGTTGTGTGACGTGACGCTGCCTCCTGTGACAACATACTTTCGGATTATTTAAAAAAAAAACTGGATCATCTGAAATTCATATCAAGGCCTGGTTTTAAGATATGTTTTTTTATCAATCCAAAAACAGGGAACACATCATTTGTACGGGACATTGTAAATGTCCATATAGTATTTGTGATAGCTGTTCCCACCATTACTCCGGAATAAACAATTCGTACCAACGTGCAAATATCATTCCGTATTACCTGCTGTAACATGGGGCTCATAAACATAGACATTGGCAAAGAAAATGGAGCAACAGCTGAAAAGGGGTGTTCAACTAATCGGGGAAAGGCGTACGCTTGTAATTAACACCGAGAGACCAGGGAGGGAAATTCATGGATCAGGGAACGTTCGCAAGTTGAATTTTATCGTATTGACTGTTGAGAAAGTTAGTGGGCTTTGGCAGGACGCGTTGCTAGAAGGATGATGGTCGTGACAACCACTGAAGTGGCAGCCAGAGCAGGGAATGTACCCGGGAGGACATCCACCGCAGGGATGAGGCACTGGAAACGGCTCGTGCTCAGGATCCAGATGGATTGCAGCATTTCGGCAACGCGATACATGGCGATAGTTTGGCGAGACCTTCGTACAGCAGCGGATCGATCGTAGCTTACGTGAATAAGAAGCTAGGCACAGTTGCGCACACTTGCAGACCAGGAGGCAGGCTTTGTGGCGAGTGCTAAGAGCATGTCGTAGAGACACCCACCTTAATGAAAGTTAGGTGGCATTTTTAAATCCTTTACATTAAGTTCGCTTGCTTGCTTGCGTGCTTGCTTGCTTGCTTACGACCGTGCAAATCTTTCGGTCGTTTTTTAACCCACTTCCCGTGATCCAATCGAGCTGACATTTTGCACACAGACTCGTTGTGCGAGACAATTAATGCGCGTGACATTTTTTTTCCAAAATTCTACACTGTTTAGGGAAAACAAATTAAATATTTAATTACCAATTGCTTAATACTGGGAGACAATCATCTGACCCATAGGTGGCAGCCATCTCAAGCCAGAGGACGAGAGGACTCTAGTCGCCACGCATATAAAGGATTTATAGTGAAAAACTTTGTTTTTACGGGTTATACTTATTAGGCAGTAATGACTGAGTTATTTTAGCGACTGGGATCAGCGCTTCCATGAGAGTAAAGCTGCTTGTCATCGTTATGGTAACCGTACAATCCAGGGACATGGGTTTAATTGCCATGGGTTTAATTGCCATGGGTATGCCGTATTGGGACTGAGATTGTCTGGAGGTGTGCTGTGCGGGACGGTGCGGGCTTACACAGGATAAAGGAACCCTCATTCACAATGTTGACCTGTCTTAAATGTGACATCAGTACACGTGCTGTGCACCTGTAACATTGGGACTGTCAAATAGACCGAGGAGATACAGTATGACATTCAAATGTAGACCTTTGAAGAATTATTACGTGAATTTGTTTTTTTTTCAAATGTTATTGTCGCTTCAATTACAACCTGGTCATCATAACTACCCTTTGGTGTCAAAAAGTCAAATTGTGCAGCTTCAATATCTGGTCTCCATCCGATACGCCAGCAACGTGGAATCTATGGCCCACAACTTAATCTCATCTGGCCGTCGGCCACGTGAGGCCAACCACTTAAAAAGAGCCTGAAGGCAGTATTTACGCCGTCACTGCAAACATCGTAGCTGCACTTATCGGGTACTTGAGTGTAACATTTTCGACCGGGCAATACTGTGTGTCTAATTTTATTACACTCTCTAGCCCGTTGTCTTTCGTGTAGTTTTGAGCACACGTTCAATGCAAAGAGTCCTAGCATTATATACAATTAGTGTTAACCAATGTGTGGCCCGCCAATGGTGTTTTAGAGTGTAATGCGTCCAACAGTAAAGAAAAGATTACCCACCCTTATGTTACATCAACGGTTCCTGGAAGCTAGATACTATTCTTTAGTTCCTTGTGCCGTTAATATCTTTGGAATTTTTTCATTGCGAGTCATTTACACACGATACGGAGAGTAATACACAATCTAATTTCCTATAAACATACATACAACAGATCATGTTCACATTGCTCTTATATTTCCGCGAATATCTCCGCAGCCCGTGGGGTAACAGACTCTTGTGTCGGTGTCCAATGTGACTGGACCTTCCTCTTTTAACTATTGCTTTTGTTTCGGACGCGCCAAGGCAGTTTTGACACACAACGACTCGCTGTCTCACTGTTCACGTGAAATGTGGCATTAGCTGAAATTGCAACAATACACTTCTGGGAATACGTGACTTTGTTCGCCCCGCGAGGACATCTACGTTGTTTCAAAAGTTCCCCCCAAACATTATTTCCCAATTGTGATTTCGCTCATGCTGCTTGTGATCAGTTTTTGCATATTTTTTCTCTATTCTCCCCAATTACAATCTCATGTCATGAGACAACGTTTCCATGTGGGATTCTCACAGCTCACAGGGCACCATCTTGTGTTTTGGAAAGGTTCTGGGAAGATCACATGAGGGAACAATGTATATTGACACTTCATTAGACCCTCAAAATCAACATTGCATCTGTACATGTCAAGCCTTTTTATCAATTCACTGTTGGATAAGGACTTCACAACGCTGGCTCATGTGGTTTGTGAAGGTGGGAAGCATAGATGTGGAAGCATAGAGCAACAGTACAACCTTTGATTTTTTTCCCCATTGCTCTCCGATAACAAAATTGACGTTTTTCATTCTCCATTTGGAATGAGCCAAATTAAGACCAAAAACAAAATTAAGATCATTTTTTTGTAAGCAGTCATTGATGACCAGACTGAGGCCATCAACTCGCTACGTTCGTGATCCTGGGTTAATCATGGGTGGACGACACCCAGAATCAAACATGAGCCCTCGCTGGTACCACCAGCTCATGCCCAACCGAGCCACCTCCACGCTTGTAGGTTTGCTTTCATAACAATTTCCGTCTTCATACTCATCGTGGGGTTAACGTGGTTGGCATTGGCCCTGGTGCAGGGAATGATACGGAGGCCTCTGTCCAATTTGCCCCCCTCTTTTTGTATCCTGGTGGCTGACCTCGTCCAGCCATGGCTGGTCCCCATTTGCAGTTGCCACCCCCCTTGCACACCCAACTGCTACCAGAGGTCGCAACCGGGTACCCGATACCCGTACCCTACCCGATACCCGGCGACCCGTACCCGGCCGGGTATGGGTACCCATTTGCGAACCTGGTGCGGCCGGGTACGGGTAGGCCATGAGTCACTGGTGAGTAACCGTTTGTCACTCATTTCGGGTAGGGTACGGGTAGGGAACGGGTACCGGTACCCGGCCGTACCCGGCCGGGTACAGGTACCCATTTGCAGAGGTGTGGACTCGAGTCATGTGACTTGGACTCGAGTCAGACTCGAGTCATGAATTTGATGACTTCAGACTCGACTTGGACTTGCATAACAATGACTTTGTCCCACCTCTGAGGTGTGGACTCGAGTCATGTGACTTGGACTCGAGTCAGACTCGAGTCATGAATTTGATGACTTCAGACTCGACTTGGACTTGCATAACAATGACTTTGTCCCACCTCTGCCCATTTGCGACCCTGGTGCGGCCGGGTACGGGTAAGGAATCAAAACCCGTTTGCGACCTCTGACTGCTACCCCACTGCACCATTTTACCTCTTCGATTGCGGTCCCCTTTCGTGCAGTGGATTTCTTTGACAATTCTGGCTCATCGCCTGACGAGGGCTGGTTGTAATCACCGGCGAAACGTCACGCTCGAATTGGAAAACGTCGTGAGTTTACTCTGCAACACAACCGGTGTGCTGAACTAGTAACAAATTGGCATGTTTTATTTTACGTGACAAACCTTACTTAATTGGCTGTGTCAGGTGGTGGCAAGTTTAATGACACATATTTATGTGATCTAACCCAAAAAAAATCTTTGCTATAGAGACAAAATAACAAACTCGTGTTCAATCACATTGGTATGTGAATGCATTTTCTACAGTTGAACATTCCCATTCCATGCTGGATCCTACGGTTGTGACACAAATGGCGACGATTTTCCTGGCAGGCCTTCGAAGCCGCCTCTTCCAGCTGCTGAGCAGCACTACGGCCGGCGTCTTCCTCGCCACGTGCCTGCTCGACCTGCTGCCCGACTACCTGGCCAGCATGCAGGAAGCCCTCTCCGACCTGCGCGCCACGGTGCGGGTACAAACACGCACGCGCGCACATTTTGAACACATTAACGATTCACTCCGGCGTCCCCATCGACTCGAGGAATTGTCAAGGTTCATGATCTCGGTTTGATTTGGCTTGATTAATTTTTCGTGCGTCTCGCTTTTTTTTGACAGTCTCATTTGTATTGTTTATCGTTGTTATTGTCTCGCTTGTATGGTTTTGTGTATTTCGTATCATTCGCATGTCATTTGCAGGTGTATTCCAGAAATGATAAGTAATCGATTTTCACACGTTTGATTCCATGTATCGCTCTCACCATCACCATTATCATTGTAGGATGAATGATTCACGATGTGCTGTTTTAATAATACAAATCATAAAAATGCTCACATCTCGGATTAGCACGGTTGGCTATGTAGGGTGTGAAAGAAGTTCAACAGACATACATACACAACATAGATTGCAGAAAAGTCTTACTGACGCTTCAGACTTTTTCCAGGGAGCGTCCTGCATTGGGGACGGTGTGCGTGGACAGAGGAAACCAGGGTTAGAAAAGAAAAACTTCTGCCTAGTTTGAATCTACAATCCACGTTCTCTTCCGTCATCTCCTGACCACCGAGCAACCACGCAGCTGCAGGATTTTCACAAACTGCTTGACCTTCGAAGTATGCATGTACGTTGAATTTCTTTCGCACAGTACGTAGCCAACCGTGCCAATCGGAGATGCGGGGGCAGGACAACAAACTAAACACCAAAAGCAGTTCTAAAGAAATGCACTTTCAATCTCAGGATTTAAAAGTGCATAGCTCCAGTGGCTTCCTGATATCGGAAAGGAAGAGTGCACCTGAGATCGCGCGATGCAGTGACCGTCGATGTATGATGGCCAGCCATAATCCCCCGCTGCGAGGATGACCGGAGTTTGTACGATGGTTTATGCTCTTTAACGAGATCAGCAAGGCATTGTGATTGTGGGGTGCTACGGTGGTGAGATGTTAACTACCTCGCCTGGTATACAGGAGGTTGCGAGTTCGATCCCGACCCTGACGCCTGCTGTATATTTTTGGAGTTTGCCTTTTTTTCCCGTGGTCGTGTGGATTTTTATCCGGGTCTTCCGTTTTTTCCTTCCACGCTTAGAAACAGGCGTTTGGAGTGTTTGGCTGCTATAAATGTCCCCGTGATAAGCCACTTCGTTAAGTTATCATTTGTGGCCAGGTCACTTCTGAAGAAGAGCTATATAACTCGGTGAGCCTTACCTGGTAAAATGAATAGAGTTTAGTTCATAGTTTAATTTAGAACGCTTTGCACATCTACTGCCACCACCCATGACTAGGGTAAGCCTGCTATGTGGTGAGGGCATTCGTGTTATGAAATGAGTGGATTTATTTCGTCCAAAGAAGTGGCCGGTGCACGACCTGACCAATGTTGGCGTGGGGTGCAGTGCACAGTGCAACTAAAATTATTTGAGTCAAGTAACGTTTTGTACTCCAACACAGAGGGCAGATTGTAGAGACATAGAGTGCGTGACAAATTAGTCCGCGCTGCTTTCGAATACTGCACTCCCACACGCATCGAGTCCGCATAAACAGCGTTACGTGTCTGTGTCTTTCTTTTTAAGGGGGCCATGGGGTGGTGGTGCGGGACTGCTGGTCATGAGACTTCTTAACCGAACCGCCTGTCACATGCCTGCGAAAAAGTACAAATGTCAAGCTCACGCGATGGCTTTGTGCGTACGCAGTCATGGTATGCATTACGATGGGAATGTTATCTTCTTGCTCTCAATATACTACTGTTGCAGCGTACTAAACTTACATGCCATTCTTTGTGCAATAGAGGCTCTCTTTAACAAAACAAAGCATACTTTTGCATGTTAAAATGTAATCGTCTGCAATGTAGCTTGGTTTTTGAGCGATTCGCAAAATTCGGTTTATAAGTATGCCACATGGCCTTGGAAGGTTGGACAAGGAGCACTTCATGCCCATTTGGCATTCGTACTGTTTGCGCAGTCGACCCGAGTTATTGGAAACTTGAGGCACGTCTGCATCTGAATGCAGCATCTGTTCAAATAAATGTTTTTAAATAACAGTACACTCATGAATGCAGGTACATCTACACTGGCTTTGGCGATCGTACCGTTAGCAAGACCTAGTCATGATGAAGCTGGCCTTGTACATTACGGGTCATGGTTTTTGTTGATGTACGTTGCTCATTTGTGGATGTCTGTCCCCCTGAATAGTATGGAGAGCAAAAGAGCACGCAGGAATAAGTGATCGGAATTAAACTGAGAGACAGGAAGATTAGCACATGGATTAGAGAACATGCACAAGTCAAAGACAAATTATCGACTGGTAAGAAAATTAATTGGGCCTTGGACAGGATGTGTCTCTCGAAGGGATAATCGCTGGTGGCCGAGGCCAATTAATACTCGGCAGCCAAAGGAGGTAACACGGCCAAAAAGATGTCGGTTCCGGAGATAGAATAAGTTAATCAACTCGTGCGCAGGAACTTGATGAACTGTTACATCGCAGTAACATGAGAGATTGCGGCGGCTTTGGCAGACTTTCTTGCAGCCGTGGATAGATCATGGCTGGTCATGACCTCGGATAGGCGAGCGAGACATCCATAAGCAACCCTTCACTTCGCAATCATCCTGATTTCCCGTTCTATTGCGATTCTGATAATTATCATTACTCCGCCATCGGTAAGTGACATTGGAAGTCATTCCCGCTGCGCCAGGTGAAGGGTGCCCCCCGTTGTGAATCGCGGTGCGTGCTTTTAACACGGCCATTTGATTCCGCAGACTGCTTTCCCGCTGGCCGAGTTTATCCTATCCGTCGGCTTCTTTGCGGTGATGCTGCTGGAGCAAGCCGTGCTTTCCTTGCACGGCCGCACGATGACATTGGCAGTGGCAGCATCATCAAGGAGCAGCAGCTCGGAGACACGGGCGCTCCTCTCCCCCGCGAGCTCGTCGCCCGCCCCAGAATCCCCGCACGTCAACGCCGTCGTTCTGCACCCGCCCACCGCGTCAAAGTCCGTCGCCGCCGCCGCCGATCCGGAACCGGGCCGCTGGGCCTCGGGGGGCCCCGGCGCGCCCGCCGAGGACGCGGACGCGGAGGTGGGCGCCCACCTCCACGTGGACCGCAGCTCCCACTCGGCGGTGCGCGCGTGGGGCCTGCTCATCTCGCTGGCGCTGCACTCGGTGCTCGAGGGGCTGGCCGTGGGGCTGCAGCAGCCCGGCCTACCGGGGGCATCCCTGGCCGGCCTGGTGGGGCTGTGCACCGCCGTCGCGGTGCACAAGTGCGCCGTGGCGTCGGGGCTGTGCGTGCGCCTCGTGCAGGCGCGCCTGGGCCGCCAGACGTCATTCGCCGCGCTGCTCGGCTTCGCGCTCATGTCGCCCGTCGGGGTCACCGTCGGCATCGCGCTGCTCGACTCGCCGGCGCTCGCCGAGAGCCACATGCCCCGTGCCGTGCTCCAGGTGCGCCAGATCACGCGCGGCCGGTCGTGTGCGCCGACGTGCAATCGCCGTCGGCCGAGCCTGCCGTGGCGTTATCAGCGGCCACTGTCGTCGATTTTCGGTGCTTGTTTGGGCATGTTGGCTACCTTTGTAGCGTTATCAGTGAGCGCACTATTATGTTGGCTACTGTCATAGTGCGAGTGGTGATTGCACGATCATGCATGCGGGGGAGCGGTGGTGTGGTGGTTGGCATGCTGTGGCATGAAACCCGGCGACTTGGATTCCCGGCAATGGCTAACATTGGGCGAACGCGATATCTGAACTAGTCCTGAATTTCTACGTCTATGCTCCTCATCTTCAGCAACCCGGACTGACCAGGTGGGCGAAGTATGGTCAAACAAACAAACAAACACGCATGATCTACGTGGAGTGGAGGGGGGGGGGGCCTTCAGCAGTGGATTGGAAAAGTAGTAACAAATGTTTTTTTTATGTAATAATGCTGGTCACCAACGCATTATGATCACCATCACAACTGTGAGGCATACCGGATGATCTCAAAATCTGCAACAGCGCTTCTTGGCCCAATCACTTGCGCATGTCAAGAGGAAGATCTTCGCTCGTGTGTAACTGCGTGTTTGTATCTTGTGTGTGTTGCCAGGGCCTTGCGACAGGAACCTTTCTGTACGTCACCTTCCTGGAAATCTTGCCACATGAGCTCAACAGCCAGCACTGCCGGCTGCTGCGCGCCGTGTGCCTTCTCGTTGGTTTCTCCGTCATCACCGTGACGCTCTTCGCCACTACCTGAAGTCCCACGACCGCGACGCGAAAATCTGCTGCCGGGCCTCTCTCTACGAGACGGCCAAGGCTCTGCTGCTGCACCGTCGGGGATACTTGCCTGGTTCCCTTGCATCGTCACTGATTCCTTGCCCTCTCCTCCATCTACTCCCCTCTCTGCCAATTCACATTCTCCACTGCCGCCACCTCGTCACATTGGTCGTGGGTGGCACTGCAATGCTATCCTTTGTTGCACCAAAATAAACGAAACCCCCGGTGCGTTGTTGTATGCAGTTAACACCGCCTCTTGTAACGCTTAACTCTGTTGGACTTTACTTACAGACGCTCGCGCAATGGCGCAATGCGGTTGGCATGGGCCACGGTGCAAGGAATGAAATGGGTGGGGGGGGGTCCCTTTTCAATTTCCTCTCTCTGTGGCCTGGTGGCTGTGCCCCGTCTTTGACCCGTGGGACCCCCTGCGCAGGCGCACCGCCTGCACACTCGATAGCTACGCCACTGCTCTTTAGCCTAGTGTATAGAGGTTATCCGTTGTAAGGTAAATTGATTCAAGATAAAAGAGTCAATCGCGTGTAATTACATTGGTGTATTAATACACGTTCTAAAGTACAGCATACGCTGTATTATAATCTGGCTTGCACAAACAACAACAACGTAACACGTACACGATTGCCACACATCTCATTTCACTTTCAAACTCCATTTCAGTCTTCTGATACTGTGCTTAATCAAAGCGAAAAAAAATATTTTGATAGCCATCATCTATTCATTGGTCTTAATGAAATGGCTTTGATCGGTAGTTGAAACAGATGCTGCTTCGGCGTAAGTGCAATGTTTTCGCGTGTCATGTGTTCTGTTATGTTTCTCAAATGTTTCGTATCGTAAATAGGAAAGATGCTTCAAATAAAAGTACATTTTTACGCTCGCAACACATGCATCAAGTTGCGCGTGTAAGAATGTATGGGTTAGTCTGAATGCGTTGTATGTAATGGGCTTGTGTCACTCCGGGTGCTACGTATATTTTACTTGCACTGTTTAAATACTGAAGAATCGATTTGTTGAATATAATCATGATCCTAAATCGTGACAATAGAATCAACAAGGATGATGCATTGTTCCACCCGTAATCATAACTTTCCTATTCCAAAACAAAGTTATAGGATTCTATCCCATACCAGAGAATCAACAGGTATGGTGAATTCTTACACCCATAATCCAAAACTCCCTATTCCGACTCGCAAAAGTTATACGACTCCATCCCATAGCATTTACATGAAGTATATCACATTTTAGGAACTGTTTTCAGTGCTCTAGAAGTATCGACAGTAAATGTGTTACAAACATCTAATTGTTTTAACTAAAACTGCCCTTTTAGTTAAAACAATTAGTGTAATCTAATGTTTTTCATCTACAGTGTTTCTTAAAAAATAAGTCGTGCTTAAATTATGTATTGTGTATTCGCCGGAATAGCAAACAAATTATATCACCAAAAGGTTTGTTTTTTCTCCACTGCAATATTGTGACAATATTCAAAATATAGTCATTGAAGATATACAACGTGGTAGAGCAGTAGCTACAGGTATTCAATTCGTGACCACGGCTAACATCAGTGGTGAGTAATTGGGTACCTGTTAAACCAGCCTACGACTATTGCGGTGAAGTATGGTCACACAACACCCATGACCGACGTGGGGGAGGCCTTCATCCAACAGTGGATTGATACAGGTCTGTAGCTAATATCGTATGTTATAAAGAATTGCGTAATGTATACATGTGTGGCAAATGGCAGGATTTTTCAAATGTCAATTGAAAGTTAAGATAAACGTAACAGTAATGAGTGTAATGTTTGCAAGTAAAACAGATGCAGAAGTATTGGAGCAGCTAAAAGACACTAATAATTTAAAAGCATCCATAAGTTGCTAATGTTTTGTTTTACAACCCCTTAATATAAGAATTGAATGTTTATAATGCAGAAGCAAGTAAGATCTCCGTGGTCTTTTGAACATTTGACTGCTTAGTTTCCACATTCGTAGGACAGGGAAGTAGTCTGTATCATATAATACAGTAATCCTTGCAGAATTACACCGAGTGGTTCTGCCTTATCACTTGTTTGCCTATCTTACCGTCTCAAATTTATTGCCAGAAGCGTGTGCACTTTTTTGGGGCCTGTGACCAAATCGCCGAGGATGCACCCTGTGTTATCAAAGCTCAAAAGCCAAGCAGATGTTAAGCCTGGATAGTACTTGGATGGGTGACCACCCTACGCACACAGGTTGTCGTGGGGCTCAGTGGGGGGCCGATCAGAACGTCTTATGCTTCAACCCATACTGGCCATTGTGGTGACGAATGGTCAAATAACCTTTTGCGACTCACGTGCCATGAAAAGGCCGTTATCCAGCAGTGGATTGGGGCGCCATATTAGCAGATGTTAACAACCTCGCCTTGTATACAGGAGACATGGGTTCGATCCCGACCCTAATGCCTGGGTAATTGTGGTCGTGTGGATTTTTCTCCGAGTCCTCCGGTTTTTCCCTCCACATTTAGAAACATGCCTTTTGAGTATTCGGCTGCTATCAATTCCTACACGATAAGCCACTTCATTGGGCTATCATTTGCGGTCAGGTCACTTCTGAAAAAAGAGCCATATAACTCCGTGGGCCTTAACTGGTAAAAAAAAAGATCAATAGTTCAATTTAGGCTTGATAGATACGTACGAGTACAGCTTTTATGAGCGCAAAAGTTGCTTCTTCGTGTTGCATGCACGTGACTCTGTGCATCAGTTTTTATTTCAAACGCATAGAGAGAAGACAACCGGAAATACGAATGTGTGTGTGTAGAACTGGAGGTATGGAGGAACGGGACTTGCAGAGACTACCGTACAAGAGTTAAGAAATCTGGAAAGGAAGCTTTGTGCACAGAATCGTTCCGTTTTCCCACGCACAGCATGTGGACAACCATGCTTGCCAGCTGTGACATGCGTCACTGGTTTTGTGCAAATTCCAAATGTTTACACTAAATTTCACAACTTCCCATTTTTATCTTGTCAACTTTTAATCGGCCTTAATTTCAAAAGGCACGTGCCCACTGCAAATGGCATTCACATTGGTGGACACGTACAGGCCTTTTGCCAGTCTAATGCAAGATGAGGCTCTTATGCACGCCTTGCGGATAATGGGGATTTATTTGACCATAATTCATACCTGCTGGGAAATGCGGATTGGTAAAGGCGGGGAGCATAGACGTACAATACAACAATGGGCTTTGCTGCACTGCCATCTGTTGACAACACAATTCCACTGCAGCCGACCACACCTGTTATGTCAGTGTTTGTTACGAATTTTGAGGGGTGTGGCACTTTTTGCCGATAAGTCATCAGTATGAGGGCCGCCACACATTTGAAACCATCGGGTTTGACAGCATGATTGGGCGTTTACACATTTGTGCATTATCGGGGGCCGAACTAAAGGCTATCAGTGGCCTGCGGGCCTTGCAATGAAGAACACTGCATGGTGGTCACCCATATAAACACTCTCCAGGCTCCAGAATTCTGACATTGCTGGTTATTTGGTAATCGGCATTTGACACCTTGGCAACTGCCAATAAACAAAGCAGTTACAATATTCCAAAGACTCAAAAAGACGTTTGTGCCCTCTTGCGGTTAAGCGATGGTAACGTCCATTGATAATTATTATTGGCACAGCGCTTGCCAAAGTGCCATATAGGCATTGGCCACCAGGCGACAGCAACGAACGTCCAATTGAATTAAAATCAACGAATTTCCCTGCGAGCATACCACTTTGCGGCTATGCTCTGGGTGTATCTCTCACCCCACCACAGAACCCACACAATTCCACTTGGGGGCAGTCAGAATGCGTGGGGGGGGGGGGGGTTATTAATGTTTTTCCACGTGGGAGAGGTACTTGCTTCCAAATTGCCCCCTTCCATTCTGCTCCAAGCCCGCGACTCCCACATGACATGATTAACGAGGGCATTACCGTAATTCCAAGAAGGCTCGCAAATGGTTATCGGAAATGATATCATGGCAGGTTGTGCGCCAGTTACGTGAGCGGTCTTATTTTAAATCCCCATCAGCACAATTGCGGCACGGCACTAGGTTGCCTGAGGTCAACATCCCATGACCTGATGGCACATAATTGACTAATGTCCTTGATTTAAACCAGTGGAGAGAACATTTTAGACCATGTTATTTTGCAAGAGAAAGATGAGAAAATTATTTGGAAATATTATGATCATCAACCCTATCCGACTTCATCGATTACGGGATTTCCAAGCTGTCACTATAAATTTCCACATGATAAGCCACTTCGTTGAGCTGTCATTCGTGGCCATGTTGCATCTGAAAAATAAGCTGTCAGCTACGTAGGCTTCACCTGGTAAAATAAAATAAAATATTAGTTTTAGTTTTTTAGTGATTTGCTTACCTTTCCGATACAGTACTTCGTACACATATCGTTGTAACTTTCTGACCCGCCCCTACTGGACATCTGTGAAAAAGAGCCTCATAGTTCATCGGATTCCTTGAGTATAAATAAAGATGCGGATTCTAATTATGTTTGTCTCATCTTCTTGGTTCTTTCGGTAAAGTCACGTAGAAGGGAAATAATAAAATAATAAAAATAAAACATTATAAATAGAATATTTTATTATTATTTTATTATGTTTTATTTTTACTATTTTATTATTTCCCTTCTACGTGACTTTACCGAAAGAACCAAGAAGATGAATCTCTGCAGTCACGAAAGCTTTAAATCGATATGTTTGTCTCGACCACCAGGCCATCGTCTTCTCTTGTGGGATCTGTGGTCCTGTCCAAGTCGCCTTAAGTTCGTGTATGTTCTCTTTGATCACACTTACATAATGCAGAATTATGAAATTACTATTATAACGAGCCAAGAATATTTGTTTGTGTGTAACGCGCGTGACGTCACTCCACATGCCGCACCCCTCCCCCTGTCATTAATATTTATGAGCAGGTGGATTTTTACACTCACGAAAAAGGTCGAGCGGAAATACAAATTGTTTCGCCTATTCGCTTTAAGTTTGACGTTTCTTTATTGAAAGTGAATCTAATAAATAATTATACGCAGCAAAAAAGTAGATTTGGTGTCTTTATTTCTTTCTTTCTTCAGCACTCGAGACAAAAGGTAAGTCTAATTTATGCTTCTACATTATGGTAAAATAGACATTTCTCGGCGATTTTCCAGATACAGTATTGTATCTAATTCCAATTTATTTAAACCCCAGCTACCGAAAGCAGAAGAGAATAAAGTATCAGAGCAGTGAATTTGAACAAATTAAAGGTCAGTTATATACAGTGCTACAATGACATGAAGTGAGGTGTTTGATGACATACTTTTGTGCAAGATTCACTGCCATTAAATTGACACAAGATACAATTATACTCTGCTCAATGTTTTCGTAAATATTACAGCTTCCGTCCTCGGATGGGCAAAGAAGCTAGTGCTTAAAGAACAATCAATAACCTCAGTGCTACAATGTTAAAGCATATCAATACCATACGGTGTACATTAATGTTTTACAATTAAATGCTTTGCAAAGTATGTGTAAGGTGGAATCTAATTGACAATTGGTCACAGAAAATTATTTAGTTTGAAGTATATCGGATTCGCTTCACCCCCCAGATAATTTTATTTTTAGACATTTACGTTTCCTCCATTCTCACAATTAATTTGCTAAATTAGCAGTTGCTGTTTTACAGGTGTGTACTTTTATTACACGCAAGCATCTTGGGACAACTTGTGAAAGGTGGTGTATCATATTTGTGTATTATAATTAGTATCACAGTACAGTACTACATTATTAGGAATCCTGGGAGGAGTAGTGACCCTCTTGTTAGCGCACATCACTATGGACCCAACAATCTTTGATTCCTGGCTGACATCAGTGGCGAGTGATGTCTGCACCCCTCCTGGGACTCCCTACACTCGGTGGCGAGATGTTAACTATCTCGCCTGGTATGCAGGAGGTCGTGGCTTCCATCCTGATCCTAACGCCTGCTGCTGTACATTCGGAGTTTGCATATTATCTCTGGTCTCGTGGATTTTTCTGTGGGTGCTCCGGTTTTTTCCTCCTAGTTTTAGAATAAAACATGCGTTCAGAGTATTTGGCTGCTATATATGTCCACACGGTAAGCCACTTTCACCATTGGAACCTCCTTTGCCAGTAGCAAAATATGATCATTGGGTTTTTACCCTTTTATCTGGCAACAAAACTGACACCTTTTTTACAAGGAGTCATGTTTGCATTGACCACAATACCTGCAGTCGGAATGCAAACAAAAAACACAACTCTGATAATGTATGCACTGTCCTTGAAATTGATTGGTCCACACCCGAGACAGCTTTCCTTAGAGCCTAGTCTCACATGGTGTTGGACCAGATGACGCCAAAAGGCGCACTTTCAAGGACAGTGCATACATTAGCAGAGTTGTGTTTTTTGTTTGCATTCCGACTGCAGGTATTGTGGTCAATGCAAACATGACTCCTTGTAAAAAACGTGTCAGTTTTGTTGCCATATAAAAGGGTAAAAAAACAACTTATGATAAGCCACTTTGTTGAGCTATCATTTGTGATATCCATGTGGCTTCTTAAACAGAGCTATATAACTCAGTGGGCCTTACCTGGTAAAAAAAAACAGCACGGCGTGGTCATACCCTCATCCAGCGTGTACAATGCATGAATGCTGAGTCATCCATAACACCATGATTACCCCATCCCCCTGCAGTCGGGGTTTAATATTGTATGTTAATGAACATCCAGACCAACAGTTGGGTCCATGGAGGTTTGGAACGGATAGGGATAATGGCAGACCCAGAGGCAATGGGAGATGGCCACAAACGTGGATCTGGCTTGTGGCCGTGGAATTACAATTACTGTACTTGATTAAATGCAGGTCTGGCACAGGGGCAGCTGTTGTACATTAAATTCAAAGTCGGAACATCTCCACTCAAAGGCTGCTGAACGTCCCGATTTGACGAGGTTGGTTCCATGTTTGGGAAAGACTCGTCTCTGTTGTCCAATCTAAAATGTTCTGCCCTCATATTCTCAACTCATGACACACGGGTAAAGGACGGGGGGGGGGGCTACATGAGTATCAGGCGGAGCTAAATGGAGCAGCGAGACCACTCACTGTGTCAGCAGCACCAGTGTTTGGGTGGGTGTGGATATGTATAAGTGGGCGGGGCTGACAGGGAGGGGGGGGGGCTGACAGGCGGGTGGGGGGGGCTGCTCGCTCACCACGTGTCCCTCCCAGAAGTGTCGGTGTCGCTTTAGTCAAGACGCATGGTGGCTCTTCACATCACTGAGCGATTGGTGAAATTCCACATTCTCATTATGGCCAGTGGTTCTGCACTAATTTACAGAGGGGGGTGGGGGTGCTTTCGCTGATAAGACATCAGTGTGTGAGGGCCACTATACATTTGAAACCATTGGGTTTGACACATGATGGGGTGATTTCACGTTATTTTGTGTATTGTCGCCGGCCAGTACATCAGGGGCCAAACTAAAGGCCACCATGGGACGCCATTAGCCCACTGGCCTTGCAATGAATCACTGCTTTTGGCCCACCACTGGTAGCTTCCCATGAAGTGGTACTTACTTTTTTATCGACTCAAAGCATGATGGGCCGAGACAATCCCATGATTTGAACTACCGTAATTATAATTGTGAATCGACAATATTGATCAATTATGACAACGCAATGTGATGATTTTCCATGACGATTGAAACTTCATGCACGAACTAAACGGCGATGTAAAGTTATAAAAGAAGACTTTGCCCTCTATGATGCATTACTATCTCGCGTTATTGCCTGATGGGTATGAGTTCTGGCCCGAGCCCTAACACGAACTTTAAACCGATTTATATATTATTAAGGTGTATATGGCAATCAGTAGCGGCTCGTGACATTTGCACTAGATGGGGCCGTTGTGAGTGACTTCTGTTACACATTGTATTATTGTACTGTAGTATTGTGTGCATGATCTAATACTGTAGTATTACTATCGTTATTTATTAAAATTTCGTATGCCATTATTTTCCTTTGTTCCACTACATTGCATTTGTTAATATAGTATTATATAATAGTGATGTATCATAGTTGCAATTACTGACAGAATGAATGCAAATCCCAGTTATGGAGTGAACCAACCCAATCACCCCCCTTCGGTCGATACAATTATTACCACTTTGTAGAAATTAAAAGAACCCTCGTTCTATAAAATATACTCGTTCCCATTAGACACGTAACATTTCCACCACTATCTCCGGGCCGTAAGCAGACGATAAACAACTAAATGCAAGCGTAATCGTGCATTTCCATCAACATATCTGTCAACCTATACGGTTTACCCTGTATTCTTGTACAGGGAAATTCAGTTAATGTCCACACGGCATACAGCCGTTTCAATACGGACAAACATTTTTTGTCTATTTGTTTCTGTGTTTCCCTTGTGATGGGACTTTGTAAGATGAACGTTGAGATTTCTAAGGCCAAGGAGTAATAACAAAAAAATAACTACATATACAAAGCGCTTTTCATCAATGATCTCAAAGCGCTGTACAGGACACAGCAGCAGCAGACACTCAGCATAAAAATTATTATATTATAAATATGTAAAGAATAATTTACTAAATGAACTAAAAGTTGAATAAGCGGAAGCGTATAAATAGGGTTTAATGCGCATTTTAACAAAAAAATTCCACAGGCTCAAATATCCCTCTGATATCTCGTAGAAGAGTGTTGGCATAGCCTGGGGGCTACACGGGGAAAATCTCGGTTACCCTGAGACTGAAACCTCGACCTTGGCAATACAGAGAAGCTCAGCATCACTAAAGCTTAGGGACCTTGATGGGACATATGGGTGCACCACCTCAATGGGGCATGACCCAATAAGATCTGGATTGGTCTGTAATAAGGTACGCACTGATAAGGGGTTAACAGGTAGGCATCAACATTTACACCATTGGTACCTCATTTGCAGTAAAAAAAATATAATTGTTTTTTAACCTTTAATCTGGCAACAAAACTGACACACAAAAAAGGTGTCAGTTTTGTTGCCAGATTAAAGGGTAAAAATCAAATTATCAGGCATAAACATTGTTCATTATATAGGTTTTTTTTAGGGTGAGATCGCGTAAATATTTAAATGTGTCATCATGAGATCTCCTTTGCCAGTACCAAAATATGAGAATAGGTTTTTCCCTTTAATCTGGCAACAAAACAGGTGTTGAGATGTTAAAACACCAAACCGAAACCTTTTACAAGGAATCATGTCTGCATTAACCACAATGCTTGTGGTCAGAATGCAAACAAAAAACATACTCTGATAATATATGCATTGTCCTTGAAACTGATTGGTCCACACCAGAGACAGCTTTCTTTGTAGCCTAGTTGCAGCGTCTTTTGGCGTCCTCTGGTCTAACACCGTTTGGGACTAGGCTCAAAAGAAAATTGTCTCTGGTGTGGACCAATCAGTTTCAAGTACAATGCATATATTATCAGAGTATGTTTTTTGTTTGCATTCTGACCACAAGTATTGTGGTTAATGCAGACATGATTCCTTGTAAAAGGTTTCAGTTTGGTGTCTTAACATCTCAACACCTGTTTTGTTGCCAGAAAAAAGGGGAAAACATATTCTCATATAAATGTGTCGTTAACCCTGCCACCACCCAACACAGCCCAATTAGTGAGGTTTGTCACGTGAACAGAACATGCCAATTCGTTGCTACTACAGCACACGGGTGGTGGCGGGGTTTAACGACACATTTATATATTTACGTGATCTAACCCCCTCCCCCAAAACCCCATGTATTATGGATGATATTGGTCGCGAAAGCCAATAGTAACGTTTCTAGATTTGAAGTTTTCGTGACTGTAAGGATTCATACTCCTAGGTTTTTTCGCTAAAGTGACGTAGGCAAAAATAATAATAATACAAATAATATAAATAAAGTAATAAAATAATTATTTTGTTTCTGTTATTATTTCTATTACTTATTTTTATTATTAATTATTTTATTTCTATTATTATTATATCTATTATTTTTATTATAAATTTTTATTATTAAATTTTCCTACGTCACTTTACCGAAAAAAACCTAAGCGCATCAATAGTAACGTGTTTAAAAAAAAAATCACCTGTTATTATCGTACAACATTTCCCACACCGCATAGGCGCCGTGGCGCCATGGCCCCCCCTCAAAGCTCGCCCTCGTCCAATGGGCGACGCGCACGGCTCGACACTCAGCACGTGATCGCGCCACGGCCAATCGGAATCAAACGCAGCTCTGTGGGGGGGAGGGAGGGAGAGAGCTGCGCGAGCTTATCCGCTTTATGGAATCAAGTGAAGAGGTTAATTTTTTTCGTATCTTCTAGAGTGGGACAAGGTCGAATTGTCCCGTCGCTTCGACAAAAAAAACAACAACAACCACCACCAACAACAACCACAACAACAACACTTTAAACTCACCCTCAGCATGGAGAAGGCGAGGTCGCGAGACGCCGCTGTGGACGATGGCGAAGTGGCGGTGCAGCTCGACTACGGTAAGAAGCGCGCTTAGTGCACTTGCCCCAACATGATGTTGAAGGCTATACGGGGGGTCTTTGTCTTTGTGGCCTTCATAGGAGGTGCTACTCGCTAACAGCACTTGCCCCAACAATGTCGAAGGCTACACGGGGGAGCTTTGTCTTTGTGGCCTTCATAGGAGGTGCTACTCGCTAATGCACTTGCCCCAACAGAATGTCGAAGGCTATACGGGGGAGCTTTGTCTTTGTGGCCTTCATAGGAGGTGCTACTCGCTAACAGCACTTGCCCCAACAATGTTGAAGGGTATACGGGGGAGCTTTGTCTTTGTGGCCTTCATAGGAGGTACTTCTCGCTAATGCACTTGCCCCAAAAATGTTGAAGGCTACACGGGGGAGCTTTGTCTTTGTGGCCTTCATAGGAGGTGCTTCTCGCTAATGCACTTGCCCCAACAATGTTGAAGGCTATACGGGGGAGCTTTGTACTTGTGGCCTTCATAGGAGGTGCTTCTCGCTAATGCACTTGCCCCAACAGAATGTCGAAGGCTACACGGGGGAGCTTTGTCTTTGTGTCCTTCATAGGAGGTGCTGCTCGCTAACAGCACTTGCCCCAACAATGTTGAAGGCTATACGGGGGAGCTTTGTCTTTGTGGCCTTCATAGGAGGTGCTGCTCGCTAACAGCACTTGCCCCAACAATGTTGAAGGCTATACGGGGGAGCTTTGTCTTTGTGGCCTTCATAGGAAGTGCTATTCGCTAACAGCACTTGCCCCAACAATGTTGAAGGGTATACGGGGGAGCTTTGTACTTGTGGCCTTCATAGGAGGTGCTTCTCGCTAATGCACTTGCCCCAACAATGTTGAAGGCTACACGGGGAGCTTTGTCTTTGTGGCCTTCATAGGAGGTGCTTCTCGCTAATGCACTTGCCCCAACAATGTTGAAGGCTACACGGGGGAGCTTTGCCTTTGTGGCCTTCATAGGAGGTGCTTCTCGCTAACAGTACCTGCCCCAACAATGTTGAAGGCTATACGGGGGAGCTTTGTCTTTGTGGCCTTCATAGGAGGTGCTACTCGCTAACAGCACTTGCCCCAACAATGTTGAAAGCTACACGGGGGAGCTTTGTCTTTGTGGCCTTCATAGGAGGTGCTGCTCGCTAACAGCACTTGCCACAACATTGTTGAAGGCTACACGGGGTAGCTTTGTCTTTGTCGCCTTCATCGGAGGTGCTACTCGCTAACAGCACTTGCCCCAACAATGTTGAAGGCTATACGGGGGAGCTTTGTTTTTGTAGCGTTCATTGGAGGTGCTACTCGCTAATGCACTTGCCCCAACAATGTTGATGGCTATACGGGGGAGCTTTGTCTTTGTGGCCTTCATAGGAGGTGCTACTCGCTAACAGCACTTGCCCCAACAGAATGTTGAAGGCTATACGGGGGAGCTTTGTCTTTGTGGACTTCATAGGAGGTGCAATTCGCTAATGCACTTGCCCCAAAAGAATGTCGAAGGCTATACGGGGGAGCTTTGTCTTTGTGGCCTTCATAGGAGGTGCTGCTCGCTAATGCACTTGCCCCAACAGAATGTCTAAGGCTATACGGGGGGTCTTTGTCTTTGTGGCCTTCATAGGAGGTGCTTCTCGCTAACAGCACTTGCCCCAACAATGTTGAAGGCTATACGGGGGAGCTTTGTCTTTGTGGCCTTCATAGGAGGTGCTGCTCGCTAATGCACTTGCCCCAACAGAATGTCGAAGGCTATACGGGGGAGCTTTGTCTTTGTGATCTTCATTGGAGGTGCTACTCGCTAACAGTACTTGCCCCAACAGAATGTCGAAGGCTCTACGGGGGAGCTTTGTCTTTGTGACCTTCATAGGAGGTGCTACTCGCTAATGCACTTGCCCCAACAATGTTGAAGGCTATACGGGGGAGCTTTGTCTTTGTGGCCTTCATTGGAGGTGCTGCTCGCTAATGCACTTGCCCCAACAATGTTGAAGGCTATACGGGGGAGCTTTGTCTTTGTGGCCTTCATAGGAGGTGCTACTCGCTAACAGCACTTGCCCCAACAGACTGTCGAAGGCTACACGGGGAATCTTTGTCTTTTATACGACCATCTAATCCCTGCATGTAACCACGTGACCCTGTACCCATCCATAGACACTTCACTCATCCACAATACCCTGGGTATGTGACCATGTGACCAACCCTGTCTTTATCCATGTATTTCACAATGGGACCCTGTATTTAACCACTAACGCTGTATTTAAAGATGATGTAGTTCAGGATGTTAGCGTGTAACAACCGCGTCTTTAACCACGTGGCCCTATTTTTAACCATACAATTGGGCATCTGCCACACAGTATTTACACATTTAACCATGGGGTCGATATGGTACACTGATAGTGTTCACTCTTTCCTTTATTTAACCATGTAACCCTGTATTTAATCATAGGGGGAGGGTGCGCGGTATGGACCATGCTAGGTTCACCATCCTTAATTTAACGGTGGCAAAGGGAACGTGGTACATGAGCAATTTCACTCCACGTGTCCTTGAATTCAGAATATATGTATACTCGAGGAATCCAATGAACTATAAAGCTCTTCTTTTCACATGTCAAATTATGAGTGGAACGTGGTTTACGGGCAGTAAGTAGTGCTGCGTCTTCACTGTGCGTTTAATCATTATTTAATGTCACCGTTAGAGGGAACGTGCCACCTATCTTGGCAGTGTTCAGTCGTGTTTATTGTCCTTCATATAACCAGGTACTGCATACCTGTCAACGCCTTATCAATTACAGACCAATTCAGACCTTATTGGTCACCCCGTGCCCTCATAAATCTCAACGTTCAACTTTAAAAGTCCCATCACAAGGGAGAAACAATACCAAAGAGACAGAAATGTGTTGGCCGTATTGAAACGGCTGTACGCCCGTATGGACCTGAAAACTCAATTTCCCTGTACAAGAATACGGGGTAAACCGTATGGGTTGACAGGTACTGTGTTCACTCGGTATATTCACCGTGTCCTTTAAACCAGGATGACGCCCACGTGGTATTCGTCACACTGGCATTCTTCATAGCCAGCCCTCTGTGTTGAGCCATTTGGAAACCAACGTGCACCATTGGAACTTCATTTGCCAGTAGAAAAATATGATAATTGTTTTTTTACCCTTTTATCTGGCAACAAAACTGACACCTTTTTTTACGAGGAGTCATGTTTGCATTGACCACAATATTTGCAGTCGGAATGCAAACAAAAAACAAAACTCTGATGTATGCACTGTCCTTGAAATTGATTGGTCCACACCCAAGACAGCTTTCCTTAGAGCCTAGTCTCACATGGTGTTGGACCAGGCGCATCTGGTCCAACACCATGTGAGACTAGGCTCTAATATCATCATCAGAGTTTTGTTTTTTGTTTGCATTCCGACTGCAGGTATTGTGGTCAATGCAAACATGACTCCTTGTAAAAAAAGGTGTCAGTTTTGTTGCCAGATAAAAGGGTAAAACCCAATTATCAACCAACGTGCATTTAGATTATTTGGCTGCTAAACATTTCCGCATCATAATAAGCCACTAAGTTGAGCTATCATTTGTGGCCAGGCCACTTCTGAAAAAGAAGCAGTATGGCTCCGACGGCTTTATCTGGTAAACTAAAAATTTAAAGATATTTCTTCCACGCGATAAGCAACTTCGTTGAGTTATCATAGTTTATATTTAATGTTTTACTTATTTGCTTACGTTTGCTATACTTTGTACTCCCATCGTGTTTTTGTCTTGTTTGTTGTTTTAACTTTGTGACCTGCCCCTACTGGACATCTGTGAAAGAGAGTTTTACAGCTCATCGTATTCCTCCTAGAATATATAAAGATTCTGATTCTGATAGTCTCATTTAAGAGGGCACGTTGTACCCAGGCAATGTGCTCCATGCCACACAACCCTCTTGCGTTCAGTCACTCCTTTATTGTAGCAGGCGAGAAAGGAACGTGGTTAACGGTTGCTCCAACCCCTAACGTCCTCCACGTGTTCACCTTTTATTTTAACCAAGTGTTATTCTTTCTTTTCGATTGAAAGCTTTCGTGACTGCAGGGATTCATCTTCTTGGTTCTTTCGGTAAAGTCACGTAGAAGGGAAGTAATAAAATAATAAAAATAAAACATAATGAAATAATTATCACCTCCCCCCCCTCCAACCCAGATTCAATATACGCTCTAAGCTTGGTGGTGTTTCATTCTTCACCTGAGGACGGCTGCTTGCGTTTGTGGCCGAAACGTCGTGAGAATTATTTTATTATGTTTTATTTTTATTATTGTATTACTTCCCTTCTACGTGACTTTACCGAAAGAACCAAGAAGATGAATACGTGTTATTCTCTTTGTTTCATACTCTGTCCGTGCCAAAAAAAAAAAATCCAGCTTCGCGTCGGAGATCTGACGAGAGCGGGCGCGTTTTTGGGTGATTTGGTGACGTTCAGTGACTTATTTTGTCCATCCGTTGTTGGGCTTCGGGAGTTACTTTGTGAGCAGCAGATGGCAGTGCAGTGAAATGAAATGCTGTACTTTTGTGCTTCCACGCCTGTGCCCACTTCGCCATCACGTTCGCAAATCCGCACTAAACCAGTGTGGTTGAAGTACTGTATGGTAGAATGACCTTCATGACCCGCACAGGTGGGAAGCCATCGGAGCTATGCAGCTTTAAATCTAGATTGAAAATGTATTCCTTTAGAACTGCCATTGTGTGTGTGTCCTTCTCCCGCACATCCGATGAGCGCGGTTGACTGTGTACGGTGCGAAAGAGGTTCAACATACATACCACACACATACACACAATCCAGTTTTGTATTGACAAAAGGGCTAAAACGACGCCTACTTGTGCACGTTTATACCCGTGTCCTTTATTTACCACGAGAAGCACACGAGAAGCACACGTGGTGCCAATCGCCACAATGTCGCGGTACGCACGCAATGCATGCCGCGTTTCCGGTCTCTGCGGTCAATCCCCTCCGTGTTTCGTTTTTCGCCTCTGATTAGGG